GGCTTCTGTTGTTGTTGATAAGGAGAACGGAAAGACGGTCATCGTGAAGATGGAGAAGCATGGTGGTTGGGCTGTGGACAGTGATGATCTGCGCCAGCTTGTGGATGTTTCTGCTCAGAGATGGGATGAAATGAAGCGGATACTGGATCAATGCTGATCGAATTGATATGCAATACAAATGAATGATACCACTACAATTATTTCCTACCATCTTGCTTTTAAATGGAGCTATGTATCTGAGTAGATCGAAATAGTGGCTCTGTCATGTGAACGATCCACAAAATACTCGATTTCAGCTAATCTATCTGCTCCGTCAGACTAAATCGAGGACATTCTAATTTGCTGATTTCTTGTTCATCATGCTGCGTCGCCTTCTCTTCAATGGCGGTTCGTTATCCCCGTTGACATCCCTGGAAACAGACACCTCTCCATCTTCTTCTGTGGAAGTTGTCGGCAAACTTGTCTGGGATTCACGTTTGGACTTGCGAGGAATTGATACGGAGAAGGAGATCAGGTCCAAACTGTCACGGTTCTTTTTAGGCTTCTTTGTTTTGACATCACGCCCGCCGCCTTCTTCGGATGGTTTCTTTTTGGATTTGGAGTCACCGATTTTCTCTTCTCTGGGTTTCTTGTCCCGTGTTGTATTCTCGTCCTTTGATGCACGCAGGTAATCACCCGAGAAGATGCGCATAAAAAGGCTCTTCTGGTCTTCAGAAGGCTTGTCCTCGGCTTCATCTTCCTTCTTTTCCTCTTCAATTTCCACCTCCTCGGCATCAGAGAAGTCCCACATTGTGTCAATCTCTCCTCGAATAAGTGCAGTACCCCAAAGCGATATTAAAACACCCGGTACTAGGTAGAGAAGAGCTGGTTGGGCATGATTCGAATATTGCATGGCAAGGAGGGTGGTAACCATCCCAGCAACATAACCGAATATACTAGCTTTGAAGTAAATCTTTGGGAAACGCCGGGCATCATGATAGGGAGGCTGAAGTTCCGGCTGGGGTGGTTTGACCGACGGCGCCCAAAACCGCTCTCCCCAAGCGCTGGTTGCCGACTGATACTCAGGCTTGACTGTTGGCTGGCCTGACACTGCAGTACGTGCCATTTGAGCACCCTTCCGCTGGTAATAGAGGAATAGATCGAAGCGAAGTGCCAGCCCAACCATCATTCCCGGAATGACAATGTCGCCCAGTCCAAGCATAGCCAATGGCACGGAGCCAGGAGCATCGCGAGAGGTGGGCGGGCGAGGGAACAGGAGCTTGATAGGTACATCCAACTTGGTTGCAACAGTGACCATCAACGGTGTGAAGAAGACAAAGTAGATATCGTAGAAAAATAAGGATCCCATAATCAGGGTTCCTGTCCAGAACGTGGAGGGAGACATGAATTGCAAGGTGCCATAGCAGAAGCAGAAACCGAGGAAGTTGGTCAACCACCATGGGTTTTCCACAAATGCAAAGTATGCTACAGCGGACAATGCAAAGATTCCGCTGATAATATCAAGGAGACCAACGAGGCATTTGAAGTCAAATAAGCCACGTATGTGAGCTCGCACCTTGAGACGCTGGTAAGAAACATTTCGGCACTTCCAAAGCAGTCCTAGTATCATACCTGGGAGTGGAACTCGGCCCAAAATCCCAGGAAGAGGTGAATGCCGGACGGAGTTTAACTTCGCTGGATGGTCCTCAGATGCCATGAAAAGGCGTTCGGACTGTTTCGCTTTCCACAATTGTCCACTTTGACGATAATATCTAGGAAACATAAATGAACGAATCATCAATAGCGCATCCTTCAAGAATGCAAAAGCAAAGAAGAGTCCCATTTGAGAGAAGTAGAAGCTAAGGATCTTGTTCAAGATGGCTGGATCTTCCAGCCATTTGATCACCAAGTATAAACCACCGAGAGTGAGCCCCGCAGTCAACGGGAATACCAGGGCATCTGATGGCTCAAGCCCTTCCATCTTTTGCAAAGGGCCATGTACCTCTTCATCGTCCGTGTCATATTCATCTTTATCCTTGCCGGCTTTTTTCTTCGAAGGTTTGGCAGCGGAGGAAGGTCTTGTCAAAGACGCATGTGCGCCTATCCAAATTGGAAAAAGAGCGGAAACAATCAGGTGTCCGTAAGTTGGAAGAAGTGGCCTCAGACGGTCGAAGTGGTAGAGGGCTTGTCCAAGAAGCTCGGCGACAGGGCTGACGTCGGCCATGGTATGGTGGACAGGAAATTGTAGACTGTAATCACAGAGCAAATGAAAGTGAATTAAAGTCAATAAACCAAATAAAAAGGAATGAATCAGACCATAATGGCCACAAAGGGTTAGTGGTGTGGGAGATTCTTTAAGGTAACCTGTTAATCTTAGGGAAGCTTCCCGGTGCACGGAGGGGCTTAATGACCACAGCATAGTTTAATTCACCGCTTTCCGCTCACATCTACATAACCTCTAGGGCTGCGTTGTATAGGTACCTAGGTAGTTTGTACATTATCCATTTATCTCATTTTTACTTCTAAGTTCCTGGTCATTATGGTCTGATCCATTCCTTTTTTTTGGTTTATTGACTTTAATCCACTTTCATTTGCTCTGTGATGGACCCAAAGACTCATCATGTACACAAACCAAGAGCCGGCTTGATTCCATAACACCCTAAATAATATAGCTCTTTATCCTCTGTGTCTCTCCATCACCTATTATAACCCATATGCATTTCCGTGTATTTTCCCTTTCTGGAACTATGATAACTGTTATGATGTATAGATTATTACTCCGTACCTCCATATAGATAGCCATATAGATAGGGCGGTACTGCTTTTCTGCCAGACAAATTGACCCAATGGGAATTGAGACTCCACATGGTCGCTGAGCTCCTCCGTAACGTTGGTTGATCCCGCTTCTTGCAACTCTAGACTCTGTTTTTTCGGCTCTTTTATTCACGATTCTACACTCACATATCCATCATGACAACTGAGGTGGCTTTTGACACGTCCATGGTAATTAGCGCTTCGTTGTTCTCTCAAGGTCACTCACTAACCCATCGCAGGGATCCTTCTCCGTGGAGCTTTACAATACTCATGCGCCCAAGGTATGAGCCGTTTTGCAGAGCTTCTAGGGAATTCTCACTAATTTCTTGTTCCTCAGACATGCAAGAACTTTTCGACCCTCGCCGAACGCGGCTACTACAACAATGTCATCTTCCATCGCATTATTCCTGACTTCATGGTCCAAACTGGCGATCCCACTGGCACTGGCCGAGGAGGTAGCTCCATCTACGGCGAGAAGTTCGAGGACGAGATTCATGGAGAGTTGAAGCACACCGGTGCTGGAATTCTGAGCATGGCGAACAGTGGACCGAATACCAATGGTAGTCAGTTTTTTATCACCCTTGCGCCAACACCCTGGCTGGATGGGAACCACACGATTTTCGGCAGAGTGAAAAGTGGCATGAGGGTGATCCAGCGTATGGGACTGGTCAAAACCGGTGCGGAGGACAAGCCAGTGGATGAGCTGAAGATCATTCGCGCTCGGGTAGTTGAAGAAGGCACACAGGAGTGAGAGTTACATGGTGCAGCTTATTCCATCGGATTACGACTGAGGATTATGCACGTCAAGTATCTCCGGGGAAAAACCAGGCGTTGCCCAATTTGGGGAGTTTAGATTCCATCTGCGATACAGGTTGCAGGAACAACCTTCGGCGCGCCCGGCCCAAGTCATACCGGAGCAGCATTGTCTTGCTTGCTGTTGTCTAAAGGTGCTCTATGCAAGCCTTCTGGAATCTACAAAGCTACAATATCAGAGTGGCAGGACGAGATACCACTCTAATAATGAGATTATGGATGTATCACTACAAAACGAACCGCTTCCATCAAATGTCTCCATCAAGAGCAGCAGATACAGAGTGACAAGAAATCTTATCTACCACCCCCAAACGAAGTCCAGTGAAGGACCGCGTCAATGAAGACCAGGCTACCATAGTAAAGTAACCCGTTCTGTGCAGAACACCGGGAGTGGTATGGAGAGAGAAAAGTGTCCTGCCGAAATTTTAGTTCATATAGTGGTGCGGACTAACCTCTTTGGGAATTGCTGAGTAATCTCTAGCCTCCGCCCGGCATAATCTTCCGCTCAGGCAGATAGCCCTGGAGGCTAAACTTGCTTAGTTCTCTTCTGTCGTAAGTTCGTGACTACCTACGGAGTACAAGATAGAGCAAAAGGGAGAGCAAATAATGAATAATGGATTTCCACACCCGTGGGTGCGGTTCGATTACACTAATAAAAGTTGCTGCGACCATGATGTTCATTCTTCATTGTTCATTCTTGATCTCCATGATCAAGGAAATAGAAGATAGCTCCGCTCAGTGCCTCAGCAATGACACTGCCATGGTCTTCATCTTCATATTTTCCCGAAGTCTTCATACGACTGACCATACCCGTCCACTTTGCAGAAGTCGAACAAACATCTGGTCACAATTATCCCCCATTAGGCGGTCTTTGGCTATTGCCAGCCGTTTTTCATATTCCTCCAGGGACTGGTTCCCGACTCTGTCCTAACCCCGAAAGTGAGGCCATTCTCTCCCAGTGGATATATTAGCATGCCCTTGGCCATCTTGGCATTTTTACACAATGCGAGGGGACGCGTCCCTCCTCGTCTCAATTACTTTCCGGCATATGATTGATAAGATTAAGTTTGGTTGCCACTTGTAGTCCACTTCTTTGTACCGAGGTAACTTGTAGCTATTGTACCCTGGGGATTCGCTCTTTTTGTTTTATTAGCTCACCCAAAAATACCTGCCAAACTTGAAATATTCTGAGCGATAACACATTTTAAGGCACTATGATGTGATATGAGTCATGATGAGTGGTCAGTGACAGTTTCAACAAGGCTTCTTACGATTGGTCAGACAAACAAAGGAAGAGATGGATCTATACATGGGACAAAACCATATAAAATGTTGTCGCAAAACTTACAGCTGTCTTGAGCGCTATAATTTTCATCAATTGACGATCGTTCATGATGGTGAAGATGTCAGAAAAAAACACCCTCGCAGGGTCTGCCGCTCCTGTGGCGCCCCGTCTAGAGTTAAAGAAGGATGAGAAAGAGATACTCAAGCGCCAGATTCATACTCCAGAGTCTCAGATGAGTCGCTTGGCGCTTCTATACTCGTGCGCAACACCATATGATTTACTCCTCCTGGTCATCAGCTCAATTGCAGCCATCGTTGGCGGAGCTCTGCAACCTGTGTCTTTTGTAAGCCATCCTCTATCGGTGTTGAATCTCCGAAGCTGATCACCGTCATAAAGCTCCTTTTAGGAGGCCTGGCTCAAGCATTCAAAGAATTTTTCATCGGAACATCCTCGGGATCATATCTATCATCCCTGGTCGCAAGATTCGCCCTGTATTATGTGTACATCGCCATTGGACAATTTGTTTCGGTCTATATCTCAACAGCCGGATTCATGGTTGTAGGAGAAAAGATTACCCAACGCCTCCGGGAGAAATACCTCGCCGCTATCCTTCGCCAAAACATAGCATTCTTTGATGTCCTAGGAGCCGGAGAGATCACCACCAGGATCACCGCCGATATGAATCTGATCCAAGATTCTTTGACCGGCAAACTTTCTCTGACGCTGTACTCCTGTTCTAATTTCGGAGCAGCTCTTATCATAGCTTTCGTGAAAAGCTGGCGTATGGCCCTTATTTTGATATCAGCCTACGTCGCAGAGACTGGATCTATGAGCTTTTTCTCATATTTCATGGTTAGGTATACCCACCAGGCCCTAGAGGCCTATGCAGACGGATCGACAGCTGCCGAGGAGGCGATCAGTTCAATCAGACACGTTACTGCGTTTGGGATTCAAGACAAGCTGGCCGATAGGTACCAGAAGTTCCTTACCCAGGCCGAGGGGTATGGTCTGAAAAGTCGCATTGCGCTTGCGGCCATGATGGCCATCATGAACGGTGTCATTTTCTGGACCTACGCACTCACCTTTTGGCAAGGGTCTCGCTTTCTGGTTGTTGGAGAAGTGGAATTGGGGGCGCTGATCACCATCCTTCTTGCTACCCTGACTGGAGCATTCACATTTGGTAACATAGCACCAAATTTTCAAGCATTCTCAACAGGTATAGCAGCCACAGGAAAGATCCTTGCAACCGTGTCTAGAAATTCACCCCTAGACCCATCCTCCTCCGCAGGGGACAGACTGAAAGCTGTGTCAGGGACAATTGAGCTCAAGAATATTCGCTACATTTACCCTTCAAGACCGGATGTCCTTACTCTAGATGGGATCAATCTAAAATTTATGGCCGGCAAGACTACCGCCATTGTTGGTGCTTCTGGTTGTGGAAAAAGTACACTGGCCGGTTTGATTGAAAGGTTTTATGAACCGCTCAATGGCGAAATAAGTGAGACTCTCATTTCCGTCTTGGTTGAAGATGTAATGTGCTAATATTGGCACACTAGTACTCGATGGCCACGACATCGCGACTCTTAACCTGCAATGGTACCGTCAACGAATAGCAATCGTGACACAGCAGCCCACACTCTTTGCCACAACTGTATTTGAAAATATCAGATTCGGTCTGATCGGCACTGAGCACGAGCGTGCCCCTCCTAGTGTGGTAGAAAGCCTTGTCTTCGATGCCGCGAAGAAGGCGAACTGCTTCGAATTCATTTCTGCGTTGCCGAGGGGATTCCACAACAGTGTTGGAGAAAGGGGATCATTGCTTTCGGGTGGACAAAAGCAGCGAATTGCCATCGCACGAGCCATTGTTAGCAATCCGAAGGTCTTGCTGCTAGATGAGGCTACTTCTGCCCTCGATTCCCAGGCCGAGCGACTGGTACAAGCAGCACTTGATGTTGCTGCAAAAGGTCGGACAACGATCACAATCAGTCACCGGTACGTGGTTTCTCTTCAAATTTGGCGCCACACGCTGATCATGATTCAGACTGTCTACAATCACGGCAGCAGAAAATATTGTTGTAATGTCTCACGGGCGCGTTGTCGAGCAAGGAACACACAATGAGCTACTTGAGAAACGATCGCTGTACTACGAATTGGTAGAGAAGCAGCGCATATCGACAGAAGGAAATACTGGCCCCAGTGAAGAAAAATCAACGTTCGACGCAGATACGGAATTCCTGGATTCGAACGATTACGGGAATAAGTCCAACAGCCACATGAATCAGATTGAGAAGGCCCTCGTCACTGAAGACTTGGAGGCGGGTTCCGACGAGAAGGCTTATAACCGCAAATATTCTCTATGGGAGTTAATGAAATTCGTTGCCAACTTCAACAAACAAGAAACATCCACAATGCTTGCGGGTCTGTTCTTTTCGGTGATCACAGGCGCAGGAAATCCCACGTAAGGTCCCTCCCTCGCGTGTTGCGCAGAGCGTTGGCCCTAACCATTCCCCTAGCCAGGCTGTGTTCTATGGCAAGACCATCTCGGCATTGTCTCTACCGCCCAATATGTATGACAAGCTCCAACATGATGTGAATTTCTGGAGTCTAATGTATCTGATGCTGGGATTCACTGCCTTTCTGGGTTGGGGGCCTCTGGTCTCTGTTTCGCCTACTGTTCCGAGCGCATGATTCACCGTGCCAGAGATACCTCCTTCCGCGCAATCCTCCATCAGGATATATTCATGTTCGACAAACTAGGTTTCTCAACTGGTTCTCTTACAGCGGCATTATCTACGGATGCTACCAACCTTGCGGGGATGAGTGGTGTCACGCTGGGTTCCATATTTATCATTTCAACGACGTTGATTGCTGGCGTGGCTGTATCGATTGCGATAGGTTGGAAGCTGGGACTCGTCTGTACCGCAACAATTCCAATCGTTCTTACTTGTGGTCTTGTCCGCTTGAAGATCCTTGGGAAAATTGCACAGCAGTCAAAAGCTGCGTATTCGGCCTCAGCAACGTATGCCTGTGAGGCAAGCTCCGCCATCAAGACGGTTGCATCGCTAACTCTTGAAAGAGAAGTGCAGAAAGAGTACCACAGGATACTGGAAACGCAGCGAAAGAAGTCTGTCATTTCAACGCTGAAGTCCTCCACATTTTATGCGGCCTCCCAGTCGGCGAACTTCCTCTGCATCGCGCTGGCCTTCTGGTATGGAGGAAGTCTAATCATTCACGGAGGCTATTCAATGGTGCAGTTCTTCATTGCTTACGCTGCGGTCATCGCTGGTGCATTCAGCGCCGGGGCAATCTTCTCATTTGCGCCCGATATGAGCAAATCCCGTCAAGCAGCCCAAGACATCAAAACACTGCTGAGCCGACCAGTCAGCATTGACGCTCGCCAAGAAAATGGCGAGCAGTTACCGAAGATGGATGGTAGCTTGGAGCTGCGCAATATCTATTTCAGATACCCCAACCGACCGGAGAGGATGATTTTGAATGGCCTCAGCTTGACTGTCAAAACAGGACAATACATCGGTCTTATAGGAGCGAGTGGATGTGGGAAGAGCACCATTATTTCTTTACTGGAGCGATTCTTTGATCCCGAAGCTGGTCAAATCTTGGTTGATGGAAAAGACATTTCCAAGTTGAATATCAAGAGCTACAGGAGTCATCTTGCTCTGGTCAGTCAAGAGCCAACACTGTATCAAGGAACTATCAGGGAGAATATTATCCTGGGAACCAATGACGAGGATGTTTCTGAGGAGAGAGTCATCCAAGCCTGCAAGGATGCTAACATCTACGACTTCATAATCTCCCTGCCGTAAGTCGGTGCAACTGTTCTCTCTGTTTATTGATTCTGAATGAATCTCTGCTAATGCTCAACTCAGTGGTGGTTTCTCGACAGTTGTAGGAGCGAGGGGCGGTATGCTCTCTGGCGGACAGCAACAACGGATAGCCATTGCGAGAGCGCTTCTTCGCGATCCACGAATCCTCCTTCTAGACGAAGCAACTTCTGCCCTCGATTCTGGGTCAGAGAAGGTCGTCCAGGATGCACTAAATGCGGCGGCACGAGGCCGAACGACGGTCGCTGTTGCGCACCGGATAAGCACAGTGCAGAAGGCCGATTGTATTTACGGTGAGAATAATCTTCATTCATGCTATTGACTGTGTGAGATACTAATATATTGGCCTAGTGTTGCACGAAGGCAATATTGTAGAGCAGGGGATGCACCAAGATTTAATGGCGCTGGGTGGAAGATACTTTGAGTTAGTCAAGCTACAGGGCTTAGACAGCGTTTGACTATGATAGATGGAATACATGCGGAAGAAGCCAAAAATCCATATGTAAGGCCAGTGTAAAGATGTAATAGTTAACTATGTGGTTACTGTCCAAGGCTGTTGACTGAAGTGGGGACCAAGTGACCGCCTTCACGCGTACTTCCCGCGTTTTTCTCCGATTTTTTTTCCTTCTTCTTCTTTCCCCCAACAACCTCAAGTTGATGGGATTTCCAGCATCGAAGCTTATGGAAATACTGGGAATGCTTCAGTTACCTTAAATATCCAACATTTCAACTTCATGACAGCTTGGGCTACCAAATTTGGCTGTGATACTCGGACTTACCTGCAGCTAGGACTTCGTTCCTGATTTTTCATACCATGGAAACTCTGTCAGACACGATTTGGGATGTGGTCATTGATGGTACTGGGATATCTCAGTCCCTTCTGGCACTGTGAGTGACTCTCTTAGGGTGGTTGTGAGTTGTGCACTCACACTCCCAAAGGGCCCTCTCACGATCTGGAAAGAAGGTTCTTCACATGGACTCAAACCAGTACTATGGTGGTTCAGATGCAGCCTTCAGTCTTGATGAGGCCCAAGAGTGGGCAGAGAATATCAATAAAGGTGAGCTATCTTTTGTGTGTGGCTGGCTGGTTCATGGCTAATGTGATATCGCTAAGTAGACACAAGTAAATCACTGTTTAAAGATGCCTCAATTTTCAAACGTGATGCTTCTTCTCTAGTCGACGGTGCAACCATCTCTTCCAAACTTTCATCAAGCCGTGCTTACACTCTGTCCCTGTCCCCTTACCTTTTATATGCTCGTTCTCAACTAATGTCAGCGCTCGTATCCTCAAAGGTATTTCGCCAGTTGGAGTTCATGGCTGTTGGTAGCTGGTGGATTTATGCACCCGAACAGCCAGATTCTAAAACTGGCGAGCCTGGTGCGGAAAAGGTTCTCTACCGCGTACCTGGTAACCGGGAGGATGTGTTCGCTGCAACTCATATCAGCATGAAGTCCAAGAGAACCCTCATGCGGTTATTGCGTCATATCACCAAGCCCCATGAGGATAATGCTTCAAATGAAGATGAGGATATGTCAATTCCCTTGAATGACTACCTGGCTTCCAATTTCAGTGTCCCGGAGGAGCTTCACAATCCTTTGTTGTCGCTATCCCTGTCGCAGCTTTCTCATCAAGATACACCCGCCAGCTATGCTTTGCCTAGGATCCAAAGACATCTATCATCCATTGGCCATCTTGGCCCTGGGTTTGGAGCTGTGATTGCCAAGTATGGTGGTGGGGCTGAAATACTCCAAGCTGCATGCCGAGCATCTGCTGTGGGAGGAGGGGTATATGCTCTGGACACGCAGATTGATGATTGCTTATGGCGGAAAGGCTCTGAACATTCCGAACATCCGTTTCTGCTGAATCTAGGCAATGAAGGGTCTGTCCAGTCGAAATATTTGTTTACCTCAAAAAAACCGTCGAATACTTCCGACGAAAGATCGACACCTTTGGTCGAGGTTGCCCGCTCGATCAGTGTCGTGTCCGCTACTTTCCCCTCTCTTTTCCCTGTCACAGTTGAAGGTGCTCCTGTACCTGCAACTGCCGTTCTCATGTTCTCAGGGGATACGTTGGGCAGCCCCAAATCCCCGCCGGTCTATCTCCAGGTTCATTCTAGCGACACTGGCGAGTGTCCACACCAGCAGAGTAAGTCGTCCCCTGTGCAGTACTGTCTGATATGTCCTCCCACACCGCTCGCATGATGATTTTTTTCAAAAACTTATCTACATTGCCTGAACTTGCTATGTTGAAAACCTTTTCACCTGATCACGAGCACCCTCTTTAAATTTTGATTCGTTAGCAATATTGTCGTTCAAGTGGCTAATTGATTGTCACAGGTGTTATTTATTGCAGTGTGGCACTAGCTGGGCCGGAAGGTCAAGCGCTTATTGAATCTGCCATGGATAGATTAGTTCGGGCAGAAGGTCTCCCGGATAGTGTGCTGTGGTCATTGCGATACACCCAAAGCGGCTGTCTTGGCAATGATGAGTTGCGGCAACTCACTGCCGAGGACGGTATTCCTAACTACTGTGTTTTCCCTCCATCGGGCCTTGACTTGGCGTTCGAAGATGACACCCTCGACCTTGTAAAACAGGCTTGGAGGAAAGTCGTAGGAGATGAAGTTGACGATGCCGATTTCATGATGTTTGACGATCGCGATGGCACTTCTGATCAATGATTCGTAGCATAGTGTTATTTTGGATTACACCTTTGACTATATTTTCCCACCGTAATAATCGATGAGATTATCCTATCTTTGATTTGAATATTACCTTTTTTTAAATTATTCACTGCTTCAATTTTATTCTACAATGTACCGATGTGAGCTGTGTAGCCTGAGATGAATTAAATGCCATATCTGTGGCCAACGGTGACGCAGAATCAGTTGGCAGAACGCCCGGCGTCTATCAAGTAATCTTCGCTGGAACACAGCTTGCCTGAAGTTCATCTCTGTGCCCTTATTGATCGCAAACAAACCCCTATAGCCCTCACAATGCCCCTCGATAATGTTACCAGCGGTGTGACCGGACAGCTTCCTCCCGACAAAGTCCAATCAACAACAAGCGGAGTGGTTAAGAAAAGCGCACCAAAAAAGCAAAACCGAACGACAAAGGACCTAACTGACCCCTTTCCTTCGGACGATGCTCCCCCAAAAGACGAAGACATCGACAACAATCTCTCACTTTCATCGATATGGTCCACCATCACAACATGGTTCTCCACACTGTTCCCCCAAGCCTTTGATTACCTCCAGTCCTGCGTGCAGAGATTGGTCGCCTGGCTCCTCCCCCCGCCCCGTCAAGCTGCGATTTATGAAACTGCATTGAAGCACCCTGCCGCATCAACCTTGATCGTTTGTCAGATGATTTGCTGTGGGGTTCCTCTACTGGCATTCTTGGCTGGCGTGTTTATCTTCGCTGCGGTGTCGATACTGCTTTGGACTGTTCTGTCGTTGCTCATTCTTGGTCCAGTGTTGTTGGGCACAAGTATGATGGGTATGTTTCTATGGGGCTGGGGTTGGATCTTCTATGGTTTGGTCAAATGGGTTGATCAGCGGTTCTTGGGTGGTATAATTGCACGCTTTTGGCTTCGTCAGACGCAATCGGAGTCGACTGGCGGAGAGGGTCAGTCCGAGGAGGAGAAAAAGGATGAGTAATGCATGCATATTCCCCGGAGTTGAGAATATACGCTTTCTGGATCATATAGCACACAAAATCGATATTAATATTGAACACGGAAGGGTACGATATCTTGTTTATATACACGTTCAGACTACATGAAGAGATACAAATGGCACCCCAGTGAAATTCTCGGGCATCGTATACGTGATGTTGTAAAACACGAATTCGTTGACAGAGTGATCAGTGTTGTAAGTAATCGCATAATCCGGTAGTGCGTTTGTCGAGACCTTGACATTCAAACCAGGTAGACCTTCCAGTCCAGTTACATTGAACCCGTTGTTGACCGTGAGGCCACTGAACAAGAAGTTGAAAGAAATTGGACTTTGCGCAGATGTTGCATTTGGATAAGAGATGTTCAAAAACCGAGGGCCGGCCACGGCATGAATAGATGACTCTGTAACCCAGTGTGAAATGCAGCCAATTTTATGATCGTCAATAGCCCACTGAATGACAGCAGGATTAAATTGACTGGGGTTGATACTGGGACCTCCAACAACTGTCTCGGCAACCGTTTCTGCGCCAATGGTCACACCCTTGGACATCCAAGCTGTGATATTGCGAGGATAAATGTCGAAGGGCGGCGAGTAAGCCTGCGAAGTATACATATGTTCTCCAGGGAATTTGAGCAAATTTGCCTTTGCCTTCACAGGCAGAGATTTTACCATTTCAGGCATTGCCAGGGCAAATAGAGGGTAAAATGCGAAATCATCCTGATGAAACATTCCGAGCTCCTGTTGAGGGACGGGGGCCTGTTCGCGGCCAACAACTCCCCAAATAACAGCACCAGTAAGAGATGCATACTCCTTCATATCGTAGCCATATGAACGATCCCAAGGCCCAGCAATATTCTTCAGATTTGCATTATAGAGCTGGCCAAGTTCATTCCAGCTGTATTCGAGCATCTCTGGTCCATATTTCTTCAACAAACTACCACTTGTCCCGTACTGGTTCCAGAGAGCCAGTGCCCACATGGCAATGCCAGCGTATGTCGGAGAATTAAATTCAGATAATGTGTGGTGCATACTCCAGAGGTCATAAATTTCCTGAGCGAAGTTGTCACCCGCGTTGGTCAAGTTTGCATCTCCGACTCGCGCACCAACCCAGTTTTGGAGAATGGTTCGCATCAACCAGGGATTCGAGTAACAGGGATAAGAATTGTCGGCATCAACTCCTCCAACACGATAGAGATCGCCCTTGGCTGCGATGTGCAAGGACTTTTCCACCTTGGAGACCGTCGCAGCTGGAAGCAGGTGGCCATAATCATTCAAAGCCACAATCCAGGCGCAGCCCACGAAATCGCGAATATTCGGATCCCACTGACCATAATCATATTAGCAAAATAACACACGGAAGAATAACTCGATGGACTAGATCAAGCAAGCACCATCGGCTTACCGAGCTGTATGGACCATCGTCGGGATATTTGAGCGTTCCAGGCTCCGGTTCTGAAGGCGCTTGTTGATAGTTCCCATACCACTGTTTAGATGGATCGAGATATTGACCAGAGATGACATTGTCAAAGATACGGATGGCTTTTGCGACATCACCTGGTCCGTTTCTGGCTAGCAGTTGAGGTGCATACCAGGCCGAGTGTCGACTATCATAGCGTCCACGACTACTGGTTGAGGTAATCAGATAACCGGCCTCGTTGTCCCAGTACTTGTCATTCCATTCGATGGCCGTATTGAACATTTCCACCGCATGCGAAGACGCACCGAACCTGGCTGACCAGCTGTCTAGTGGAGCAGCAACGACAATCCCGGCATTGTGGACGGCATTGAATCCGAGAAGAACTAGTGATAGCTTCATGATGTGTCGGAGACTCGGAGATGTCCCGATATGTCAATGGCAGACAAAAAGTGGCTTGCAAAAGAAGCTCGGTTTCTTTCACTTTACTTCCCATTATTCCCTTGCCGTCTTTATACTGTTTTCAATTTGGCTTTCGGCATAGCTCTTTTGCATGTAGTTTAGCTTGATGATACATTGGCACTGGGGTAGACTCCGGTGATTTCGCCGTGATCTCCGAATGTGCCGGTTGACTTTGTGTGCAGCAGTGCGGCAATTCTCCTTCATTGCCGATTTATACTCCACCCTGAATCTCCAAGAGCTTCCCCGCTCAAAAGAAATGGAAACAAAGAGATGAGTCCACCAATAAGAATAGTTCCATTCGCTACACATACAAAGACATTAAAATTACTTGAGCCACTTAGAACCCAAAGTGACAATCTGATCCCGTCGAGTCACAATCAGTGCAGAAAGCGCGAGAACCCCAACGCCAAAGGCCCACTTTGAGCGAGCAGCGAAAGTCGTATCATTGCCGTCCCGGTCAAAAGGCGGGGTGACGGGTGCCACCATCTTGTGGGCCTTCTGAACCGAATACGGTGGATACCGGGCAGCGAGAAGCCACTCCAACCACGAAGGCACGGCGTTGATGTGCGTACGGAGATGGGAGAAAGTTAAGATACCATGCGGTCCATGATAACGCCCTTGACCGGAGTTTCCAACACCGCCAAATGGCACATCGCGACCGGCTACATGGAGGGCGCAGTCGTTGAAGGTCACACCACCGGACTGGGTTTCGTTCAAGATGCGAGCTTTTTCGGCGGCTTGAGTAGTGAATGCGTAGATAGCGAGTGGATGCTCTCCCGCACGCGTCCGAGAGAGAGCGGTGTCGAAGTCTGCGTCGACGATGGGGAGAATCGGACCGAAAAGCTCTTCGGAAAGAAGAGCATCACCGGGCTTGACTCCGGTGACGATCGTTGGTGCGAAGTAGAGGCTTTGACGATCCCGCTGGCCACCGTAGACGATTTTTCCGGAGGTCTTCTGGAGTAGACTGTCAAGGCGGTCGAAGTTGCGCTCGTTGATGATGTGTGTGTAATACTCTGTGTTGTTGGCTTTGCCTCCTAGGAAAGTATCAAAGTATCGTCCCAATTCGGCGACAAGGCGCTCTCGTAGGCTTGGGTGGACGAGGACATGGTTCACATTCAAGCAAACCTGTGTTCAGTGGAAATTAATTAGCTTTTGATAGGTCGGGGTAAACAGGGTGAGCCTACCTGTCCAGCATTCATGAATTTGGTAACGGCAATGTGTTTTGCGGCCAGATCGAGATCCGCTGACTCTGCAACAATAGCAGGACATTGACCACCCAACTCGAGTGTGACGGGGGTCAGGTGCTTTGCCGCTGCTGCATGGATGATCTTGGCAATGTTGGGGGATCCAGTGTAGAAGATGTGGTCAAAGCGATGTTCAAGGATGTATCCCATATCCTGTGGACCGGCGGAAACACACCGGATCGCACCTTGGTCCATATATTGGGGGACAATTTCCATCAATACATCTTGAGTAGCACTTGCCACATCCGAGGGTTTGAGTATGACGGCACATCCAGCAGCAATCGCGGCAACCATTGGCTGTAAGAGCAGACTGACCGGGAAATTCCATGCGCCGATAATCAGAGTCACTCCAAGGGGTTCCTTGCGGACAGTGGCTCCTCCTAGGAAGTTGAGAAGATCGGACTTTTCCGGCCTCTCATCCTTGGTCCACTCATCCAGTTTTTTGAGAGTGCGTAGAATATCTGCTTGAACATTACCACAGTCACCAGTGTAGGCTTCTTGATAGTGTTTATGCAGGTCAGTATAGAGGGCATCACAGATGCGCTTTTTGTTGTCCTCAATCATCCACCAAGCACGTTTCAGTTGACGACGCCTCCATTCCTTATTCTTGGTGGTGCCAGATGCAAAAGCACCCCGCACACTTTCATACGCCTAGAAAATGTCAGCAGTGGTATGAAAAAGTATAGATGATATTTACCTGATCAAACTCGGCTGTGGTGCTGAAACCCATGGTGATCTTGGGGGGGGATGATGTGGAGATGCCCCTAGGAGGAAGGTGAGATTATATGCGGGGGGGTTGTTGTACTTGTGTATACTAATACACCAGTGTTGACATCCGACTTACCGAGGACCCCGGTCCAAGACTGCAGTTTATTTTTTTTTTTTTTTCATAAATATGCATGATCCTGAATTAGTATTAATTTAGATAGTATTCTTGCGATATTCGCATCGCGAAATAGCTCTCGGGGTGAGATGTTTTATGCAGGCCGAAGTGCATACTGTGAATAGTTGAATAGTTGAATAGTACTTTCTAATATAATAACCCATTGACTTACCTTCACTCAGTTCATCGATAAAAAACTACGCTGAATCCCACGATGGGCGAGAAGTTGCCCTTCGAATCTACGTATACAACCATCATGTCTTGGATGAGCTTCCCCGCTCATCTTCAACTATCATATGTGTCAAGCTTGTAGGAAAACGCAGAAAGGCCTGAGACTCTGGAGTCTGGAATTTGATTGAGTTGGCAGGTTTGAGTGACAGTATCAAAGTGGTGGTAGGGTCTGCATCAGATTCACCAAAAAAGACATTCATGTAGAGAAGAAATTGATCATCGATTTCCTTTTCCTAGATCATGTTGAATCATGTTGAAAATGAGTATATCTAGCCCTATAACCGGATTGCCAATAAACCTGGGAATGCTTATCGTCTTGGCCCGCATATAATATATAACAATCTATAAGGGGGAATATAATGTCAAGAGCTCGTACAGGCTGTTGGACATGTCGTGCACCACGCATAAAATGCGACAGTAATTTCCCATACGGTTATAATTTAAAACTCTGCTAGAAACCCATCCAATCTGCCGTCGTTGTGCCCATAACAATGCCCTATGCGGATACGAACTCCGTCTGGTCTGGCATGAGAAATCTTTAGCCCGAGGTGTTTGCCACGGAAGAACAGGGGTATGGCCCAAGCGAAAAGATGTTCAAAAGAAGGAATCACTGGGGCAAGTGGACGATAGGTTATCGCTACAGCCGGAGTACACGGGCGCTGACCGGACCTGAATGTTTTTAAACACGACTATGATCGATCTCCAGATCCATTTTGATGGCACCCAGCCCAGTTACATAGGAATGAAGCCGTTTTCACAACCAAGCCCGTTGTCGCCTTGGCTGAATACCATATCTCCTGCTCATGTCTTATTTCGAACACATCATCTGCAGCAGCTCAACTCTCGTCGATAATGCACATTACAATCCATATCGATATCTCATCCTACCCATGGCCCTAAAGTCAAAGGGGCTATATCATGCCGCCCTAGCCGTCATAGCTAATACCCTCAAGCTGTCAGATCACCGGCTTCCAGCATTGGAGCATCATCATCGGGCATTGAATCACCTGCGCGGTCTCTTGAATAAAGCCAACTGGGCGCAAAATGAGTTGGATGAGATGCTCGGTCTGGTCTTGATGTTATGCTGGTTTGACGGAGGATCCTCCTTACTTCCTTGACGATGAGAATCTTCTAATTCCCCTGCAGATCTCAAATAGCAGCCGCCCTTCATGGGTCACCCATCTCAACGGGTTCCAAAATCTAATTCGGACACGAAAGGAACGCCCGGTCGCTCATGTCAGAATCAAGATCTGGCAAGTTTCTTCAATTGTTATTTCGCCTTCCACTTAGTTCTAGCCCGCACTGCGTTTCGGGTCATCCCTCCCTCATGTCATATATCGCCTCTTCTGCCGGACGGTATACTGGAAAAAATCAGACACGATTGATCCGTACATGGGATTGAGCCCTGCTCTCTTATGATCGATCAAGTCGCAGAACTTGCGTGGGCTTTTGAGGATTGCAAAAAGTCAACCGTAAAGATGTTCACCAACTCAAGATGAACCTTAGCCTTCAGCAAAAGATACCTACAGAAAATATCGATCCAAATACAAGAACTCAACTCAGTCCAAACAGCCCATGGGCTCAGAGAAGCAGGATTATTCATCCTCTATGTACTTTTCCGGTGTCGTTGAAGTCACTACGCCTGTATTCTTCCTGGATAACATGCAAACAGGGTATGCCCTTGAGGGTCCTGCTATGATCATTGACAAAACTCAAACTATTGTTTTCCTTTTTAGACCTGGAAGTGGTGCCTGGGCTAACGCATCCGACGATGAACTAGCAGCGAGTGAGAGCAAGAGTCATCAGAACTCATCGGCTTTCCAGCCACGAGGAAGTGTGCATTCAATGTCGTTGCTGAGGCCGCAATGTGAGAGAAATGGATATAGATGAGGAATCATGTAAGTAGGTACTCTTATTACTCTTATTAATTTTTTTATTTAGAATTCCTAATACTATAAATTTATGAATATATAAATATCTATACTATACTATACTATACTCCCTCGACCTCAATCCCTTGCAGAATGCCCAGCCCGCACCAAGCGATTGACATAAGCACCTCCACAAACATCAAAACGTGGACCAACTCATTCATCGACACCTTAATCTCCCTGGATTTGGTATGGTTTGTGGCAAATCATGCCTTTCACTCGATCTTTATTGAAGATCCCAATAATCATCTTCACTGTTTCCCTAGGTCTCGTCATCTACCAAGGGTCTCTGTCTTCGTTCCTCTTCGAAGGGCAATCTGAATCTCCCTATTTCTGGAGGTCGAAAACATGGTTTTCTTCATCTCAGTCTAAAGTGCCAGGCTCAAAGCAGTCTCCAGGAAAGGGGTGGAATGTTATCCACCATCTGGGAGGAAATGGCCCCTGGTTTGAGAACACCGGTGAAGGTGCAGATTCAAATCTAGGACCCCCAGAAGGATGCTCAGTGGACCAGGTGCACCTAGTATGTTCCCTAACAATTTCTTACTACGCTTTCGTTAATGAAATCTAGTTATCTCGCCATGGAGAACGATATCCAACACATTCTGCTGGGAGTAGTAGGTCAGCCCATCCGTTGAGTATAAACATGTTTTAATGTTTCCCAATGACAGGACATCTCCAGTTTCTGAAGCGAGTGGAAGAGACTGGCCTACCGCTCAATGGATCACTTGAATTCTTGAATGACTGGACCTATTTCTCGAGAAGTCCCGAAAGAGACTTTGGGGAGTTAACCAGCACAGGCGCTTACGCTGGAACGCTGGGTGCATTCACGACTGGTGTCAAATTTAGGACACGATACGAAAATCTGATCCCGAGAGACACCCGCACGCGTCTATGGGCAAGTGACTCGGGCCGCGTGATTGATACAGCACGTCATTTCGCCTCTGGGTTCTTTGGCCTAGACTGGGAGAGCTCTGGAAAAGCACAGCTGCAGGTTATTCCTGAAACTATTGAAAGGGGCGCAGACACTTTGACCCCAGGTGATACATGCCTCATGTATCTCGAAGATCCGATTCTTGGCCATGACCATGGTTTGGAGATGCTTGCGCAGTTTCAGGAAACCTACATTCCTGCAATTGCAAACCGCCTGATCTACGAGAACAACATCGGTCTAAACAACCTTTCCAATGAAGAGGTCTATAGTATGCAGGAGATGTGTGGGTTCGAGCTTATGGTGCGAGGAACAAGTCCATGGTGTGAAATGTTTACCAAGCAGGATTGGTATAACTTCGAGTACGCTCGCGATCTGCTACTTTATTATCGTGCAGGGCCAGGCAACCCATACACTGGTGCGATGGGATGGCTTTGGTTGAATGCAACGACTGGACTGCTTCACGAGGGTCCGATGGCTGGAAGCATGTTCTTCAGTTTGTAAGTCTAGCTCATCGTTTGTTTGATATGAAGAGCACTGTTGCTAATTTGATACCCAGTGTACACGATGGCGATATAGCCCCATTCCTCACAGCACTGGGGATATTCACTGGCGACAAGGAACTTCTTCCCACGACCCATATCGCCGCAAATCGTGAATGGCGGATTTCTCCCATTCTTCCCATGGGCGCAAGGGTCACACTTGAGCGGCTATCTTGCTCACCAAACCATGAGGATCCGTACGTCCGAATCAATACCAATGATCGGATCACACCATTGCCTTTCTGCAAGTCAGGTCCTGGGGAGTCATGTCCTCTCAATAAGTTTGTGGAATATGTTCGCAAACGAAGGCAAGAAGTAGGAGATTTTGCAGAACGGTGTGGATTGGCAGGTGATGCTGGACATATATCATTCTTGCATCAAGATTGACCCAGCATAGTCTGTACAGTTCCCATATTAGATGGAGATGCTAAGGTTGAGATTAAAATTGCATTGCAATAAGCCTGATTCATTTATTCGATATAAGGCCATCTCTCATAAATCAATCATCAGATATAAAGTAAACAATAGATCTAGAAGAAAAGAAGAATAGTGGTTGGATTTTTCCAGTAGATATGGACCCACGTGACCGTATCCCGGCGAACCAGTGTTTACCAAAAGTTTTGGATCCCTCGATGCCCGACGGACAAATTTACCCTTTTGTGCATTCATCTCGCAGAACCTCCCTTTCTTGAGCTCTCACTTCTTCACATCCCTTGACTCTCCACATTCACCCAATCCCTTGACCGCATCCCATCTACCGTCATGGAGTATCACTCCGTCCCACCGGAGGAACGCGCTAGAGACGAGGATGGCAACCTCCTCCCTTGGGGTTATGTTTACAAAGAGTATGTTCGATAAGATTTACAACTTCTCTCCTATCAAAGCTAACCAATATTTTCAAGTGAATCGCGCAACCCTCGACGACCACCCGAAGAATCAGGACCCTTTGGCAAGAGAAGAAATGCTCGATACGATAATGCCCGCTCACGAACACGGACTGGGACACCAGCAAAGCGCGAGAACCCCAATGTCGCCGAGTTCGGTCGGCTATTCTCACAGCAACAGCAGGATGAGGAGAAAACACACGGCTTGCCCAAGTCATCATCGTCATCCAGTCTTGACAACCAACGGAAGCAAACAGAGAAGGTCGCTACCGAATGCATACTCTACGGATACAAAAACAAGGACAACGAGTGGAAGGTGATCGACAAATACGAGCGCATCTCTCAGGGCATGATCTGCGAAGATTACCCTCGCAACGACCCGACTTCAGCGAGCCACTACACCCAGCTATTGAGCGGAGGCGACGTCGTCATCCGAAACCTGTCAGCCGATGCGAATCGCAAGTCGAAGCGCTACGCCGGTGGCTACCACTGGATCAAGGTCACCTACGACTCGACTCAGTCCGCAGACCGGGCGTGCTTCTATTCGCCACAGAAAATCGATGGACACCTAGTTTTCTGCGAGCTGTACAGTGGCCAGGGCCCAGCCGAAGACGCCCCAATCCCGGCAGACTCTGCCGCGAGCAGTCGGGTTCGCAATACAGCACCGCGCACCTTGACCACCTCGCACTCGACCGCCTTCCTCTCCAACTCCAGCAGAGACCAGGACCGCATGACACTGCCTCGTTCCTTTGCCATGAACAACCTTTCCAGTGTACCTGATATGCCAGAGGACGGACGGCATTCGGTCGACTCCTCGACGATCGCCGGTACCTCCGACGATACAATTACATCCACTGCAACCTCTGCAACTGCCACTGCCACACCCTCGTTCCAGCAAGGTAGTTTCAATACAACAACTTCAACATCCACCTGGACGACAGGAGCTTCGTCCGGTAACGATCGCACCTCAGCCCACCAACGCCGAGCTCCCACTCAAGGCGAACCCACCCACGACCACGAATTCATGACGCATATTCCGTCCGTCCGTCGTACCAAGCTCCGCCCCATGCTCGAGGCTCTCCCCCCACAGCCAACCATGACTGAGCGCGTTCTCCGCTCAATTCCCATCCTGAGCTGGTTTACAGGTGACATTGTGGGCGAGGGCCCGCTGCTCCGCGAGGACGGCACATTTGATTCGGAAAGATCCGGCCTTTACTGGAGGTTCTGGCATACGTTCGATTATTTCCTGAGAACGGATATGTGCGGGCTGAAGGAGGATAGTTGAGGCGACATGAAGACCATCGAGCACTATGGAAATGGAATACCTTTTCGTCTTTTATCATTCACTATTCACTACATCACGGATCTTTCGCCACAATTGCAAAGTTTTGCGCGCGATCAACATAGAATCCGAATCGCTACGAAGCTCGAGGGGTCAGTCCTGAACAGTACTGCGCATGTCGCGCAAGGCACGGGGGTCAATGGCTTTGTGGTAAAATAGCTCGGCCTTTGATCAATGGATAATGTGTACGATAGCTGCATCTGATGCAGACATAATGAATTGTCCTTTTGAGGGACTGCACGCAAAATCCCTATACCGTAGAACAGTAACAAGTACGATTCCTCATACTTCTGCTTCAATGACTCGGATAAAACCTTTGAACTGTCAGAAGACTCCTTTCCATCCCCAGGTGCATCAATAACTCCCGTTATAAACTCATGCATCAAGCCTGCCCGCAAGGAAGAGACGAAACGGCAATCAGAAAAAGAGAAAAAAAAAAAACGAGTCAACAAAAAATAACTCTCGAACCGGAGCTTAAATTTCATTGATCATAAGACAAAAGTATTTTAAAGACTCGATTTAGTTCGCATCTAGGCGTATTTATTCCTTAGTCTCGAAGTTCTCGCCCTCGACGAGGTCGGGGATATCATCCTCCTCGTCGTCCTCCTTCTTATCACCCTGCTGCTTCTGCATGTTCTGGTAGCTCTCGGCGAGCTTACGCAGGGAAGCGAGGGAGTCGGGGCCGAGCTGGTTGAGGATGTTGGGGACGAGCTCGGTGAGCTCCTTCTCCTCACCGTTACCGTACAGGGCAAAGGTGTTGGAGGGGACAGCACCGTGGACTAATGCGATGAGATGATTAGACAATTATTTTCTCTTTTCGTTCCTTCTTCTTCTTGTTCTTCTCTTTGTGTGTTGCAAAGGCCAAGGTTGGTTTCGGGGGTGGTTTTTTTCTACTCACCACGGGGGTTGGCGAAGTGAATGACGTTGCCATCCTCCTTGAACATGTTGACCTCCTCGATACCCTGGATGGGCTGGACGTTCAGCTTCTTGAGAGCGGCCTGGAGCTTCTTGTCATCGGCGCCGGAGTTGCGGACGACCTTCTTGACCTTGCGGCGGGGGGTACCCTTGCCACTGTAAAATTTGTTAGTTTGTTGGACATTGGACGGTTGGAAAAATGTGGTTGGCTCGGTGTGGATGGGTGGGTGAATACGGGTGGTGGTGGGGGTGGATGAAATGGGGGGAACCCGAAAAGCTCGAAGGAATGCGAGAATTCACAAGGCCGAGAGTCAGACTGGATTCTCCGATCTATACGATATTCATGTTCGGGTTCGATATTTGGGATATAGCGGCCGTCGCATGGATTCGAGAATGGGAAATCTGTAGTCTGACTATCGGGCTGTGTCGAATCCGGGTAATGCAGTTCGAAATTTCGTTTTCCTCCATAGAGGGAATCGAGAGGTCGGGATGAAAACAGTTCTGGACAGAGGATACATACCCTATTAAGAAGAATGATGTTAGCTATCAAATTTGAGTATAAAAGTCCACCCAAGACAATGCAAGTAAATTGCACCTGGGCAGAAGGTAGAATCCTTGAGATATGACCAAGCTCCAGGGCTACCAATTCCACAGAATCGCAGCTCCACGTCATGACCCCGATCATATCTCAAGCTCAAAAATGCTTGAAAAGAGGTAGAAACGTACCGATGCGAACGCTCGCCTGCATTCTAGCCAACTTTGCCTGATCCATGATGAAGTCTGGAGGAGTGATCGCCTGGTGCGGGATTAGCTGGAAATTCGGTGTAAAGGATTTGAAAAGAAGAAATGTAGAATTGCAAGTCTTTCAACAATTCGATGTAAATTTTGAGCGTACCGTTAAAAAAGGGTTGAGGGGGAGATGGTAAGAGGGAACGTGAAGTGGAAGTGGGTGGAATGATGATGCATCCCCAAGAGTTTTGTGTGGGGAGTTTGAGAATATTCGCTAATGCGCCGATTTGGGGTTAACGGGCTGTTATTTTGTTTAATGTCTACACTTTGATCTGTTTTATAAATTGATTCTATGAATATTTATCTATATCTGTTTCTTCTTGTTGATTTTGGTTATTCGTCCAGTTGCCCAGTGGTTGGATTGTGGGATATTGAGATACTCGGCTAAACCCTAATCGGGGAGATCGAGATATGTATACTTAACATACTTAACATAATAGTTCTATTCTCCCTAACCACTAACCCTCTTCTCCTCCATCTCAATCTGCTTCTTCTCCCAATTATTAAAATACTTATGCCAAGGATGCTTCTCCTGAAATCCAAGAAGCTTCTTTATCTTCGCATTCGAAAAGGGTGCCTCAAACTCCTCCATCTCACGAGTGATAGGTATATCCGGGAACTGCGACTTCAGAAAGTCCTTGGTCGGACTAAGATTGGTAATGTGATCATTAGTAGCATTGAAGACCTGAAACCCAAGTCCATCCGTCTGCAACGCCGCCTCACACATCCCACCCAGATCCCGCGCATCAATATACGACCATCCATGTACCTTCCACATAGTCGGCTCATGCACATAGCTGTAAAAGATATCTTGATTGTATTCCTCAGGCTCGATAACACGCCCAATACGCAGGATGTAGATATCCACTCCGAAGCGCGCCGCAAAACCCCGTGCGACGCGCTCACCGCACAGCTTGGCGATCGCGTACGTATCCGTCGGGTTGATATCTAGGTCTTCGTGGATCGGGAATGAGGGGAAGTTGGTATCACCCTGCGCGAAAGCTACCCCATACACGGTTACGCTGCTAGCGATGATGATCTTGCGGATCCCTAGCTTGCATCCCGCCTCGATGATGTTGTATGTGCCCTGTGTGTTCGAGCGGAAGGTCTCGTTGTCTGGTACGAGCATGTTGCGTGCGTAGCCGGCGAGGTGGATTACGGCGTCCGGGCGCGGCGGGAGACCTTCCGGGAAGGGCTCGCGGAGTGCCCATTGACCGGATAGGGCGTTGAAGACTTGGCCGCTGTCGACGAGGTCGGTTTTCAGGGTATGCACGTCTGGGTGTTCCAATGCCATTAGGTCCAGGTTCAGGATTGTGTGTCCGGCGCTGAGGAGCTCTTTGATGACGAATTGGCCTGCTTTGCCGGAGCCGCCAGTCACGACGATGTGGCCCATGGTGGTGATAGTGTTTGGTGAGACACACGGGGTTGGGGTGTCGGATCTCTGCCCAGGGGGTATATTGTTTGATCCTGGGATAATTGGGACGAACAAGCTACGCGGGCGCTTATCCAGAGGCTATGACCGGCATCGAAATCATCATGATGCCATTTGCCTCCAGGCTCTCGGCTTCTTATAGGCGGGAGAATGGCAACGCGCATTGCAATGTGAATTCTCAAAAGTAGAAGCAAGCTAAATCGCTAGTAAAATTCCAGTCATTTCATACATTTATACATGCCTTGATGGTCTCCATTCATTTTCCCTTCGAAACCTGGGTCTCGGTCCAATCCCAGAGCTTATGAGCCAATTGCGCGTTCTGCACAGGCGCAGTGCCACCACTGCGGTACCCAACGGGAGTATAGTAAGCTCCATTGATAAGATTTTCCCTTTGCGTGCCAGCCGCCCAAAGAGAATTCAGGGCTCCACTAGTGACACTTCGGAAGAACATGGAGCCAGCAGCAGAGATACCGTGATTCATCACCCAGTTGAGGGTCTTTGTATGTCCATAGAGCCCGCTGTCAACCGCACCGGGGTGAACAGCAATAGACAAGATATCAGGGTGCCGGCGGGCCAGCTCGGATGCAAATAGGATATTAGCCAACTTGGAAGCGCCGTATCGCGTCCAGGTACTAGAAGCTAATAAGCCAGGGGTAGATGTAATTTCTTCAAAGGTCGAGGGACCAACGGCGTGAGCCGCCGAACCGACAGTCACGACCCGGACATCGGGCACCTCCTCCTTGGCGCGCTGAAGATCAACGGTCTTTTGTAGGGTAGGGAGAAGTAGCTTTGTTAACAGAAAGTGCCCGATATGGTTTGTGCCAAGCTGGATCTCGAAGCCCTCCTCCGTCGTGGTGGGCGGGTTGCCCATCGTGCCCGCATTTAGGATCAAGATATCTAGGCGGTCGCTATCGGACTGGAACTTGTCTGCGGCGGCGCGGATGGATTTAAAGGAAGATAAATCGAGGGCGAGGAAGCGGATATCGGCGGGGGAGGATAGCTCGCTTTGTAGCGACTCGATTGCTTCGCGTGCTTTGCTCTCGGTACGGGCGGCCATGTAGATGCGCGACGGGCGATGTTTGGCGAGTTGGAGGATAGTCTCTTTGCCTAGTCCGGCATTGCCTGGATCAATCGCAGTGTCAGCGTTCTGGAAGTTGGAGATGGATATAAAGAAGATATGTACCTCCCGTCACAAGGACGACCTTGTCGTCCAGGTTGCGAATGTCGCGCTCTGGCTGGAACGATGCCCCTAAATAGCCGAAGGTGGCCTCATTCAGAGTCGGGCCAAAGCTCGACAATGCCTCCCGAGGATGACGCAAGCTATAGGTCGCGAAGCCACGAGTGGCTACAATATCACGGAGATCCATCTCAGATTGAAGAATATGAGAGGTTGTGGAAGTTGAAATCAGGTTAGCTCAGGGGCGGGAATTAAGTAGCCAGAGCCAAAGGTCAGCTGGGAAACAAGGAACACCATCTTTTCACATGTATATATGTTGGAATGAGAGATGTGAAGGTAGAAGGCTTCCGAGGCTTTTTCAAGATGATCTTATCAAGATTTCCTATTTCTTATTGGTCCACATGACAGGGATTTCATCTCTGCATTGCCCAAGTGGTAAAGGTAACTGGAGGATAGTTAACTAACTAGTTAACTAGTTACGACATATATAATCTAAAGAATGTTGAACTTAATAAATCCATAAGTAAAAGAGAAATACCATTAAATAGACCTTTATATATATATGTCTGTCGATCTTGGTATATTTCACCGAATTCATCGCTAAGCTAGTCCAGCCCTGCACCTGCAAGTCCCCCGCAGGTTGCTTCCCCTCGTACCTCTCGTGATTCTCTTCTCCTGGCCACCTGTCCTGTAGACTTTCTTCTTCTTCCTTTTCCTCGAAAGTGATCCGGTTGGAAGACGAAATTCTGAACCGTTTCACTACAATCTCTTCTTTGCCAAACAATCTACACTACAAGCATTAAGAAACGATATCCAAAAGCACCAAAATGCGATTTCTTTGCTTGCACGGCGGTGGCACAAATGGCGAAGTATGTGCTCAATTCAAACGTACATAGACAATACTAACCAGCTACAGATCTTCGAAATTCAAATTGGAGGCATCCGCCAAATACTAGAAAAAAGCGGTCACCAATTCACATTCATGAACGGAAAGATAAGCGCCAAGGTCGAAGAGGGTAAGCTCTACTCCCTACACACAGCTATCGACTGCATGAACCATCTACTAACCCAACTCCAATGTAGAACTCGAAGGCATAGTGGACGGCCCCTTCTATAACCACTACACACGAGGTTCCTCACCCGGCTCCAGCATCCTCGAAGCCTTCGAACATACCAAGCTCTTCATCGCAGAAGAAGGCCCATTCGACGTGGTGATGGGCTTCTCACAGGGGGCGGCACTAGCAGCCTCGCTTCTAATCCACCAAAGCAAGACATACCCAGCTGAACCGTCGCTATTCCGCGCAGCGGTGTTTATCTGTGGTGCAGCGCCGTGGGAGAGTTCCGGACTGGAACATATCGCGCCACAGCCGGATATATACCCAATTACCATTCCGACGGCGAATATTGTTGGCAAGGCGGACACCCTGTTCCCTGAGAGTGTGAAGTTATTTAAGCTTTGTGAACCCGCTAAGGCGACTTTCTATGATCATGGTTCTAAGCATATGGTTCCGTTTGATGCGAAGAATACGGAGGAGATGACTAGGGTTATTAAGGAGACTATTGCGAAGGCCATTAGGTGTTAGCTAGGAATTCTTGTGCGGTGTTGAGATGGTAGGAATTCGAGGATACAAGGGTTCTACACTTACACCCCCAGTTACCGAAGTGATGCGCTTCTATAACTCTACCTGTGTTTTCCCACCCTCTAAGGCCGTGGGGGGCTTAAAATAGGCCAAAGGTTGGTATTACACAATGTTCCTTCTCGCTTTCTCTAGACTTTACAAGATTTACACGCCTTCAATCTTTCTTACTGCCACGTTCGAGAGCCAATTATGCCAAGTGCCCGCCACTTCATCTTTCTACTTAGCAGTAGAGAGCTAGTAAAGCTCCCTAAAAGTGATGATACATAGATCTAAGGATAGTTGGTAGCTCGTAAGGCCGCGTGGTGTCTTTTTAAATGTCTATTTATATATCAAAGAGGGGAACGCTCAACCCTGCATGCTGAAAGGCATACAGGTTGATTCAGCACTCACAATTCAGCTCCATACCAAACTTTGTATATAAAAGAACCTAGATGTACTGCACAGAACAAGTGAATTTAGAGAGGCATAGAAGTCTATATTGTCAATCTATATCTATCTACTACTTATATCTTCCGCACTTTAACAATTATATAATAAAACCAGCTGGAGCAAAGTTGGAAATTATTTTGTCTGTAGACATAGAAATTACATGTGTCTTGGAGCTAAGAGTCTGGCCCTGAGATTGGTTGGCTTTCAGTGGACCATTGTTGGCTGAATAGTCGCTCAAGTAGGGATTGTTGGATCATAGCCAGGCATAAAGGTACTAAGGTGATGTATGTACCCGCGGAGTCAGCGGCTAATAAGAAACCCCCATTCTCCATCTCCCATTTCAGTTTAGTAAAACAACTAGGCTTCCTTATGCATATTTCTAAGTTTAGATGGTTAGGCAAATTGCATGAGCGCGTAACGGTAGGATGATAGCGCACATCATGTAAATAGGTGTGATTTTTAGCGTATGAGCAATGAATCAGTTGCTTGGCTGAGCGTAACCGGTCGACACTTAATACCCCCAATTCTCCAGTTGCGCTAAATTATCAATCCTATATAATGTCCAACAAGTAACTGCAAACTGCAGTGACATTCTTTAGAAGATATATCAGCATTGTCTACTTGGGATACCAGTATTTCAACAAGTATTATGGTCAGTTAGCGAAGTGTTCAACCCGTGTCTTTGCTAATGATAATAACTGTAAGGACCCTCTCTCTATCACCGCTACCGTCTTAGCCTTACTGGAAACATCAATCAATATGACTAGTCGTCTCAGGGCTGCCTACTCACGCCAGCAGGCCCAACCAAGCTTGCTAGCACGGGGCCTTGCCGATTTACAAGGTACCGAGAATGTCATAAAGGTTATCCACAGCCAGCGATGCCTTGAGACAGCGGCCGTGACATCCGACTTGGTAGAAATGAAAAGTCTGTCACAGGAGCTCCTCACGCTTCTTGAGCGACTAGATTCAGGGAAGAAGTCTACTTCCCGCCAGCTCGCCTATCAACTTATCGGCGGATCAAAAGACGAGGGACATTTCGAGAACATTGTGAAAAGGATGAACGCTGCAAAGACAAATATCATCTTGCATGTTGAGGTTGCTAGTGTTGGACTTGCTCGTGATTCTCAGAGCAATCTTGTCGTCAACGCAGCCGAAATCAGACAACTTGATCGGACCGTCAGGGAGCTACTTGGTGATGGACGGGGATTGAGGATTGCGAGTCTATTAAAAGATCGGCCCCTGCATGGTAAGCGTCTAATATGTCAATGTTGAAGGATATCTACTCGAACTAACTATAAATAGAAGACGGAACAGTTATTCTAGACCGAGATGATTTGAATCGGATTGGCGTATCTGTTCCCAATGGAGGTAATACTCGAATAATTACTGGTAACTTGACACGACTACAAGCGCTGCAGATCAATGGACCAGTCGGCGAAGATGAGTGGAAGACCATCAGTCACCTTGATGTCAGAGACAATGAGGCTGGTCTAGCCAGCTCACAGGTCAATTTTTCTGTTTCTGATACCGCTTTTACCTCTCTCATGTTTGACCATACCATCAAATACGTCTTGCTATTTGTTTTGCTATTTGTTTTGATATATGCTGCTTTACATTAGTATTTTTTTCTTTCTTTCCAGCAAGACTTAATTCATTATTGCCGGATGGGAGTTGGGCCAACGACGTGCATTATATCGGAATATTATATCTTTGCATCAATCAGGCGAATTGCGATAACTAGGAACAAATATATGCATTTATTTCAAACTGCGTGGAATATCTAATAATGCCTTCTAAGAAATATCTAGTACAAGGTCTTAACGAAAAATTCACATCAAGCCCTGGGACGTGGTGACAGGCAAAGAGCGACAAACATTGGAAAGCCAACCTAAGGTTTTGGGCGAAGGAAACGATCAAATCCCCATGGCAAACGATTTCATAGCCTTCAGAGGTGATGAGGTGTATCGTGAGTGTTCTTGCTCGGCATTTTATAAGGGCTCCCTAGCCCTTAGATATGACGATGACCGAGTTCTCCCATTGTGGGCTTTAGCGATTTGATGAAATAAATATCCGATCATCCTACCATCATTCGTATTTTTCCAATATCACAGATCTGACCAATGCATTTGTTTTTCTGTCTGTCGCAACCTGAGTGATCGTCGAGTTATAACCGTGCCGCCTAATATGAAATGGCATCAAAGTCAACCTTGGAATGGAAGTAGAGTTGCTACTAATAATAGCACGGTTCCTCAAGCAACACATTTCTATTGGCACTGGATATCAATAACCAGCCATATAAGAATCGATGTCCTTGGACACACTATTTATACATGGAGAAAATTATACAAACCCATGGATGTACTTATGCGAAGTAAAGAATACCTAACTAATACTATCTACTATTGTATAGTGTAACTCCCATATTGTGCCTGTTTGCGGTAAATAACTTTCAATTGGATTGGAAGAACACCACATGCTAGTTATATAAGCAGAATTTTCAAGGATGAAAATGGCCCATCGTCACCAATAAATGCCAATGGCCATAGACATGAAAATAATTAACATTCAAGACCTAAAGCGGGAGCCTGCTTTGTACTGAGAACGCCACGCCACGTGACTCTGGGCAAAGCCGCCTCAGCGGCAACTCACCTAGTCAGCTTCATTTTAGACAACAACGTTAATCTTTTCCCTCCTCCGTCACTTGCCGTTGCGTTACATCCCAACCTTTATCATTCTACGATAACTATTTCTCCATACCCGCCATCTGCGTCGATTTTAGTCCTCCAGACGCCCCCTTTGCTGCGCTTCCCCATCAAAACAACGCAACCCCTAGTGCTCCCGCGAGTCGTCTAGACACTCCCAATAACCGGCCAATCCACATCCAAGGTTCTCTCAAATTCTTTCACGACTTTTATAATGGCTGCCTCCGAACAACCCTACGACCCCTATATCCCCTCCGGCTCCGCTGGCGCCCCCGCTGCCACCGGTCAGAATGGCAACCAGCGAACCGCCGCTTTGCAAGCAGTAAGTCAAATCTTGGATGATATCTTCGCCCCTAGCGATCGCAGCCATTGAGAAAACACACAAATGTTATCTGGTGGATGGTACATGCTTGTTGTCTTTTTGATTTATCCAAATGCGAAGGCTAGGGCGCTTGATTCTCGAAATGGGGCTGACGTGGTATCTTCTATAGCAAATTGATGATACCGTTGGTGTGATGCGCGAAAACATCAACAAGGTCTCCCAACGTGGTGAGAACTTGGACTCTCTCCAGGACAAGACCGACAACCTTGCCGTCTCGGCCCAGGGGTTCCGCCGAGGCGCCAATCGCGTGCGCAAAGACATGTGGTGGAAGGACATGAAGATGCGCGTGTGCCTGGTCATCTGCGTGATTCTTCTTCTCATTGTCATTATTGTGCCGTCCGGTAAGCATTTCCTAGCATTCTCTGGCATTCTCCTACTTCTCAGCTCGCCTCTAACATAATATACAGTAATTGCCACCAAGCACTAAGCACCTCGACTGTGCGCAACTTACGACTTCTCTTTGGACATGGGATCTTGAATTTTACTGGGCTTACTATTGTTGCGGCCGTGTGGCCTTTTCCGTTTTCTTCGCAGCCGCTAATACCTCCTGCTGTTTTTTTCTGGGCGTGTTTTCAATGACCAAATCCTCTTTGACTTTTCCATGCAACGATATGAGATCATCCGATTTTGGGTTGTGTCGCTACATGCGACCCGGTCGACGGGTGAAGATGTAAATGATACTTCCATGACGCCGTGTTTAAGTATGCTTACTACATTGCCATTCGGGTGCTCTCTCACTACAATGAATCTCCCTTATTGTGCTTTTATACTATTTTCTTTATATGCCTAGACTTGCCGGGATACCTGATTAGTATGATATGTAGTTATATAATGTAGAACGTTAGTGTAGATCCACACTCCGATGAATAAAGATAACATCCACCCTTGTGGATAGTCTCTGTTTTTGCATGAGTGCACAAATGGCGATGGGAAGAAAGGCGACTGAATCCGGCAGTAGTTTGGAAGTGTCTCCCCTCCAATTTTGGGTGGCTACATGTTTTATATTCCTATTTTGTATATGTATGAAGCTACCTACCTAGCTAGTCCTGGAGTTATCATTTGCTGACATAGAAGCCCACGTGGTCGAAGACCCATCTGACATCTGACCAGTGAAGGTCCAATTCGCCAATGAGATCACCCTGCAAGGAACCCATCATCTATCCATGTGTGCTCCAAACCCTTGTGCATCAGGTGTCTACTCATTTAATTTGATTTAGTTAAATGATCCCACCGTGAGTGAGTCTTGCTCTATCAGTGCAGCAGCGTAAGTCTTGCTTTGAATGCTTCGGGAATTCCTCTACCGAAGGATGTTGTTGAGTGAGAAAAATCAGATAATTCTGGGAACTCTTGGCACGAAAACCAGTGTCCACCAATTCCCTCAATTAGACCACTTGGAGAGGCCCTCGCATATACGGTCGGCAGGAAGTGCAGAGTGCTAGATCCAGCCAAGGTGGAGGGAAGTGGATAGCGGTGACCTAAAGTAACGAGTGAGAGGAAGGGACAGGATCAGATAACTGAAACTAAGCCCAAGCAGGATGACGTTTCGCGATCTCCGAGCAGAAGAAGTGGGCTTCTTCGGAGGTAATACTCTCGCTTGGCGAAGTCTAAGGAGATTCCAAGGTTGATATCCGAGCGAAGTGCGTGAAGATTCTTTTTTATGGTCCCGGTTGTAGCGCCACACAAATGTCTAATATTTTGTACTATTATAGAAGAAGAGAAGTCAAATAAAACTACTCTATGAGAGATATATTTCAAATCTGACATCAATAGAAGAGTAACTAGTTAGTTAATTCATGGAATGATTAAATGTCGCACGTAAAAAAGAAAAAAGACGGAGATAAATCGCTCGCTAGAGAGGGGGGAGGCTCCACCGCCTTCTCCCCGTCATTGGGCCAGGTTATCGCTCCGAGGCCCGGCCGATGATCTGAAAAATATCTCTTTTGACTCAACACTTTCTCACCTTTCACCTACCTTCCACCTACTTATACATATTTGGGGCCTCTCCCACCCAGGGCCCGACCGTCAGACCATTGAGGCTGCCGCATGTGCGTTGCTAGGATGATGTCCCTTCGCTCCGCTGTGCGGAGAGCTTCGTGCAAGTCCCTCCGTTCCCTCTCCGCACCGACTGCTCCTCTGCGAGTCTCAGCTGCAAAGACTGCCACTTCCCTGCGCCAGACTCGCAACTACTCCCGTTCGACGGACCCTCACCTGACCTCCACCCGCAGCACCGTCGTGCAACTGTTGAGCAATATTGGCTCTAAGCGCGAGGTCCAGCAGTACCTGTCACACTTCACCTCCGTGTCCTCTCAGCAATTCGCCGTGATCAAGGTTGGTGGTGCTATTATTACTGAGCACCTCCAGACCCTGTCATCCGCGCTCGCATTCCTTAACCATGTCGGTCTGTACCCGATTGTCGTCCACGGTGCCGGCCCCCAACTTAACCGTATGTTGGAGGCGGCTGGTGTTGAGCCCCAGTTTGAGGATGGAATCCGAGTGACTGACGGTAAGACCCTGGCCCTCGCCCGCAAGCTCTTCCTGGAGGAGAATATGAAGCTGGTTGAGGAGCTTGAGCGCATCGGCATCCGTGCCCGTCCCATTACCGCAGGCGTCTTTTCGGCCGATTACCTCGATAAGCCCAAGTACAACCTGGTCGGTAAGATCAATGGTGTCGAGAAGGCACCCATTGAGTCGGCTATTGCCGCTGGGTGTCTGCCCATCCTGACTTCCATGGCCGAGACCCCCGACGGCCAGGTGCTCAATGTCAATGCGGATGTGGCTGCCGGCGAGCTTGCGCGTGCCTTGCAGCCTCTCAAGATCGTCTACCTGGCTGAGAAGGGTGGTTTGTTCAACGGCGACACCGGTGAGAAGATCTCCGCCATCAACCTTGACGAGGAGTACGACCACCTGATGAGTCAGTGGTGGGTGCGCCACGGCACTCGCCTGAAGATCAAGGAGATGAAGGATCTCCTCAGCGATCTGCCTCGCTCCTCTAGCGTCGCCATCATCCACCCTGCTGATCTCCAGAAGGAACTCTTCACCGACTCCGGCGCTGGTACCCTGATCCGCCGCGGTAACAAGGTCCACGTGAAGACCTCTCTGTCCGAGTTTGGAGACATGAAGGCTTTGAAAGAGGTGTTGATCCGTGATCGCGAGGGTCTTGATGCCCGTGCCGTTGTTGACCGCTACGTCGAGGGCATGAAGGAGAAGGATTTCAAGATTTACTACGACGAGCCTATGGAAGCTCTGGCCGTTGTGCTGCCTCCTCAGCCCAACTCTCAAATGGCTCACTTGGCTACATTCACTATCACCAAGTCTGGTTGGTTGACTAACGTTGCCGATAACGTTTTCTCCAGCATCAAGAAGGACTTCCCCAAGCTGGCATGGACTGTCAAGGAGGACGATGAGAACCTGACCTGGTTCTTCGATAAGGCCGATGGCAGCTTGAGCCGTGATGGCCAGGTCCTGTTCTGGTACGGTGCCGAGAACGGCGAGGAAGTCAAGCAGCTGGTTCAGGAGTTCAACGCCCATGGACGCCAGATGTTCGGTGACATTAACCTCGAGGCGCGCCTCCACCGCGCTGCTGAGGCTGCTGCCAACATTGGCAAGGGCTTTGGTGTTAGCGGTGCTTCTGCTGAGCAGAAGCGTGGGTTCTCCACCACCACCAACGCTCTGCGCATGACCCGTGCCAAGCGTCCCGCCGTTGCCGTGAACTCTTTCCGCACCTATGCCACTACCAACCCCAACCCTCCTCTTGGTGAGAAGAACATCTCTAACACCCAGCCCGCCAAAGTTGCCCTCATTGGTGCCCGTGGCTACACCGGCCAGGCCCTTATCAGCCTACTGAATGCCCACCCTAACATGGATCTTCGTCACGTCTCGTCCCGCGAGCTGGCTGGTAAGAAGCTCCAAGGCTACGAGAAGCGCGAGATCATCTACGAGAATCTCAGCCCTGATGATGTCCGCAAGATGTCTGCCAACGGTGACATCGACTGCTGGGTCATGGCTCTACCCAACGGTATCTGCAAGCCTTTTGTTGATGCCGTTGACGAAGGTGCCCAGACGGGTAACGTCATTGTTGACCTGAGCGCTGATTACCGCTTCGACCCCAAGTGGACGTACGGTCTTCCCGAGCTGGTTGAGCGGTCTAAGATCGCCCGGGCTAATCGTATTGCCAACCCCGGATGCTACGCCACCGCTGCTCAGCTCGGAATTGCTCCTCTCGTTCCGTTCCTTGGCGGCCAGCCCACCACCTTTGGTGTTTCTGGATACTCCGGCGCGGGTACCAAGCCCAGCCCCAAGAATGACGTGCAGTTCCTTACCAACAACCTCATCCCCTACAGCCTGACAGACCACATCCACGAGCGTGAGATCAGCGCACAGCTGGGCACCAGCATTGCGTTCATTCCTCACGTCGCGGTTTGGTTCCAGGGTATCTCCGTAAGTGCCTGCTGGCCGCTCATTGATCCTCACGATTGCTAACATTTATATCAAGCACTCTATCAGCATTCCCCTGAAGCAGAAGATGACCTCCCGCGATATCCGCAACCTCTACCAGGATCGCTACGCTGGTGAGAAGCTCGTCAAGATTGTGGGTGAAGCTCCTCTTGTCAAAGACATTGCCGGCCGCCACGGTGTCGAGATCGGTGGATTTGCCGTCCACTCCAGCGGCGAGCGCGTTGTTGTCTGCGCCACCATTGACAACCTGTTGAAGGGTGCCGCCACCCAGTGCTTGCGTAAGTGTTGAATCCATCTACTTCATCGGCCATGACACTAACGAACTCAATAGAAAACATGAACTTGGCCCTGGGCTACTCCGAGTATGAGGGCATCCCTCTCGACTAAGCTTCCACTGGAAGTCAGTGACGAGTAGTATTCAGATTTTGTTTGTGTGTTCTTGCATGTCTTTTGTCTCATACCCCCCGTGCATCCTATACATCGCTCTGGGTTGGAGATTTCTGGGTGCTTCCTATCTATTTTCAGATCTTCCATAGTTGATTATGTCTACGTTTATACTTTTGTGTTAAAAGAGTGCGGTTTCTGTTGGTCTTGGTCCATTTCCCTAGAATTTTGCGGCTTCATTTCGGACGGCTCATCGTTTTCATCCCCTTGTGCTCAAGTGACTTTATATGGTTTCTCAAGGAGTCCCAAGAAAAGTAAATCTTTCTTCTAATGTTGGTGTTTGACCCAGTCCCTAGGACCATACACGAGTCGATTTAACTTATTGTACGATGGGAAATGGGGGCACAGTTCAATCGACTGTATTTATGAAACAATCTATTTTAATTGTAATCTTTGACCCGATCTTGTCAGTGCTGTAGCTGTAAGAATGTAGACCGTATGCTGGGATGCATAGCATCTGTTCACCTCAGCCTCGAGGTTCTTGTGCTCAGGCTGGGACTTGCACACACCCTCAAACATCAACCCTTTACTTTCTTCCTTGTATCCTCTTTTTCTGCAGTTTTATCACCCATGTCCACCGAGGGTACCTTCATCGTACCTTGCACTCTCTTTCGTCCAAGACTATTCCAAACCCACCAACCCATTACTCTGGCCCACGGGCAAACCGCTGTGATATCTTCTTTAACGTCCACTCCCACCGAAAAGCATTCCGCTCAATCCTGTCAAAATCCACACCACCCATAACCCGAATCTGAAAATCCAAACCACGTGGAGACTCGAGGACTTGAGGGTCACTCGAGTCCACTTGCACCGCAACCATGTTCTACAGCCATGAAAGTAAGTCGAAAGGACCCTCGAGCGATTGTTACCTCAGACCAAACGCTCACCTGCTTTTCGCACTCTAGTTCTCACCTCGCCGGAGCATGGTGTCGCGACAATATGGTAAGAATATCCAGGGCTTCCACGCATTCGCAGCCAGGACTAATAATAACCTCTCTCTAGGCTAGTCGCAACTCTGGGCTCCCGGTCCATTGCCAGAAGACTGAACCGAAAAGCCATCCAGGACGTTGATGTCCCCAATGCATGCCGAGTTATCATCAATCCCGATGCACCCATGGCCCTTCGACTGCAGGGGAGCTTGCTGTAAGATCTGTCGCTCAATGATGTCTCCACAAGTATGCTAACAATTTGACTCTGTTAGGTACGGTGTCTCTCGAGTGTACAATCAACAGTGTGGGTACACGCTTCTCGACACACAGGCGATGCATGACAAGATGGTCTCCAAGTTGAAGATCATCCCGGGGAGTGGACTTGATCCCGCTGCCGGACAGACCAGGTAAATTCCACTGATTGGTGGTGTCAGTTTGCAAGAACATTGGCTAATCCCATCCCAGGCCCAGCAATCTAATCCTACCATACGACCCATCTTTCCTGCCCGAGACAGCTCTCCCGGGACTTGAGATCGACTTGTCCTACTTCACTGCCACTTCGGATGATGACTTGAGCCAACTCAGTGGTCTCTGGACCAAGTCGCCCAATAATAGCTTGTCTGGCACTTCACAACTTTCAAGCCTGCACCTTGATCTCCCATCGGATGATATCCTGGGAGACGGTACTATCCTAGGGATTGATGAGATCAATAGGTCTGCGCAGAAACAAGATGCTTTCGCCAACATGACCGGGCTAGGATTAGGCAATGAAGAGGGCGTACTTCTTCAACCTGACTTTGAATTTGACGAGGATGGCAATATCATCGAGCTCGGTGCCAGAGAGAAGTCCCCTCACCCTCATGCAAGGAAGTCTAGCGTTGGTCCGAGGGAAAGCGAAGGACCGGTAAACGACCAACAACGCCAGCTCAATGAAGACTCGGTAAGTACCAAGCATCCATACCAAAACTAAGCAAAAGAAGGTTTATTGACTCTGCTCGATAGATGCAGATTGACAACGAAGAAGTTAGAGTAGCCGAGACCGACAACATGGCGGAGCTCAATACCCAGACCGCAGGCCTCGCCATTCTCCAGACAAATGAAGGCCGGGAGGGGGTTGAAGAAACAATTGAAATCGAGGCAACCGGGACCCGGCGGGTCAGGCGTCCAAAGGAAATTATCTCCGACGATACCACGGCGCTTCGAAACATGACGCTGGCCCAATGGAACAATGAATACGTTGCGAACATGACCCAAGCACTGAAGCAAAAGCAGCAAAATAAGATTCCAACCATTTCCAAGAAGAACGCTGCTTTCTGGGTTTTCGGTCAGGGAATCGGCTCGGTTGGGGTTGGACTGGGAATGGACCATGAACCGCATCCGCTCAACCTATACTCGGGCGATGATCTACTTGAAGCTGTCGGTGGATATACTCAGAGAAAAAGGCGAAAGCGCAGTGCAGATGACGATGACGGTGAGATTTCAGAAGGACGTCGAGTACGCGCGAGAAACGAACAAACAGATCATCTCAGCCGTGAGAACATCGACCGCCTCAACATGGAAGTTGAAGTCGGCCGTGATGCCCCTTCGAGTCTGATTGATGACCACTCGTCGCAAATGCCATGGAACATCACCGCTTCTATTCAAAGCTCTCGGCAAAGACATCGATTCGGCAGTGTCAGCGAGCTTTCTTCTCAAGGACGCAAGGCCCGCAGTCGTCTTACCAGCGCCAGTCCACTCGCCGGGCGCAGCTATCTGGGGGGACAAGACCGACCTAGCGTCGAGCTCCTGGGCGATTTCGCAGACGACCTAGATCTTACCCGTTATCTTGAAGGCGAGCTTGCGACAGACCGCGAGAATATCAGCTCACTCTCGCCAAGCAAGCGCTCTGCTCTCGAACGTGCCAAGTTAACTCTTGATCGGGAAAGCTTGAATTTCATAGAGTTCATGAAGACCAAGATGGGTACTGCTAACGATGACAACGCAAGAAACACACGAAGCCCGAACAGCAACATGTTCAACATGTCCAGCCCGGTCGTGGCCAGTCACGGTCAGACCACATTCGGGAGCCTTCTTCCTCCTGAGAGTACGACGCGAGCTGTCGCGACCCAGGCTTTGATGAATGTTCTCACTCTCGCTACGAAAGGTGTACTGCATGTCCACCAAAACGCATACATTGACGAGAGCACGGAGTGGGCAGTCCGCTATCGCTATGGTGAGATTTCCCTGCGACTAGCCGGTATCTGAGCATGAACCGTGCGCACTAGGTCCAAATGACGAGCACGAATGACGCAGAGGAACACATGAGGATGGATTGTCGAAGTGCTGAAATGCAAGGGGAAGATATGAGGGGTTCTACTCGGACATGGTGTGACTGGTTCCCATTGCTGCAATGGAACGTCGAAAATGAAGAGACAGCTATGACGAGAACCTATTGACGCGACCTGTGCGTATTACATCACTGGAATACGCAGAACACTATTTTAACAGTGGGAAGTGTAAGAGAGAAGAAGAACATTTGAAACGAGAGAAGGTGATATGAAGTTGAAGAAGACCAATACGGATCTACAATGCAGTTTATCTTTTATTTTTGTTCACGTTTCTATACCTCAATCTTACCAGGAACCTGTATGTTATAAATTGAAGCCGTACAACATAGACAGTATTGTGTATGGGATACGGGATAAGTAATAATACCCGAAGATGTTTCGATCGCGAACCCTGGAAATGAACGGAACATGTTTACGGAGTACGGGAAGTATATAACAAAAATATCAAGAATCATTTCCATACATATATATCCTCTGTTACTATCTCTGCCCTTTTGCTTCTGTTTATTGCGTGTCATTCACATAGGAGATTTGTCTTCCCCACCAAATCCAATCATAGCAATCTCTGATCCGAGTGTGCCTCGTTTGCCCTGAATTCTCCGACTTGGGGATTGATAGGGTTACAGGCTTATTATTATAGCTGTTAGGACTATATGACGGATGCTGAGTATGGTTTATAGCGGATTGTCTATCAATAGTGTGATTATTCAAGGCGTCTACAGACTATTTTGGAATTGCTTTTTATTAGGCAGCTATTCATAAAGTATTTCTCATATATTTCATATATTTCATATTACTAGGGTCCCAACCGTCGGTCTCATCCATTGGTCGATGTTTCGACTTTGGATCACACCAGTTACGGATGGTAGCAAGTGATTGATGAAGTGAAAGCAAAGAGATAAATAAGTAAAATGGTGCCTATTATAATAAAATTTTAAATCCGATTTCCGAGATACTAATAAACAATTAAATATACATAACTATAGTATATAACTAATATAGTATATAATATAGGTGCGTAGGTAATATACCCTACAGTACTCCCGTACGGAGTACAGTGGCACGTACCGTAAGCAGTGCTCCAAATTACGCAGGGCGCGTAACCCGCGTATTCTCCTGTCTTCGTCTTTCCATTTTCTTTTCTTCTCTCTTTCCTGACCCCTCCAACTTTACAACCCATACGGCGCCCTTACCCTTTCTTCCTTCAACTTCCTTTGTTTATTATCCTGGATACTGTAACTCCCCTTACTCCCCTCGTCATGGGTCGCACCGTCGACCAGGAGGTACACGCCGCGTTTGTCGAGTTTCGCGCCAAGGAAGATGACAAGGTGCGTGACTGTGTATTTCGTAATATTTCACCCTCCGTCACTAACATACGGAAACCCGTTTTGGGGTTTGTGCATGTTTAGTGTCTCTCTGTTCAGTGCATATACTGTCAACAAATCCGAGCAAAGAATACTTCGCGACAGAAACAACATCTCCTTGAATGTCCAGGTCTGCGCGGTCACCCCAACGCGCCTCAGCCTGCCCAGCCTGCCCAGGCCGCCCCTAACGGAATCGGTCCTCCCAATGGCTACCCCGGAACCCCCAATGGCCCGACTGCCACCCCGACAGGTCCAACTGGTCCTGGCACTATCCCAACTCCCAATGGCACCCTCATGACCAATGGTGTCAACCCTCATGCCACTCCATTGCAGACCCCGCTGGGGGCCCTCCAGAACCGCGCTGCAATGGCAACCCCGGTTCCGCCTACTGGTCCTCCGTCCGCGCCGTCAAGCGCCGTGCCCTCGCGACCGACTCCCAAGCCAAAGGCCAAAACACCAAATTCGAGCTTGCCCGCGCCCCCACTAGACGATGTGCACGCCGCTTTTGTTGAGTTCCGCGCAAAGGAAGAAGACAAGGTACGTACAGCGAAGGAAGTCGACGGCCATATACGTTGGAACATACAAGCTAACAGTGCGGAATAGTGCCTGTCTGTTCAATGCATTTATTGCCAACAAGTTCGTGCGAAGAACACTAGTCGCCAGCGACAACATCTGCTCGAATGTCCTACCTATCTCAGCGTGATGAAGGACTCAATCCCCGCCAACAACTTGCTCCACACATTCCCCGAGGGCGATGTCGCCCGATCACTTCAGATCCCCGCACCGTCGCTGGAGCTGGACTTCCGCATGAGCATCAAAATGAACCCCAAGGTATCTGTTGGACCCAGCGTCTGGGGCCAAAGAGAGTGGGTCTCGTTCATTGGCGGCCAATGGGCCGGTCGATGGGGTAAGGGTATCGTTCTGGTAAGGCTGAATCTTAATCTCGAATAATTCCTTGTCCAGTATCTAACTTTTTGAAAACAGCCTGGTGGTCAAGATACACAGATCGTCACCAAGGATTCCACGACCAATCTTCGTGCGAGTTATATTCTTCAGACTGTCGATGAGCCACCTGCATTTATCATTGTGCGCACAGAAGGATGGTTGACAGGCGCCAAGGATGTTCTCGAGAAGGTCATCGATTCCAACATGGCAGATGGTGTGAACCCCGGCAGTTACAAGTACCGAGTCAATTTGTCCATGGAGACTGGCGATGAGCGATACACATTCCTGAACACCTTGATGTGGATCGGCAGCGGTTGTCGCAGAGGTCATGAAGGTAGGCTTCTTCAATTCTTTCTTTTGCCATTGTTCCATACTAACTGGTCACGCAGTCATCTTTGATTCGTTCCGTGTCAACTAGGTCAATGCCCTTGTCTACCGATGATGTCTTGTCCGTTATTCAGCGAGTTCGTGTCTTTCTAACTTCAACCTCAACCTTGTGACGGGAAAACAACGGTGTTTCTACTTTCCCATTTCTTGATACGCGGCGCAACGTTTCTATGATTCAATTCTTCTCGTCCCCACGACTTTGTTCTTCTGACTGTCTTTGTTTGATTTCGAACCACGGGTATATCTGACGCCCTGTTATACCATGTGATGTGTCGCCGCAATTAAGCTGATTTTGAGCTTTGCGAGGTCTCTGATCTTTATTTTGTGTGTCCTTTGTGGTTGTTCTTCTGATGTAATTCTTTGATGGCTATCTATTAAAAATAGTCGACCCTTGTAAGGTATTGCTAGCTTTTGAGATGTTTCTTGTTATCTTGATCTCGGTTTCACGCCCTATCTCCAATTCGGGCTCTTTTTCGAGTGAGCTTCCCATCCAAATTTGATATGCAATGTTTCTATGTAGTTATTTTCAATGATATGAATGAAGATCGTTCCACGTTTGTTTAATTTCTCTGTTTCGGGGTACCTTCATACCAAACGTCATGTTAACGACTACATAACTATATATCATAGTTATCGTACGCTTACTAGTAAGATCAGTGATGTCACTATCTTTATATATATTTAGTCGTTTAAAGTAATCTATGAGACATTATTCTATTTTAGGGAGATAGACAATGAAGATGTCTGTTAGTTTGAAATAATATAGAACGGAATACATATATATAACCCGCTGTCATGTATAGACCGTACTGAACACCAACGGTATATACCTGTACGTACCAGGAATCGAATATTTCATAGAACTTAGTAGATCATTTTTTATACGAATAGAAGAATTAATTTGATGTTGTATTCATATAAAACCCCGTGTATCCCATTGATACAAGAACACCATACCAAAATCCACAGCCCAAACACCAAGGTATTATTATACACTCGTTCAATCAAAACTATACGGCAGAGATGGATCAATATCTGGCATATTCAGCATACCAGAGAAGTTTTCCGCACCAGTGAAAATGAACTGGTTGAAAACCAAATCATCTGCACCCCACGTAATCGCAAACGGGTTTCCAACCGGGTTAGACAGCGGACTTCCCAACCGAGGCGAAGGGATCATCTGAAGCGCATTGCGCTCATCGTTGAAAAACTCCTGAGAAATCCCCAGGAATTTCTGGTACAGTGTTCGTAATTGAACAAGCGGGTAGCTGATACCAGTTTGAGTGAGGCATTCAGCGATAGCTTTCATGAGGTTGAAATCGCCGATGTCGGATGTCGCGACGACGTTGCAGAATAGGACAAGGTATGCTGTCGCTGGATAGAGTAGAATTGTCCTGAGGTGCGTATGCGTATTAGAAAGGTGAAAAAAAAAAGAAAATATTACCCTATTATTATACCCTATTGGTATTGGGTTGGGTGGTTGGGTACTTACCAGTTCAAAAAGTTGACAGCGGTTTGCTTCTCCGCCGTGTGACACATGGATACAAGTGCTAAAAGTTCCTCGCGCGCTGATTGAAGATAGCTCCCTGTTGAACGGGTTGGTTGGCCAGGATCGGATTGGAGGAGGTAGAGCATTCCGGTCATGACTGATTGATAGGCGAATTTCAGGGCGGACATTTCGGGTTGGAAGTCGAGTCCCTTCCATTCAGATGATAATAATGCCATCTGCAATCGGTTAGAAATTGTACATTGAAGAATAAGCAATTTTCATAACTCACGTTGTTCATTCTTTGCTCGATATATTGCATCTGCAGCAGCATGTATTCTCCAGTATCATATAGCACGGAGGGATTGTGGTGATTCAATGAGGTATGGGGTAGATATGAAACCACCGCATCTTGCACCCGAGCCAGATCCAGATAAATCAAGAAATGTTCGGCCATCGGAGGGTAAGTTGGATAAAGATCGTTGAAAGTGGAGGGTAGCTGAACATCGAGGAGGCAGCGTGAAGTTCGTGATTTGAATGCATGGTTTCGGTCCAAAATGTAGCACCAAAGGAAACAGAAAAGCTCTTCCTCGCTGGCAGTTCCACATAAGACTTTTGTTCGAAGATCCAAGTCAATGCAGGTGTTACAGGCAGCCTTGGTGAGCTCCCCACTTATATCGATGTCTCCAGACCCTTGGTGGAGAAATATCTAGATATGGGTTAGTTCTGCCGAGAAAGGATACAATAACGGGATTGAGAGACTTACACCACATATGATAGCCTGTAATAGCGCAAGAGAAGGTGCTATTAGCAATGGTATCTGCTTTAATGCGGCCTGAGCTGATGCCCGATACTCTTTGGCATTCTTCCTCAGCTCGAGGGCAAGGTCGGCGTCTTCTTCAAGATTTACAACCGTGGAGATAAACTTGTAGGCAACAGAATTGACGCAAACGGTGTAGATGATGGATTCGCGAGTCGGTATTTTGTTGCGAAGAAGTGAAAGTCCCATCTGCTTCAATTTTGGGATTGATATATGTCTGTGATAATCCACAACGAAAGTCCCAAATCTGTTGGACCGGATATCTGTGGATGTTCATCATTAGCGTCAATTTTGCAATTGTATTGAGGCAGCTAAACATCGATGTACCTTTCAACATCCAGGTAAGGAATTCAATAGACGGGCTTCGGGAGTAAACTTCCTCTTGATGATCGTTAAGATTGTCTTGTACCAGTGCTCTTGAATTGTCAGACAGTACTTTTATGACCGATAAAGCTGTTTCGAGCACGCTGCGTCGGTCTAGACTGAGACCCGGGAGATGGTATAGTTGATGTTGAATCGTTATTTGCGCATCGTAGACCGGATCATATACAACCCCCGTTTTGTGCCCACGTGGATCGTTGAGATGACGACTTGGGACAGAGCGAACGACTGGTAAGACTTCATTCGCCGAGTTCCCCCCACCAAACTGAGGCTCAGGTGTCGCTCTTCGCCGGGAACTGTGGGAAGAGCTGCGGGTCTGACTACCCTGGGGGCGACTACTTAGACATTTGCGCTTCACAGCGCGCCGACGATTACAGGAGATGCCTGCATCCTGGCAATTGCCACATGGATCGCGCCGATCACACCGGACCTGTGTATCTGCTTAGCAAATCGGAGATTGAATATGGTATACATATTTCTCCCCTAAGGGTCATTACCTTGCGGGAATGACAGAGGTCACACTGCAGTTGTCATTAGTACTCGGATGATGTTGGGATTTGTTTCAGGTGAGAACTCATACCACTAATTGAGGCTTCTGTCTCTCGAGTGAAAGCTCGGTCGACATATTTCAAGGTTGTTTTTCAACTTTGATATGAACGAATGATCACTCTATGAGAGTGGAGTAAAATATTGGTGAATCTGGGCTGCCTGGGAGGGCCCTAAAAAATAATTTAAGGTATGCTGAATCAGAAAATTTCCTCCTGGGCAGAGAACTGGCTAAGCAGAATAGGCAGCATTAAATGGGTTCCGCGGCGGATCAGACATTTCTTGGCGCCAATCGATTTATCCAATGAGTAATAGTCTGGGGTACTTTAGGGGTACTTTAGGGGTACTTTAGGGGTACTTTAGGGGTACTTTAGGGGTACTTTAGGGGTACGTTAAGAGTACGTTAAGGGTACTTTACGGATACTTGAAGGATACTTCAGACGTGCTTAAAATCCCCCGGAAGATAAAGTACAACATACATAGTAGATCTCTATCTCGATGTACAGCATATGTAGGGATGCATTATTCCCCGGCCACAAGTACCAAGTAACTGGCCCTTACATTTTTTACAAAAATTACAGACTGTTCTACCGGGGGCAATCGTACCTTTTACTTGGCGGACCATACAAAAGGTACATGGGTATATGCTAGTTTTTGGTACTACAAAAGTATAACACAGAGTATATAATAATCTGCTCTATTTAAATACGAGTTTCAGCCTAAGTTTTAGGAAGCCCTCTTATAGTATGGTCCGCCTAGTAGTTAGGAGAGTCTGTAATTTTGATTCAGGGGCCATTTGGGACCCTTTTTGGGGACCTCGGCGGGACCTCGGGGCCTCAGACGAATTTTGTAAGCCAAGAAACCTTCTAGGAGATCTTGGCACTGCTTTACTTTAAGATAAACTGTATTCTACTGAATCCATAAATATGTATAGACACCCAAACATGAGATTATTATTATTGTTCCTTGAACTAGGTCACCTAAATCACAACACATGGTATCAATGACACAGAATGAAAAGAAAGTAAGAACCTGGATAATTTTGAGTTTCCCAAGACAAGTCCGAGATTTGATTCAACGCCTCGAGATGCAGCATAAGACTCCAGTCTTCGCTAAGAAATACAATGCCCCAAAGAATCGGAAAATCGAGAGACCAGAAGTGGCCCACAGAATGATCTTGAAATACCACGCCGTGCGAGGTGTAGATGTCGCCTATGTCGGTTAGTGCATGTAAACAATAGAAGAAGGAAACTAAAGCTCGACTTACCGTTAGGCAAAGCCTGTCGATGCTGAGGTTGTTAATACACAACGCCAGAAGACCATTGCTGAATGTCCACAGCAACACTAGATTCGTTCGGAACGCTTTGTATGAGTCGTCTAGAGCCACTCCTTCGTTCTCAATCGGTTCTTGCCAGGGAGTCAAGGCCCGCTTCACAGTGGATGCGAATTGCTCATCAATGTCGATTTGAGGTTTGTCCAGTTCTTCAACGAAAGGCGTTTCATCCTCCTTTTTGGTTTGCGCCGATGGAAGCTTCTCGGGTGCATCGGATCCCTTGGTGCCCCATGAAACATCATGCCAATTGCAAAAGGCATAGACCATGAGAACATTGATCGAAGAAGGCATTCCGAGAAAATAGGCCCAGGATGAAGTGATCATATGCCAAGGGTCGGCGTAGAGTATGCTAGCAAGGAAGTAGATCCCGTATGTTGAGACTAGAGCAATTAGAACAAGTCCACCCGTGGAGGCAAGAAATCCCGATACGAGTGCCGCAAAGCCATGATCGATATCAAAACTGAGATTCTCCGGAGTCATTGCCTGCGCAACGAGATAGAACGACAAAATGAGGAGATAAAGCTGGACTACCGAAAAGTAGAGAAAGGAGAGCGTGTAAAGAAATTTTGATCTGTGATTGAATGTTAGCTTTAAATCCGAAAGAGAGTACATATCTCTAGGTGCGGATACTTACCCCTTTGGTCGATTTCCAAGCGCTAGGATAAATTGAAGCATAAGGAATGTCAGATAACCAATTTTCAATATGTTATTGACAATTGGAGTAGCCTCATTCCCGAAAGGCCACCCTTTATCCTTGTTGGTTGGACTTGGTGTTCCCACAATGTCCAAGATAACTGAACTCGTGAGCCAGTAGGATGCTAGTATGTGTTAGTAGTCTGGTATAGGACTAATATAAGATCCAAAGAGCTCCATCAACTTACCAAGTGAAAGCCATGTCATGACTAGCTGGCAGATATTGTAAACTAGTTGGATATGAAGCAATACCAACCGAATGAGACCATGCCCACTTTTGTAGATCCGGTTGAAATGCATGATTGAATACAGCGATGCCGCAAAAGAGCCATTCAGCCATCGCCGCCGTTGACTTAGGAACTCAGCTGGTCGTTCGGGGACGTCTGTTTCTCCTTTCGACGCTTTCACGTATGTGAGTAGCCACCGGTTGCCGGCCTTAGCGACTAGCTCGAAGCAAAGAATGCGATCTTCTGCAAGAAACATGTTCTTTTTGAAGATATTCATCCCATCAATTCCTTTCTTACCGAGCTTTTGAGCTAGTGTGTGATCTCCATGGAAGTACTGCTCAAGAGGCCTGCCCATAATAGCGCGATATCGATAGGCAGAAAAAGCACCCGGAAGTACGCTCACATAGCCGAAACTACTCTCCAAGGGTTTGTCCAGGATATTTGAGATTTTGTATTCGAAATTTTGGGCCGCAACCAAGGGATTGAAGAGCTTCTTCCATCGGTGGCCGAGAAGCGCGTGAATTTCACCGCAGGCACCACCGAGGTTCCTGTCGTTGTAGAAAGCCTGCCATAGGGCGAGCAAAGACTTAGGTCCGGGCTTTGTACCCGCATCAATCAGGATACAGATCTCGGGATTCAAAATGCGCCCGAACGCATTGAACAGCCATCGGTGTGAGTTGATCTTCTTAGCATTCTTTTTCTTGAGGCAAAACATCATCTGTACCGGGGGCAGATTCATAGGGTCGTCTTTGTATGGGCGCACGAGCTCTTGCTTTGGAGTAACCGACAACTGTGTGGTATACTCAAACTAGGAACCATTAGCATTTGAACATATCCCTAGGTATTGAAACCTAGAAGGGCTGTGAGTTGGGAAAACGAACAATGTGAGCGACCGTTTCTCTTCCATCCACATCTTGCTTCATCACGCCATCTTGAAAAACGCCGATGGTTGCCAGAACGTCAAGTGTGTTTTTATCGCAGGGATCCATGCCATCGAAGACAAGACAGACGACGATTTTCTGCCATGCGGGACCACCTCTGTTCCAAAACTCTGTCTTCTTCAGTTTGACGATATCTCGCACGTTTTGCATTACCCCATGCAGGGTTCGGGCAGTCAGTACTTTATCCTCATTGTAGTACGTGACGGCAATGAGAATTTCGGTGTGCCGATTGTACATCGAAGGACGGAGATTGTAACCATTGCGTAGCGTGAATTCATCAGGATCACATGTTGCGGCGGTGTCTAATAAAAAAGAGCGGAAAAAGTTAGGTTACCATGATGGGGTTGAATCAACTGTCACATTGGTGCGAGTACTCACATCTCATTTGCGTGAATTCTTCAGAAAGTTCCCCCTCTGCGTCTCGATACTCAGGTTGGATAGCATTGCGTATAGGGCTTGGTACCGGATAGTTGATACTCAAGACCGAGCCTTGTGTCAACTTGATTCGACGTGTTGGATATCGACGGATGCTGCTTCCTTTGTGCCGTGGTCCCGACTCTTTGGAAGAGGAAACAGCGGAGCCCTGGTTAGAAAGGTTGTGTAATCGGATCTGATCGGGGATTTCTAGTGGTTCCATCGGCTCGGGTCTCGGGCTTTTATTCTCAGCAGATGAAGAGTTGTACGATCGATGAGTCACTTCACCCGAAGAAACTGGGTCTTCAAAGGGACTGATGGACAAGGCGGAAGAATGGGCTGGATGAAGTAGAGAGAGGGCGTGCTCGTCTCGTAGTCCAGGATTCTGGTAGTGACCGGGAATGTTAGATCAGTTCGGCTTGTCGCATGTCCACAGATCAAGCAATTTCCACTTCACTTACACTTACCCGAGGGGAAGGACCATCACTCAGGCCGTCGCTTTCATCGCCTTGTGGTGCATAGTCAAATGAGTAAGGTCGATTAAAGGGATTCATCATGTAACATTCTGGACTCAATGTGGAACAAGTATTGGGAGTGTGTAAGCTGAAAGTCCTAAATGCAATGAATGCCTGGAATCCCTGATGCCAAGCCGGTTCAAATTGGTTGAGGTATGACAGGCTGCACAGATATGCCAAGCGAGCTTTGCATGTAAGTGAAGTTGAAAAGAACTGAATAATCTTCCTCTCCTCTCCACTCCCCCCACTCTCTCACTAATGTGAAAAAATAACAGGTTAGGGTACTTCTCGCTCTAAGTGAATTATCTCTGTATAGGCGGTTATTTTAAGCCGGGACCCCACATCTTTGTTAGAGCGAGTAACCAATCAGATAGCAGACCCTTCTCCTTAGCGTGAGGCTAAAACAGCTAAAACATCCTTATTCTTTTCAACCAGCCAATAGCCGTCTTGCCTGACACTCCACCACTAAACAGAAATTTCCCAGAGAACAGAAATTCTAAAAAATAGGTATCTTTAATATAGCATGTTCATACAAAAGGTACATACACCTAACACCCTTTTTTCCCAACTCTCCCGCCAGCTGAATGGTAAGTAAGAGTATTAGTAAATAATAGAAGTCTGGTTTAATCGATTTGCCACCAATATTAAATTTGGATATTTAATGTAGAGGAATAGAGACTATATTTAGAGACTATATTTAAAAAAGCACCATAAGAGATGTATTGGGAAATATAAATGTTCCGACACTTAGAGAATACTTAATATACTTAATACTTCTTCTTAATGCTGTTACCAAATAAAAAGATACTTCCTTTATAATATATAGTAGGTACTACTGCATACTCTTTAATCGCTCCCAGGACTGGGAAAATTCCAATCATAAATATGCCATGTTTAAGTAACTTTTGTATAGGCATTTCATATAAAAAGCACCTAATTTCTTAAAATTTCTGTATTCTGGGACGGGACCCATAGGCATAGTGGCGGTAGGACGGCTAGGTAAACTAGTTGGTTCATCTTCTTAATGAAATTTAGCATATTCAAATCGCCTTGCTAACCGACTAAAAATAACTTAAATTCCGTGAAATCCCACGAGGCACAAAATTCTGATTGCGCCGAGATCTGGGGTCACTTTGAAGTGAGACATACAGAAGTTTTCTTATGTACCTTGAGACTTTTTTAATGGCAAGGTTGAACCCTTTTAAGAATAAGTACGCGAGCTGCTGATACCTTTTCTAACATAACACTCCCTTTGACGGATTTTCCCCATGCTGTTCACAATGAGCTCACTTGGGCTCTCCCAGCCACCGATGACAGTGGACTTGAGACTGGACGAGACAGATTCAGCCTATACTCATCAAGATACTGTATCGGGCGAGGTAATATTGCACACCGAGTCGCCGGCCGACTTGTCAACAATTGTCCTAAACTTGTCGGGAACAGCAACGTCCCGGCTGACTCAAAGCAGACGCACAGAAACCCATAATGTATGTGCAAAAATGACTGCGCCAGCCGACCATTGCATTTTGATTATTGTCATTGACACTCGCAAACTTTAGCTGTTCCAAAAATCCTACCGCCTGTTTCCTTCAGATGATTTGATGTATGATTCAAACAGCTCCCGTGTAACTATCGGAAGCGGAAATCATATTCTCCGATTTTCTATCACCGTCAGTACCAATCGAAATCAAACCTATACTTAGCCTTAACTTACTAAATATTTTGGATTTGTTTAGATTCCCCAAGTGACCGAATGCTACAAAACTGGTCACTGGTCAAACAAACCACAAATTACATGCGCGAATATTCCATGTTGGCCCCAAAGGAAATCCCACCTGTTGAGGCCGACTCCGCCCTCGACTGGGGACTCGGAGTCACTGGCTGAGATTAAATACTCTCTGAGTGTTGTTGTTACTGGCAAAAGTACAGTGAAACAGGTAAGCAACTGCCCGCTCCAGCGATTACTGGGCAACGAGAATTGCGTTCAACCTCATTGCTGATCATTATCAAGACTCGAAATATTCCATTCCATTCATTTGCAGACCCAATACCGAAACAAAAACCATTTAAGCAGCAATGCTTCATCGACATCAACCCACGCATCCTGGACAGCGATTCACCTTTATCCTTCAGAGTCGACATTGAGCTTCAAAACGGACCTTGCCTTCTTCTAGGTAACTCAATCCCTTTGAGTATAAAAATCACGAAGCTTGGAGATTCACAGTGCAAAGTATTGCTGAGTGCATTTCAAACTATGCTGGTCGAAACAACACAAGTGAAAGTGAAAGGAACACCAGAGTCGGCTACTCGCACGTGGATCGTGCAAAGTATGGCCAATATAAACTATCCGGTAGGCCTTGCAGATGCACCTACGGACACAACGGTCAGTTTAAGGGATGTCATATGGGCCAACAACCGACTTCCCCGGAGGTCACTTCGAGTTTCGAAGTGTGCAACATCAAGAGAATGTACAAGCTCAACTTGAGGCTCGCATTTCTTGTTGGAGAATCTAAGGTAAATACAGAGAAGATTTCGGCCCTTCTTGATGACCTTGACCATGGCTAATAAAAAACCTTTTGGTTCAGCTTCAGACTGTCATCCGAGAACTCGAATTTCCCGTTTATGTTATGGGCCCAACCCCATGCTTTAAAGCATATAGTTAATAGCTGATTTAGGGTGCTTTTGCATCTCTTCCTTTTGCTTAATCTCTCATCGCTTCAGATATCTCTTTGTGCAGCGCTTTCTGTCTGGTATTCTTCCATATCTATATCTTGTGCTCTTTTAGCTTTATCGAACTCCTTACATATCAGATCTTCACTATACCTATCTTTGTTGGATTTCACTGTCGGGCTTGCTTTCTCTTCATATTCTATAACTGTTGAAAACTTTCATTTACTTGATGACGGCGCTCAAAGCCAAATATGGGGTCATAGGAGGCGTATCATATGCAGGGGGCCAGGTTAGTCAACCGGACTAAGTGCCATCTAAACACATGGGTGGCCTAATCTTAAGTCTGTGCCTTTTACTTGGAATCCAAAATGCCGAACACATAAATAGCATAGGGCAAAATGCATTAAGCCGGGAATGGTAATGAAACTCCGAAAAATCAAAAGTTGTCGACAACATAGTCTGCGACTAAAAAAATTCAATTTCCTTTTCCCAACTTCTATATCTCTGTGTACAAAAAGGGGTGAGCTGAAAAACCATCAAACCAATGCCAGCATGCGATCTACAGGCTGAAAACTCACTACCACTTGCCGGCCTCCCCGAATACCAAGGCTCCGCCCAACTCAGCCCGACCCACTATGAACTGAGATCGGAGAATCAGGAGGCTCAATCCGTACTTGGTGTAGTGGTTTACCTTGTTTTTATTTATCTCTGTGGTCACAACACGGAACATACCTTCCTTATTTACCAAATCGCGTGGAACACAGCTTGGCAGTTTCATATAAACTTGGCGAAATAACAAGACCGACAAGACCGACTAAAAATAGCCGGAAATATTCTGAGGTTGGTGGTTCAATGAACTAAAAGTCCATAAAACGGAACGAACGGCTATAAAGGCTCATATGAAACCAGGGGCTCAACAACAAATCATTCGATCGAATAAAACATCAAATTCATCTCTCCAAATCGTTTCTTCTCTAATCTTTCCTTGCTTCAAAGCTCAAGATCATGGCAACTACAACAACGACCGGAGCTTTGGCAACTAGCACAGGCTGTGGGACCTCAGCCCAGTACGAAATCCCCATCAAAGACGCATCATGTGGAGTTCCCAACAACGACAAGTACAAAGGATTTCTTTCAAAATGCGCAAAACCCGCAGGCGTGACTGCCTATGACAACGACTGTGCTATCTATGCCCCGGCCGTTGATCAATCAGTCCACGAGCTTACCGAGTGCCTCTACAAAGCGGGCGTCGACTGGAAGGACGTGTGGTGCTACGGAGATACCAATGCAACTGCAACGGCGACCTCGTACCCGACTTCAACGGAAACCTCTACCAAATCATCTTCCGACAAGACATCCTCAGGTACCTCAACGGAGAGTGCGGCGACTAGCACAAGTACCTCTGGGGCAGATGCATCTCTGCCCCAGGCCCATACCAGCTTGAAGGCTGTGGTGCTTCTTTCAACCCTGTTTGCCTCCGCCGTGTTCATCGGAGTTTGATGACCTCCCGGGTGACTGTCTCTCTATGCCAGATTGATGACTGTCATTTCTTTTTCATTGTTGACCTATGTATTCGACATTGGACCCGTTTTTATCATGTGATACCTTTGAAGAGGGCGAAAACTATGCAATGTACAATTAGATTTTGAACTGTTTTAACTTTCTTGTCACTAATCTTTATAAAATAATCAATGTTTTCTTTCTATCCCGATGCCACAGACCTTTTTTTACTTTACCAGCCGAGACCCAATTCATATGACACCATACAAGGGCGGCCGTAACCAGTACCTACTTCGACGGTGGTGTTCCCTCAATATCCCTTGGATCGAATGCCCTGTACTCCAATTACGCTAATTCTCAAACAATAAACACAGAAAAACACCAAGGCGTCTATAATTAGGACATAAGGTGCATGAGCAGTCTCCCGTCGAGTCGCTGATTGATTTGCAGGGAAAGCCCGTTATCAGCGTCCAAGCTCAAACCTCAGTTGGGTTTGTACAGTCTAAACCATAATAATATATCCGATAAATTCCCTGCTCATTTCTTGATGCGCCTAAGAGTAGAACACAAGCCTTAATAGTAACCGTTAAGAAATGTAACAGGTGATAAGGCAACAGGCTGCATGTTCATCCTTGTTTGTTCGGTCTTTGACAATCTTACGATATTCGCATTTGTACTGAGAAGCCCGAGTACTCTACTATCTTGCATGGTGGTCATTGGATACATTATCCTCCTTGCAGTAATCTTCACTCTCTCATTGCTTTGTGTCACAATCTGCAGGCTTTAATGAATAATAAGCAAGTTCACCCCGTTTTTAGGCCTAAGTATCCCAATGGGCTAAATCAAAAGGCTAATAAGTGTAGTTGTCTGAGCTATCCAAATATCTCTCCACAAACACAATGGTTATAAATGCTGCTCTAAAGGTTCTGGCAAGAGAATCATATATTCAGTGGCTCGATAGGAAAGAAGAAAAAAAAAGAATAAGAAGCCCCGAATTCTGAACTCGGCCGTGGCGCATCTGGAGGAGTACAACATGCTCCAATTTTCAATAAGAAGCACATAATCTAGAGGTCAACGTTTAAAATGTAACAAGAAAGCGAACCCCTTTCTAGAGGTTGTTCCTTAATCTAGTGGCCTCATTACATGCAGATAGGAAGATAATTCTTTCAAAAATGTACCTGACCAAGCCTTTTCTCCGAATGTCCACTCTACACTCTGCAACACGATCAAAGACTCGACATTCATGCGACGGCTCCTAGAGAAATATAAATACCATCACCCGGCTGACCTTAAATTACACTCATCTCTCTAATACCATTTCACAGTTGGCATTTCCAAAACTGAGACACAGTCCCTCCAATTTCAATATGCGTTTCACCTTCATCGCTTTTATGGCCCTTGTCGGCTCTGCTTTGGCTGCGGACAAGGCCCCTCCAATTGTAAGTTTGAACGAATGAATATCATATTGAAGCTAACGAATCTTCAGATTGCGGTCGGATCCCCTTGCAAAGCCGATGGCAGCTCAGGAAACTGTGCCAGTGGCTTCTGCTTGGTAAGTCTTCTTATCTTCTACTGAAAATATCGTGACTTCAAAGACTAATCTGTCATGCAGCAACTTGCTCACGAAAATCAAGGAGTATGCAAGTAGACTGCGGACCTCACAATTGGTGTGGATTGATTGATGAGACAATACTTTTGCCCCAAGGAAAGTCTTCAGGGGTGAGCCAGTTGGGCTGGCTCGGAAGTTGAACACTAGTCGATGTTTTTAACTGAATATTACTACTTTTGGAATGGAGATCTGGAGAAAGAATAGCTTCTCTAAGCCCAAGACCTCGGAGACTACTCAATGTTAGTAGCTGTGAATAGAGCCATCAAAGCCCCCTATGGTACAAGACCGTGAAACCAAAAGGTATTTGGCACGCCTCAATCAACCAAGTCATTAGAGGATGGGTAAATGTAAAGTTCTACAGATAGCTTGTAAGAGAGATAAAAAAAGGCATTTGCACGTCATGTGGCCTCTGTTCTCGAGTATATCTCGATATTAAATAGTCCCCAATGACAAAGAAACAGTTGCCAATAAATAGCTTTGAATCGGGATTAGAATCCTAAGATTGTGTTGTTAGCAATTTAATAATGTCTGAAATCGGTGCATCATAACCTACCCTTTTCTGTGTTACCCTCGCCCATGCTCTTACTGCTACTACTTCCACTTTGAATAGCACCCATTATTCCATCCATATAAGGCGCGCCACTCCACTTCTGGTGGGTGAGAACATCCACACCGAGCTCCTTCTCGCGAGACTGCACAAGACGGACGTAAGCCAACATACCCTCGTCCTTGAATGCACGGGAAAGTTCGGTCGTGATGGTGGCATTAGTGTGCAGACCAGCGAGGGAAATGAGTTGCAGGACAAATCTGAAAGAAGTTAGTGGATCGAAGTGAGATAGATGCAATGGTTGAACTTACCCATGCTTGGCAATATCCCAGATAAAGGACTTGAGGGAAGCCTCATCGAATCCTTGTCCCATCCAGTTGAATGAAGGGCTAAGATTGTAGACAAGCTTCTTGCCCGGGTATGCCGCCCGCACTTCGCCGGCGAGTGTTCCGGCCTTCTCGACATCTGGGTCACCAGTTTCAACCCAGAGAAGATCCGCGTAAGGTGCAAACTCCTTCGCACGCTTGGTCGCAGCAGGGAACCCTGCGGAGTAGTGGTAGAATCCCTCGCGAGTGCGCGGGCTATCACATGACCACACAACAGGTGTTTTGGTGTAATCATTTGCCAGGGCACGGCGACGAGAGAATGAAAGATCGGGATTCTTCTTAACAAAGGCCTTGTACGCATCCCGAGAAGACTGGGGAGCGCCCTCTGATTCAAGATGAGCATCGACGGCTACATATTGTTAGTAAATGGGACCATTTGACACAGAATCAAAAAGCATACCTTCGTCGAGTGTAACAAGCTTGTGCCTCTTGACCCAGTCAAGCTCAAATGCATTGATTTCTTCTGGCACGGCACCCTCCCGTTCCATAGCTTGGAGGGTCTCGGCCAAAGGTTCCACATCTTCCGTGATACCAAGGATGAATTCGTGATCTCGCACATCGATGGCGCTGCTGATGAGTCGGCCACTCTCAGAGTCTGTTCGGGCAATGACCAGATTCTCACATCCCATCATATCCCACTGGAATCGAGCTGCTACCAGTCGGTTGATGTGTTCACCCATTGGCACGAGCACTTTTCCTGCAAGATGACCGCACTTCTTTCCACCGTGCAATTGATCTTCAAAATGAACGGCCGCGGCACCATTCTCTGCAAACAGCTTGGCAAGTTTTAGAACAGCCGATAAGCCACCATGGCTGCACCGAGAGAATTAGTAATACTTCGTACATTCAATCCCACATATTAACGTACCCGGTATCACCATCAGCAACGATTGGTCGCATATAATCAGTGTAGGGTGTAGCCTTTCGCTGCTCCGGAGTCATCTTTCGCCTCGTGTCCCACTGCTTCCGGTCATGCATTGACTGAGCCTTGAATAGACGCTGGACCTGGTTCGGGACGGTATTGTAGGGATAATCGCCGAAATCGGGGGATACTTCGTTGGTACTTGTCAAAAGTGAAGAGCAAGCCCAGCCCGAGACATACAGAATCTCTTGGTTGTGGGCTTGCTGTGTCATTTGGACAGGGTCGATAGCCCCCACTTGTATGCAGAACCGAGGTCAGTTTTGTCACAATTGGAGCTCAGCCGGCCAAGGACTCACTAGTATGAACGGGCTGACCAGCAGCCGCTCGCTCATTGAGAAGATTAAAAAGCTTTCGCGCCATCAAAGAACTGGGGTACGTTTGTTGTAAGGAGCCGCGCTTGCTCACGACATCTGCCGCCGTGTAAGGGCGCTTGATGCCTTCGTAGCGAGGCGAATCCCACCACGATTCAACATCGCGAAGTTGTTGGTCGTAAAGCGCATCCTCAGCTTCACCAACTTTCTCTTGTGTGGATAGCAGCTGGTATGCGTCTGAGGGGAGAGTGGTGGATATGGGGTGCTGAATAGGCGTCATCCGAGTATAACCGCTTGTGAAAGGCCGCAATGAACGCGAAGAAACAGTGGACACAACGGGAGCGCGTCGAGGCAAACGCCGTATCAAACGTAACATGGCTGATGGTATAAGTAGAGACCCAACGGATAATTGTTGGATTGATGAATTGAAACAAAAGGAAAGTAAAATAAACGAAGTCGAGGACAAAAACAAGGACTCCGCTTGACCTCGGGCCGTGAACATCTGGGGTTTCCCCGCCACTCCGAACCTCCGAAATTCGCTACATGACTAATCCTGGGGTCCGCCTACAGGACCTCGGGACTACCTCGACTACCTACAACATACACCCACCATATTTCATATTTGCCTTCGCCTATGTGCAGCCTCTTTCCCTCGATCTTTTTTCTTTGGCCCTGACAATCTTCCTGAACTTGAATATACCACCCCAAATTTTCGGTTAGCGGTCGGGATATTGGTTGTAGATAATATAGTATGCTCCCAATATCTACGATCTTATGTGCCCTCGAAAGCAACTGAAAAGGTCCTTATTATCATATATTGAACTGACCCATTTGACTTGTGGGCAAGGTCAGACTTGTCTATAAGTAACCTCGGATTGCTCACGTCCTTCTACGCTACAAGTAGAACCCCGAATCTCAGTGTTTATTGACAGTATATGTTTTCTAGGATGACACTCGATGATGGATATGCAAAGGGGTGTTACTCTTGTGAGTAATCAATCACATTGCTTGGAACTATTTCTTCGACAGTGTGGTGGTAACTAAGGTTGAAACTATTATGTTCTACGAGGTCATGCAAGTGCCTCTTGGTTAAAAATGGCACCGAGGCCATAGTTTCACTACCAGTGTTCGGGACATCCCTTACTACCGACTATCCAATTTACATTGACATCACTCTCATTTGAGCCTCACATTACATTCACTTTGGCCTCATTTCAACGACACTTCACTTCACTTCACTTCACTTCAGTTTTTCTTTCTAATGTCCATACTATTGGACCAATTGTACAACAACTACACTATACGACAATACAATACACTCTACCCAATTCAGCTGAGCCATCTATAATTCCAAGGTTCACTCACAATAATCAATTTGAACAATTCAATTCACAATTCAATCAGTTCACTATTCAAACAAAGTGATCAATAGTACGCATGTGTATGGGGTATCACACGGACAGGTGAATTGATTGAACAATGTTATTCAGAGACTCTACTGAATTGCATAGCTATGCAATTCTCTATTGTTCAGCAACAAACAAACCCATTGAGAGAATTGCTCGGGGCATCACTCAATACACTTCACACCCCAATGACATTCACCTTGGAGAAACAATGTTAAGCTTTATTCAAGATGTCTATCAATAGCCTCAGTATTCCTTACCCACATATATAAATCCCATGAAACCCTTTCGTCTAACCTCTTCTTTTCTCTCTCAATCTCATCATCCTTCCCCCCGCCTACTTCCCCCTTTTCTTGTTTTCTTTTGTTTCTTTTCTTTTGTTTCTTTCTTTTTGTTTTCAAACATGGTGCTGGACACCATGCCGCCGTTCTCGAAGAGCGGCCTCCAGGTACTCGCTGGCGAGTACCTGGCTGGTCCTCTTCTGAAGTGGGACGACTTGTCCCTGTTTGACCAGCTGTTTGCCGCGGGCTCTGAGCCCGAAATGTCTGTCCTGGCCTGGGAGCTGTCCGAGCTCCTTTGCACCATGGTCATCGTCGTGGGGGCCGGATCCCCCAATGCCTACCTCCGTGCCGTCCTCGCTCCTGAGTTTGCGTGGTTCGGCTTGCACCGGGCAGGGATGTCACACCCTGGTAAGGGCTCATCTCCAATCATTGAAGGAAAAACGAATACTAATCTGCGGTTAGCCCAAGTGCCCACCAACACCTCCGACCTCCTCAACCTCCTCCACTCCCACCCCCTGGCCGCATCTGTGGCCCTCCACCAAAACCTCGGCGTCGGCGACCAGTGGAAGTCCCTGGTCGGCCGTCTGTGGGCTCACTTCGAGCCCTACGGCTCCAATCTCCCCGCCGACAACGACCTCCTCCCGCGAATGGAGGAGGACTTCGGGGATGTGCTGCCCATGGAGGGCGTTGAATTTGTGTCTGTCTCTGGTGTCTACATGGACACCATGATCCGTGACATCTCTCCGGAGATGGATGTCTGTGTGGAGCCTGGGGAAGTGTCTGCCTCCGACCCCCTGCTCCCATGACTGTGCCTCCCTCCCTCTCGGCTGTGCCTCCCACCCAGCCGGTTGTGCCTCCCCTCCCTCCCAGTGGTGCCTCCCTCCTTCCCGCCTGTGCCTGCCTCCTTCCCGCCTGTGCCTGCCTCCTTCGCTGCTGCCTCCTCCGCTGCGGCCTCCTCCTCCACCAACAAGTACCGACAACGGTACTAGTTGCGTCCGTGAAGACTGTTTGCCTGCCCCCTCACTGGGGTTGTCAGCCGCTGTTTGTCTTCTTTTTTATTTATTTTTCAATCAAAGATCTTTTCCTTCGTTTTTTGTTTCTTGTAAATGATATTTTCGTCGTAGCTGGTGGTTGTGTTCGTAGTCCTAATGTACTAACTAGTGCGGTTGGAGAAATTATCCCCGCACGGTGTTGTTATTGTTTACAGTCATTGATAGTTAACCACATAGTTAGTATGTCCATACATATGTAAATACTCTAGGGCCGTAGATGGAATGACACATAAACCCGTTTAGTTTAGCAGCTTGTAAAATTAAATCAGATATAACCGATGCCTACACGATGCCCAACCTGGTTGAGATTGCAATGGAAAACACAGCACATTCTCCAAGATCGGCACCCCCGCATTGGCTTATCATCTCCTCTCCGTAGGATTCCCTATCTTCCACCTACCATTCGCTGTCAACACCTCTTATCTCCCTGTTTTTATCTTCACCTTTCTGTATATCTCGTTTTCTTCCGTGTGAATGGGTTTCAACATCGACTTGGTATGGAAAGCATCAAAATCCCATCGAGTTTAGATCCCGACAACCCGGCATCAGCGCGGGGAAATCCTGGGACACAGAAGCCAAAGCAGACAAAAAGTCGGAATGGTAAGTTAAAATAATGTGAAACTACTGAAGCTACACATTTCTATTTCTATCGGGAGTACCAGTGAAGCAGTAATAATGCAGACGGTCACTTCATCATATTGTCCACAACATTGACTTGAGTCTCCGCTTTTATAGGTTGCATCACCTGCAAAGCAAAGCGGTTGAAGTGCGACGAAGTCAAACCATCATGTCACCAGTGCAAAAGACGAAAGGTCCAATGTGGAGGATACAAGAAAGACTTCAAATGGCGACCATTCGAAGATATCAACTTGGCTTCTGGGCGGCCTACAGCGACCAAGGCCAAGAAAGGTAAGTAACGAGTTTTATACGCGTTAGGTTAGACATGGTATACTCATAAACCTTCTTTAGCAAAATCTTCGTCCCATCAAGCTCCGTCTGTCGGCAATATTGGTCAGACTTTTCCAACTCCTCCAACGACTGAACAATCAGCATCACCGATTCGCATACAGTCCCAAAAGTTTGATGGCTCCCGTTCGCCTCCAGACTCTCCCTTGCATAGCTCGCCCATTAGTGCCAATAGTTTTCTATCTACTGAGGTACATTCACGTGAAGATCTGCCTGTCACGCGAGAAGATGTTTCTCGAGCCGAGTACACCGTGTCTCCCCTTGACATTAACGTGTCATTGCCCGCCGACTCGCCTCCTTTCAATTTCCTGTCCTTTTTGGAGCCGTTTCAAGATTCACTGTCGCTCGCAAACTCGCTGGTTTCTGATATCAACACTGATCCTGCTAGACATATGCCATTTGGTCCGGCGCCAGATACATCAAGGCTGAGCTTCTCTCAGCTATTGGAGGATGAAAATGATGACATTGAGGAGATTATCCGGAAGTCAGATCCAGGACTGGGACCTTGGAACTTCACCTTGCCAGAGACAGATTTTTTCACTCTCAACCCCCCAAGAATGTCAAACAACCCATCCCTACCACCGGAAAGTCCAGAAATGCTCGTGCTGCGATTTGATAAGCTCACATGTGGGATTTTATCTATCAAAGATGGTGCATTGGAGAATCCGTGGCGAACACTCATTTGGCCGTTAGCAAAAGACACGCCTGCACTTCGCCATGCCATCTTTGCTCTGACAGCTTTCCACTCGGGCAAGGAAAGCCCCCATCTTCGAGTGCAAGGAGTAAAGCACAAGCGCCAGAGCATATCCGGTCTAGTTGGACAGATTCAGAATATGAGAGCGGATGCTGCGCTCGCAACCAGTCTGGCGTTGGCATTCGCCGATACCTGGGACCAACACACCACCACATGCATCCAACATTTGCGAGGCGCAAAAACATTAATGTGCCAGGTCATCGCAGCCGAGACGCAGGGAGGTGTTAGCGACGACGAGCTGGATCGCATCCGGTTCCTTTATAACACATGGTCATATATGGACGTGATTGCGCGACTAACTTCTTTGGATGAGTGTGGCCCTCAAAACTGGGATTCTTCAATCTTCGAGCTTCCGAGTGACACAGTCCATGATATTGATCCATTGATGGGCTGTGCAACTACTCTATATCCTCTCATGAGTCGAGTGGCGAAGCTGATCCAGCAAGTGCGGAAGAGCTCATCGAACACGGTGTCGGTCGTGGCCCAAGCTATGGAACTCAAAGCTCTTGTCGAGGAATGGGAGCCACCGCAATGGTTTGAGCCACCCGATGATCCCAGTTCTGAGGTTCAGCATAGCATTCAAGTTGCATATGCCTATCGCTGGGCTACATTGTTGTACCTGCATCAGGCCGTTCCGGAGATACCCTCTGAGCCGGCCGATGAATTAGCAAAGAGGGTCCTGATCTTGCTTGCCACCGTTCCCTATACCTCCCGGACTACTATCATACAGATGTTCCCTCTTCTGGCAGCAGGATCTGAGGTTGACACTGACGATGACCGAAAATGGGTCTTGGATCGATGGACCACAATCCAGTCTCGCTTGATGCTAGGTGGTGTAGACCGCTGTCTGGAGGTGTTAAAGGAAGTATGGGAGCGCCGCGACGCAATGAATGCGAGAAGAGAGCGTGAAATGACTAGTTCGCGTAGTGGCGAGACTTTTGCATCTGGAGACAGGGAGAAAATGAGTTCATTACCAACCGATTTGCGCAAATACAGGCTCAATAGTTCCCGCAAGAGCCCAACGGGAGGAAGACCAGGGCAGTCTACATCGAGGTTTGCGCGACGGGGTTCCGCACTCGCGTCGCTTGAAAATATTGAATATGAAAGAACTGTGCGTGGCAGATTGCACTGGGTGAATGTTATGGCTGAGTGGGGATGGGAGGGTGAGTTCAACAACAATCAGACTATTTCATCCAAGAGCTAACTCTGCAATCCATAGTTTTCCTTGGCTAGGCTGACAGCAATAGCCAAAGACTTGGTTGCAAGTCTGGGCGTCGACGAAAAAGAACCTACTGTTCTTTGCACCCAGTCTGCTGTACTAATATGACGGCTAACCAAGCAAGCAGCCCGAGTTCTCCTTCCCTGAGCTTTGTTTTTATGTTCCTATTGTTGTGGCTCTCATTTGTTTTCGCTAAGGTTGAAATTGTAATTTGCAGCCCTGGCCTGGTGTCACCTTGAATCAGCGCGGCGTCTAGGGATCTGTTGTTCTGTTGTTGATGAGCAATGACAAGTTTCGATGTGGCTTTCGATTGAGATTCCTTTTCCGCAACTGTGACCTACCCTCTGACTCCAAACTATGGTTGATCTAGGAACTAATATGTCCGCCATAATGATGGTTTACTTGGCTCCAACGCTTTCATTCAACTTTCCAATACGCGATACCCCTATTACGGAAGCCCTCAAGCAACTACCCACAGCAACCCCACGGCCACCCAATTTGAATTTCCAGTAATATGGAAACATAATCAGCTTAATCAACACCCGAGGCACATGCACATTATCTTCATCGCCCGTGTCAGTGTTGAGTGCGCCGCTATACCTGGAATACCCACCTGAGCACCTACCAACCCTGATCATCCAACGCAAGCAGTAAGCCGCATTTGCCTCCGTAGGCGTTACTCGGCAAGGCCTCATCCGATATCGTCCCTACTGCGAAAATGTAAACATGCCAGGAGCCTATGTTTCGGAGACACAATTCTCTGGTCCCAACAGCGGCAGCAGTCTCTGCGATACCTAAGAGTCTGTCTTCCCTTACGCGCGAAGCAACTATGTCCTCAGTCGGATTCTTGTTTGGTTCGGTATTGACTCATTTCCTAGTACGATATATTACAGCCCTGACAAAGGGTGTCATATCAGGACAGTCTACCCAAGCGTTCAACGAAATGTGTCTTTGGTGTGCTAATGCTACTTTCAGGGAATTACCGTTGACGCTAGGATCGACCAGCAGAACCTCTGCACCTTCTTATTTGAGACGAAATTGGCCTAGAGACAGTTTTCAGCTTTGAAGATTCCCAAGCCTCCGTTCAGTTACCTATATACGACAATTACTTCATGGGAGGCCCCACTTGCTCATGGCTGATTTGTAAGTTGGAAGTGGAAGTTCTAGATGTTGACAATATTTATGTACAGGATAATTTACAATGCATAATATCTGGATCTACCTCAATAAGGGAATACAAACTGCTGGGCCTTTGCACCAAGAATAGGCACGAAGTCTTCTCCCTCACAAACCTTCATAGCCTTTTGATAGGCGGGCCGGTCACCAACACGTTTTAGATAAGCCAGAATGTTCTTATGATTTTGCTCATCAAATCCAATGGGGCAGAATCCTCTCATGGTAGTGAGAGTACAGATCGCCATGATATCCGCTGCGGTGACGTCATTCCAACCAAGTAGGATCCCGAGTCTCGCCTCGATCATTGAGAGTGCACCCTCTAGTTTCGCGTTGTCCAGCTTGATGTGCGCTGCCTCTGGGTCATTGCTCAAGCGCCTGTTCATCAGCACACGGAACAAGGTTGGCTGCAGGGAGGCATTCGCCCAGTAGTACCACTCTAGGAATTGGATGTATTCCTCGCTATCTTTCGGTGTACGTGCGAAACGGCCCTCCCCGTAGGTAGCAAGAATGTAGTCAATGATAGCACCTGATTCAGCGAGCACTACCTTGTTTTTCGTAAAAGGGGACTTAGCATCTTCTACCACCGGTGCGGTGCCGGAAGGATGCAGGTCTTTGATTGATTGCGGAGCCAAGATAGGGTCGCACTTGTGGAAGACAAAGTCATATTTGATACCAAGTTCTTCGGCGAGTCAGAGGATACGCTCCGATTGTGAGCGGCCAAGGTGGTGGATTGTCAACGGCATCTTGGTTTAGAAATGAGAAGAGAGGGGTGCTGGGTTATCGGCGAGGTGGCTTCGGAACGCCCAACAAGCGGAACAGTGTGTTGGGCGCTTGACACGGCTATGGGATCACGATAAGTCAATGCACTCAATCAGTAGAGCTGTACCTGCCTAGCATCTATCTGGCATCAAGTAGGTGGTACAAAGTATGCACAACGCTAGATCGGGACAGCATTTATCTCCTAGACCCCTTTTTAATATTTTTCTGGCAACGAATCGAATCATACCTATTCTGTGTAACTGCCGGCTGCACGTGGCATGGAGCGGCGAACATAGACAAGTTTTAGCATAGACCTACCTACCTAGGTACGGAGTACATCCAGTTACTTCATCTAACAGAGCATCTTCGGCAGGTGTGTTGCACAGCATAGAGTTTTTCCTTTCCTAAACTTTGTATACGGCCTATGTCAGTGGTAATGTCGGTGTGAAGTAGACCCAGCTTTAGTATATGCCCGATTTTTCTGTGACAGGCTCTTTATAGTACTACTTTACATCATAACTATTCTAAATAACTTCCTACTATATGTGAGAGGTTCTAGATATAGAAATGCTTCCGTGTCGATCTCCTACAATGCATATATGTAGCTGTGCTCAAGCAACAACACCATGGTCCATGAATTCCTCCAGCACATATATCTAAGCCTGATGCCCCGATTTAAATCCATGCTTTGTGCACGAATATTCTGATATCTCATACATTCTGAGGCTAATTCACTACGAAGACAATTCAGTAACTTCTATAACCCCAATACCCTTGGAACCATGGATAATATCAAGGACAACTCTTTTCTTGAGCATTTCATTGATACTATTGTCGACTTTCTCGACAATATTCAATACGACGAGCCTCTCGAATCGCCAACTCCCGAGCTCAGAGCCAACTTCGAATCCACCTACGAGGGATCCCTACGGTTCTTCACACAACCAACCATACAAGAGCAACTCTCTCTAAGCAATGAGGCAATTACGAATAACACACGCACCGTAGCTCGAATGGCCGTGTATTGCTGGCCAAATATCCCACCCGAAGTAATGGGTCAGATAGCGATCCACTTCACGAAACTGAGCTTCATGGATGACTTCGAGGGAGACTACCACGCAGACATGGCAACATTTCTCCCGGACCTACTCAGAGGCAGCGAACAGAAAAATCCCTTCTGGCGCGTGATGCTACATGGGATCCCGGATCTACTCCGCCATTTCGACTCCTACCTCCAATACAACATCTTCCGCTCAACACTCGACTTCTACCAGAGTTGTTGGATCGAAGCCCGCGGTTTCAAGGGCGATCGGGGCTCGGACCGATTTCCAACAGAACTACGACGTCTAGGCCAGCTAGGCGGATGCATGGGGTCATTCATGTTTCCCAAGGCAATTGCAGATGAAACCGGGCAATTCGGAGAGATTACATCGGCAATTGTGCACACAGAGCCAGTCGGGGCATTGATTAACGACCTGTTCTCCTTCTACAAGGAAGGTATCGTTGCGGATGGCTACGGCCCTGCGGAAGACAACAACCTCATCATGAATGTCTGCCATGTGAAGCAACTCTCGCTCAGGGAGGGGTTAGATGAGGTAGCGGCGGACGCGATACGAGAGGTACAGACAGCCCAGAAGGTGTTTGGCGGGTCGCATACCCTAGTTGCGGAGAATGGGATGCACGCGTTCATTCGTGGCTATATCCGTTGGCATTTCTGTGACCGACGGTATCGGATGAAGGAGCTGTATGACGCAAGTTATGGATTTGAGACTGGGAGACAGTTTCGGAAGTATTGTCACATGGCGTGGAAGGCGGGTGGAGTGGCCATGGACCAGAACATGTTCGAGGTTGTTGATAAACGAGTTTCAACAAGGCATCAGCTATAAGAGTTATTGCTAGGTACCATTTTCAGTCATATGTGGGATGGCTTGGATTATTGCTCCGATAGATATCTAGATATCTCCGATTGTTACTTTGGGGTTACTGGGGTCTAATGATTCCACTACCTTGCGGGAAGGTGGGTTCGCGCTCCGACCTGGTTCTGTCGACCAGAATGACTCCCTTGCCCGTCCTGTCATTACTTCCTTTCTTGTATGCAAAACAGGACCTACTTGTTGGAGGCCTGAGTAAGCATTCAGGGATTATATAGAGAGAAGCTTTCTACTTCTTACAAATCACACTCCTTTTACCAGTTGCTCTGCATAGTGATATTTTGGTATCCAGCCACATTGCCTTCCCTCAGTTCGACAGCTTCTTTCCTGCTGGGTTTCCCCACTTCATTCTTTGGGGAGTAATAACATATACTGGCTGCTTTTCTGCTGCATGCGTCGAATCAAAAGTCACCTTAACATTACCTCATAGGCACTTTGACTGTAGGCCCCTTTTTCCTGGACTAAGAGAACATATAGTTACTGTCCGTAAGCTAACTCTAGCATTAGCGTGGTACTTTCTTTATTTTAACATTCCTCACTAAAGTTTGGTTAAATATATAGACTTCCTTTATACTATACCTAGGTATATATCTTCTTATATCTTCCCTAACTAGTTTGAGGGTTGGGAAAAACGTATGTTATGTCTAAGTACCTTTTGTATAGGTAAGTCAAACAAAAGATACCTAATTTATAGATGTGTTGGGCGCTTGGCACGGCTAGCTGGCAGAACTACCCACAGGCGGTAAGAAGCTGCCCTGCATTATTTCCCATTTCTCGAAGTTCGAGCGTTCTAGGGGTGTGCCCGTAGTGAATTCTTTTTATTAAGAACATATTATGCCAAGCATCAAAGCCAGTGATTGTGGTTCCGGGGTTGATGTGATGGCGAAGGGCTAACCGCATCAAGTAAAGGAATCCTCTCATCATCTGCATGTCCATGTGCCAACTACTCAACTACGCAATCTTATCATGCGAAGGAGGCTCATAGTCTATAAGGTTGCAGCAATACCGTCAAAAGTTGTCGGTAGTTTTCTCTCCATTGATAACAGTTTCCCCACGCTACCATCTCGGATCTTTATCTCAAGATTCAAGCTTCCCCTCATCACCCGTAAACCCCTCATTCTCTCCGTAACTTCTCCCAACCAGTTCTCTATTGGGTTACCTAGTCAGGACATCAGATCCGACTATCGCTTTTTTATCTGGATTTAGTTGCTCTAAGTATGAGAAAGTTTTACTTTTTTGAAGGGTGTCCCCTCATTTCGTACAATAGAAGACTGCGGCAACATCAGTATAAAGCAGAGGTAACCCTCAAGAACTAAGTAGGATATCGATCTATTTCCACCTTACATTGACCCTCATAGTCACACTGATTCAACCATGGCGCTTCCCTTCACCTACCACGCTAAGGCGCAATCTACCTTCAAGCCACCGCTTATCGCAAATGAGAACGCCTTTTTGGGAGATATACAATCAAGGTACGGCTGATAGATACATAGTGTGTTAGGTGCGTAGATAGGCAATTTCCGCTAATATACTACAGCGAGAACGAGAACCCGGACAAGCCCATGTCATGTGGCTTTTACCGACTGGAAAAGGGCACACCTCTCGTCTACACCTACACCTACGACGAAATGAAGATTATCGTCGAGGGTAAGTTTGAGATTGCCGATGAGACGGGCCAGAAGGTCACGGCGACTCCGGGCGATGTGTTTTATTTCCCCAAGGGGGCCACAATCACGTTTACAACGGATGACTATGGGCTGGCATTCTATGTGGGTATTTTCGTATCCAGGGCTGAAGAGGGCGAGACTAACGAAATCCAGACTGGCCAACGGAAGCAGGGTGCAGCGTGAATAAGTGAATAATAGGATAGTTACTACTCCGTAATTAATAGGATACCTAGGTAATATACGGAGTACCGAAATTAAATTAAATTTATTTTAAATTTGTAAGATCCATGGTTGAGATTTTGAAATTGCCAATTATCGGGGTCTCCGTGCCTCCAATCCATGGAATAACCCAGTTGTGTTAAGCAAGCTATTCCCTATTCGGTAGTTTGCTTACATCCCTTGCGATAGACTCAGAATTCCGCATGTGGATGATAGAACCCCTACTATGCATTACTTATACAACATATAATGGATAGTTATATATATGTACCTATATACACACATTCAGTATTACCGGACAATTATTGCTTATTCCCCGAACATGAACTGGGATGTGCGACATTCATTCTGGATTATGCAAAAGTCAGTGGCGGTTTCATGTTCGACTCCATACAGAGTCGATCCCACCTTCAAAAGGAAGAGTCAAAGCCCAATTAGCGATTAACGATTGGAAGTGGAGATGATATTCAGCTCGCCTCGATAAACTCATCCACTCTGCTGGAGTTTAAAGTGTTGTTTAAACCAGTGTGTATGACGTGGGGGGAGAGTTGCTACAGCAACTCTGTGAGGAAGGGAGGGGATATCGGGATGGAGTGGATTGTAGAATTGAGAGAATCAAGATCACTTCGATCTTGGTGGAGAGGGATCGACTTTGAAATAATAAACATAAACCTTCAATATTTCCTGAGACAAAGGGATTTTTCTTCTTTCTTTCTTTTCTTTCCTTTTTTCCCCTTCTCTCTGTACAAAAACAAAACATCTTCAGTCACTTTGCCTTTGTTCTTGGGGTTAGTGTCAATTAGTTCCGGCCTTATCACAGGGGGTCACAACCAACCCCTCTATCGCTCCTCCATCAACACCATGGCTATTATTTCAGAGGACCATCTTGGTCTACGACTCCCTAATCCACCACCACTGTTACATACTCGTGGTCAATTCGATCGCCCCTCTACTCCTGCCGATGGCTTTACTAGTCCCCCACAGACCCCCCAGGGTAGCCCCAGCAAGTCAAGATTGCCTCCGGGCGCACTCGACCTACCCAATGTCTTCGACAAGGCGATGAAGTTGACTCCCACTTCTCCCTCCAAATCGACATACAACCACTACAATCATCCAATGTTCTCTGTTGGCAAGAGCGGTGAGGACTTCAACGAGAGCGTCATCCACCAAACCCCTTCGAGCCCAACGCGTAGAGCCAACAAGGAGAACACACCCCCCAACCCAACGCGCCTAACGAAAGACCTGGGATCAACCCCAACGGCTGCTGCACTTTCACGTCAGGAGCCATACCAACCACGCGATGAAACGACCAGACGCCAGGTACAGATGCGCGGCCTCACCCCCGAGGAAATGGAGAAGCTCGCCCAACCCAAAGTGAAGCGCCTCGTCAATGTGACCCAACTCTGTAAGTCGCCGTCCAACCTAACAATCTAAGATGGATTGACTGACTTAATGCACGACAGACTTCCTGGACCATTACTTCGATCTCCTCAGCTACGTTCACAATCGCCAAACCCGCCACACACAATTCAAAGCCGCCTACCCCGACCCCCCTGCTACCCCCAATGAAGAGCACGAACCAGCCCTCCTAAAATACCTCGGTCGCGAGCGTGCACATCTTCGGAAGCGTCGCACACGCCTCCGCCAGGGCGACTTCCAGATTTTGACTCAGGTTGGTCAGGGTGGCTATGGACAGGTGTATCTGGCACAGAAGAAGGATACCCGTGAAGTGTGCGCGTTGAAGGTCATGAGCAAAAAGTTGCTTTTCAAACTGGATGAGATTCGTCATATCCTAACCGAGCGTGATATTCTCACTGCCGCCAAGAGCGACTGGCTAGTCAAACTGCTCTATGCCTTCCAGGATGATACCCAGATCTACTTGGCCATGGAGTATGTTCCTGGCGGTGACTTCCGCACGCTGCTGAATAATACCGGTGTCCTCCATAATCGTCACGCGCGCTTCTACATTGCGGAGATGTTCAGTTGCATTGACGCGCTCCATGTGCTGGGATACATTCACCGTGATTTGAAGCCTGAGAATTTCCTGATCGATTCCACAGGCCATGTCAAGCTGACCGATTTCGGTCTGGCGGCTGGTATGCTGAGCCCCGGCAAGATTGAGTCAATGCGCGTCAAGCTCGAGGAAGTCGGGAACACCCCCGTTCCCTTCGGTCGGCCCATGGAACAACGTACAATGGCCGAACGACGACAAGGATACCAGTCTTTGCGCCAGCGGGAAGTCAACTACGCCAAGTCGATCGTCGGATCACCGGATTACATGGCACCAGAAGTTCTCAAGGGCGACCAATACGATTTCACTGTGGACTACTGGAGCTTGGGATGTATGCTGTTCGAGGCATTGGCAGGCTACCCGCCCTTTGCAGGTGCGACAGTCGAAGAAACATGGCAGAATTTGAAGCGCTGGCAGAAGGTGTTGCGGAAGCCCGTCTACGAAGACCCGAACTACTTCTTGTCACGGCGGACGTGGGATCTCATCATGAAACTAGTTGCTGGGAAGGAGCAGCGGTTCAAGAATATCAGAGAAATCCATTCGCACGACTATTTCGCCGAGGTCGACTTCGAGAGTCTGCGTGATCAACGGGCTCCGTTCGTGCCTGAACTTGATTCCGAGACTGATGCCGGGTACTTCGATGATTTCGGCAACGAGGCAGATATGGCTAAGTACAAGGAGGTCCATGATAAGCAACGCGCGTTGGAGGATATGGCCGATCGCGATGATAAGATGGGCAAGGGCTTGTTTGTCGGGTTTACTTTCCGGTATGTTTCGCTCCGATCCAAGCTAAATGGCTTTCTTTTTTATGTACCATCGTTCTCTTACTGACCATCCTAGTCACCGCAAACCCGCTGTCGACAGCAACGGCCGCAGCAGCTCGCCACGGAAGCCTATCGCGACGGACGGCACATTCGGGACGATGTTCTAGGTTCCTGACCAAAATCCAGATTTCATCCATATTCGGTCAACCTTTTCTTCTTCTTACGTTCCGCTGGTGCGTTGCGGGACTCCGAGCTGGATCTTGGTTTCCTTGTGCCAGATGTGCCAGTATTGAGTTTAATGGGCCATCTTTTCGTCTTTTCTCTTCTTTCTGTTTTAACTTCAACTTCATCTTCAACTTGCACCTTGCAGCGCGATACGGTTTCTCGATTCGTTCTAGTTTTATTATGCGGGTGGAGTTGTGAAATTGATTCTTGTATGATACAGCCATAGACCAAAAATGGCGCAATTTCTGTCTTCTGCTAGTAATATGGTTTCATTGTATGGAATATGGAATATGAGTTTTGAGTTTCGTTCGAGATCAAATGCCACGTAGATTATATGTAGCGCATACATCTGCTAGCAGTAAATCATCGACTCTTTAGTTCGCAGGAAGCTGGCGCACCATGCGCAGGATCTCGGACTGGTTGTCTCCAATGACAGCACGGCCATTGACCCAGTCCACGGTCTGTAGAATAGAGCATTAGTAAAACACATCGAGACAAATCCCCAACATGACAATGGAAGTAAGGAAAAGGTCGAACGTACAATAGGTCTCGCGAAGTTCTCATTATCCTCCTTGAACTTCTTCAACGCATCCTCCGCATCGCGGGCGCCCTTTATCAGCTCCGCAACACCGTACGTCACCTTATCACCCGGACCACCGACACCGCTGACGGGTGAGATGTAGTCGAGGATACTGCGAAGCTGGTCTGTTGTCGGGGGCGAAGTGGTAACCTCCAGCTCGAACTCGCCGCGCTGTTGCTTTGCGTGGGTGGCGTGGTCGCTAGCCTGGTCTTCCGTGGCGGTTTCACTAGCGGTTGAAGAAGCTTGTTTCAGGATGTTGAGGGTTCTAGTGGATGCTTGGATGGAGGGGGAGTGGAAGAGGGTGATTGGGTCGAGGGTTTTGCTCTGTTTGTGTGTTAGATGGTGGCTTGGGAGCTGGGTGGTGATGAATTGGTGGGGTTCGGAGCTGATAATGGTGGACTTACGAAACGGAACATCTTGGCGGATTGGATATATTTAATTGAGGGTGTTGTGGTGATAGAGGTAAGGTGGAATGGAGGAAGTTGGAAGAATTGGAGTTAGCTTAGGCGGCAGTTCCTGGATGATGTCATGTGCTGGCTCGGGTCGTCTCGGACTAAGCTGCTTTGGTCCGACCCTTGGAATGAGTCAACTACACTTTGGTCTTCTCTTGTGAGTATATGATACAGAGTACTAGGTTGATAAATGCCATGGAGGATACGGAATGTTCTATGATCTAGCGTCTGGTACTTAACGGAGAGCGATGGCATCCCTATGTCCACCCAACTCTACGTTTTGAGGACTTTAAACATGGCTTAATACCTCGAACTCTAGCTTCACGGAATCGCTTCTTACTCCTTAATTGACAGTCCCTGTGCAGTCGAATGATGTATCCAACGCGATCAAGCACACAGGCTGTTGGGGAGGGCGCCGGATCTGGGGGCTGCGCGGTATTGTACCTCGCTTGCTGGAGGCGAGTATCAGACTCTCACATTTGGTAGATGCCTTTATTCATCTATGCGTATGCTGATTAGCTCTAGGCTGAATTGTCAATTGCGCAAGGAGATAAATATACCTAGGCAATAAAAGAACAAACTCGGGGTTGTAGTTTCTCTGTTCATAAACCAAAGTTCTCAACATGCAAGTAGATCCCCTGCGCGCCAGTTCCCTTGTGCACAGCTCGTTCATCGCTTAGAGAAACCACGCTGCGGCGGACATCGTCTGCTAGGCCTCGAGGTCCGCATACAACCACAGCACTTTCTCCTTCGGCTTTCTCTAGGACCTTGCAGATGATAGTTCGTGGTGTTGGACGACCAAAGACAATATTAGGAGAAACTATTATTTTGTTTCTGAGGTCTCCAGACTGATGGGGTTTTGTATCCATGGCGGCCTTCTCAGACTGAACAGGCGCTGGGCCAGAGCAGGTACAGGCACAGGTGCTGATTTCCTCGTCTTGGATTTGGGTAGTGCAACAACAGCCTCCACCAGGGAGACAGCCCCTGCCTGTTACCACGGGTCCTGGAGTCGGTGTTGACTCGGCGGAGACAGAATGAATGGAGATATTGTCTTTCTCGGATATGTTCTTGGTCTCGTCTTGCGTGAAGGTCTCCAGTATAGGGGAAGACTGTGTCTGCAATGGTAGTGAGACAGAGATAGGCGGATCTAGCTTTTCATCGCATGTGATATATATGCTAATTTCAATCTCTTTCTCGAAATTTGAATGTGTGCGTCGACATTCATTCACATCTGCTAGTAGAGACTGCAGTTCGGAGTCAAAGTAAGCCAGTTGAGAACGTGATTTGATTACCCAGACAAAACGCAACCGCTTGGTAGCTGTCAAGCGAGCGATCCGAGCGGGAATCTGCTTGATGTCGTTGGTATCCAGCTTCCATGCTGAGACAACGTCCCGCAGAAGAGGTACCGTGAATGTCGCACCCATGCCACCTGCCAGCAGTATAACACTGTCGAACTGACGCAAGGGCCTGATGCTTCCATATGGTCCTTCAATAAAAACAGTCTTACCGGACATCACTTGCCCACTGCCCAATAGACTATCGTGCTTTGAGGCGTATCGGAAGAAACGTCTTGTTCCCCCATTTTCAGCGCGGATGAAGAATTTCATCTTATTATCTTCTGGGATCGATGCAATAGTGAATGGATGACATTGCAATGGGACGACGGAGTGGCAAGTGAGGAAGACATGCTGACCGGGTTGCCACCTGATACCGGGGTTTTCGATAGTAACGCAAGTGACATTTCCAGGTAGCGGAGTAAACGTAGCCGAGTGTGCCCAGAGAGCATTTGTCTTGTTCTCTTTGTGGAAAATGGTCAAGTTTACGTATGCACCCCAGGTGTAGCGCGCAACCCTATCGAAGACCACCAGCCCAATCGGGATCCATACCCAGGTCTTGACTTCATCAGGTGCATGCATCCACACTGCAACAATAAAGCCAACGAAGGTGACTAGATGCTGGGTAACAAAGAACTCATAACTGAGCCGACGAATTGGAGCGAAGGAAGTGATCACAATAAAGGTCAGGATAACCCAAGCGGAAAATCCACGCTTCGTCAACGGATCGTTATAAAGCTGGTAGGTGATATAATTCCAGCGACCCCAATTGCGGAACCAGAACCCCATATGGATTGTGGTTGTCAACCACAGTGTCCGCGCGACCCAGCGATGGTACCAGTTCAGACTGACGTAGCTCATTCCTGCCAAGAACCCAATAATGTTTTGCCTGCCTGCCAGCAAGAAGATCAGCGGCAGCTGGCAAATCCCGATGAACCCAGTGCGGTAGCCAACGTTCTCCCATGCCCATGGATCTAAGGTGTTCAGTTTGTAGAAACAAAGGACAATGACTACTATCAGGTTGGCTAGCATGATGAGGACGGGGCCAAGTGGCGGGAAATGGATAGTCAACCCTCCGAGTCGAAGCGGCCGTGGAGTCGCATAGCTGACTTCGCGGGCTGTTGCTGTGATGGTGGCATAGACATTGAAGAAGAGTGATTTTGGTTTGGCGGGGGTGAGTGAAGAATCTCGTAAGCTGATGATTGTTAGTTAAGAACAGCGAGTATCCTTAGGTCAAGATTAACTATACCGATGGCTAGCAATAATGCGATCCAGCACGTTAACGAGTGTTGCTGCCCCGATTGCACTTCCCACGACAGCCCAGTACATCTTCTGTAGGGTGAACAGACTTGGGACGCCATCACCCATGGACATTGAGCCCGCAGGCATGTCACCCATTGACATGGACATCTTGCACTAGAGTTGTAGAAGAATGAGACTTGAAGCCTACAAAACACTCCAAGTGTATATGGATGATAGGGCAGATTACCAATATTATGCTCAACCATGCTCACCTCCTCCACTGGATAAAAGGTGGGTCCAACCATGTGGGCACCGTTTTGGTCCAATGCGTCAGGTCAATGCGTCGTCTTAGGTAACTTCATCTTCCAAGGTTATTTACTTTTCTTTTCTTATCTTCATTTTATATTCACTCTCCCTCCCCTCATCAATCATGGATGGCATGGATGGCATGGATATGAGCAGCACCAGCTCTAGCTCTCACAGTATGAGCTCCTCAAGCTCTATGAGCATGACTATGGTATTCAAAAACACCCACGACACGCCACTTTTCTCCAATGCTTGGACTCCTTCATCCTCGGGTAGCTTTGCAGGCACGTGTATCTTTTTGATTATTCTCGCTATCATCGACCGATGCCTCATCGCTTTCAAAGTAACCATGGAGCGCCACTGGCTCGCCACACATCTCAACCGACGATATGTCACTGTGGTTGGCAAAAACAGCGAAGCCGGTAACATTGACACCGACCCGGACGCGAAACTCGCATCGCTCATCACCGCGCAAGGCGTTGAGGAGACAGTCAAAGTTGTGCACAACATCAATCGTGGGCCAATTCCCTGGCGGTTTAGCGTTGATCTACCGCGAGCACTACTATTTCTATGCATTGCGGGTATATCATACCTCCTGTATGTTCTAATATCTACTGGCGTTGATTGGACGAATGCTAATATCATATCTAGCATGCTAGCTGTCATGACTATGAATGTCGGGTATTTCTGTTCGGTGCTTGGAGGCGCTTTCATCGGGGAATTGGCGGTCGGACGTTTCATTCAAACTAATGAACACGGACATTGAGCATTTTACTTTTGACTTGCATGTTGATATTATTTATGGCCTTGAGCATCTGCCTGGAGTTGGGGAATAATGATTTGGGGATAATATTGTAAAATAGACTCGAGTTTGAATGGCATACCACTCCAATTCCACTCAAATACTCAAATTCTTCATCGCTATCTCCGGCCCTCAGCGGCCCACAGCAGCTGCATGCAACCATATGACTAAGCCTTGCGCGCGCGCAATTGAGCTAATTTACTAACTGCATTTGGACTAGCCTATCGGATAGTATCCACTATTAGGGCTAGCGTAAGGCTTTAATTTACTTCTGAGAAAGTATAGTCCGAGCTACCAAAACGGCAGGTCCATGCTATTATAAACTGGAGTATGGTCTAAGATATAACTATTGTCGAGAAATAGATGTGTTACAGTCTGTTTAGATCTGAATATATAATTCCCAGGTATAGCATGGCAAAGAAGCATAGGGAAGCCAAACGCAGATTATCGAGCCCAATGATCACTTCATATAACGCTGTTGGATAAGGCTGTCGGAAGATTCCCGAAGTATGCACAATCTCAAAGGGGAAAGGGTCATGGATTGCCGATATCTCGGATCCCACGGGGGCTTCATGGGTGGACCCTGGTTCCTTTTCAGGTCCCGCTAACTCCCTCACCTTGTATATGCGGAGCTCGTGTAGAAGAGTTCAAAGAGCTGGGTTCTCCCACTTTCCCTAGTACATTAGTTCCTATCCAAAAGAAATATCTACAGTTGATCCCTCTTTTTCTTTTTACCCTCCAATAACATATTCACAATGAAGTTTTCCTTCCTCGCCTTCACGGCCATCGTGCCATTGGCTTCCGCACACTTCAAGCTGATGTATCCCACCTCTCGTGGCTTCGATGAGGATACCATGCCCAATTTCCCCTGTGGTGGAATGAGCCAGTCCTCTAATCGCACCAAGCTACCTTTGTCCGGTGGCTCATTCCCCGTCGCTCTTGAGATGCACCATTCACAGACTGCCGTCGAGGTCCTTCTTTCCCTGGGTAGCGATCCGGGAGAGAACTTCAACATTATCCTCTCGCCCATTTTCCAGGTCAAAGGCCTTGGCGAGTTCTGCCTTCCTCACGTCGAGGTCAATGAGAAGTTGATCGGGCGTAATCTCACCGATGGAATGAACGCTACCCTTCAGGTACAGACCAACGGTGACCCAAGTGGTGGTCTCTATGCTGTATGTTCACTTTTCCTTCTTCATCCATCTTAACTCTTAATGATGCTATACTAATTGCGGTACAGTGCGCCGAAATCCAATTCTCCTCCGATGTCAAATACCAGACACCATCTGCCTGTACTAATAACACCAACCTTGCTGCCACTGCTTTCACTGGAGCTTCTGCTTCACGTAATGCCAACGAGTCTACTTTTGATGGTCAAGCGCAGAGCGGATCCTCTTCCTCCACTTCCGCTTCCACTTCCACTTCGAAGGGTGCTGCTGTGCCGATGCAAACTGCCGCTTGGGGGGTTCTTGGGGCTGCTGTCGTCGGCGGCATCGCTGTGCTGTAAGATTAGGATTAGGTTCGTCGATTTCGAGCTCTATTTGCTTTTGGCCTGGAAGTTTAGTGCATAATGAACAATGACATCTTCGCTCATGACCAAACAATCAACAGTGTGTTTCTTGATGTATTTTAACTTGTAACCACCCTAGCCACCAAATCAGGATTCCAGCTATCATCATACCTAGCTAGTCTCGTAGGTACCTGTGAGACATTGCGAAGCAACTCCACACCAGGTCAACCCTCAGACTGCACTCATTTGAAGAAAATCCAGTTCAACCAAGTATCCTTCTGCCTAATTATGATGTTACAAGAGACTCAGCTAAAGCCCTCACTGTCGTTGTAGGGTAATTGCTGTCGCGGTTACCTTTTTAATCTGTCTCTCTTCATTTGTGTTTAGGAACGAACAATGCTTTGTTGATTCTTCGACGACCTTGCAGGTCGACTAGCAGATTGACTAGGGTGGCCATTCGCGAAGCAGCTGCTTTTGAAAACTGATAAGTATCTATATACTCCACTATTCCATTGTCGCTTTTTCACAGTAGTAGAGAAATGTCTTCTCGGTACACATGTATATAGTACATAGTGTCACGTGTGCGGATAAGGAATTAGGAAATTGATCAGGGCCCAGTCTCCGAGTATTCTAGACACCAAACAAGCAAGAGAAATTTTCTTTCTCAGGGCGCTAGCCATCTCCTATCATGGACAACCTCGAGATACTACGCCCTGTTGGTAAGTAGATCCCTGTCAAAAAATAGTCGGAACCCTTTTCCGAAAGTCAACAATGCCTGACCCCAGTCAGGTCGATTGGAACAATATTCTACGTCGCGCCATCAGGTCGGGTTTTATTTAAATGTTGCTGTATCAGCAACTTATTTCCTACCAGATTCATTCGTGCTTCCTGTCAAAGACTATGTCTATCAGGCATGCGAGGCTGCAATAGCGGAACATCCGTCGCTATCCGCCATCGTGGCAGACGATCACACACAAGACCCTTATTTCGTGCGGCTGCCAGAAATTGATCTTGGCCAAGTTGTGTCTTTTCAAAACAGGAAACCAGGCTTGTTAGCTACCGAAGCCGATGGCGAGCCAACTCCAGATCTTGACTTGCAAACATTGCTTGCAACCCAGCACAACACTCCTTTCAGGGCTCCAAATCCCCTCTGGAGAGTCTGTGTGCTGTTAGATATAGAGGATGAGCGCCAATTTACTGTGGCTTTCGTATATCACCACGCCATTGGCGATGGAATCTCCGGAAAAGCCTTTCACCAAACCTTCCTACGAGCCCTGGGGGCAATGTACTCCTCTGACCAGACTAAATCCGTCATCAAGCCACCCCGTCTCCCTCTCTTGCCAAATATCGAGCTTGTGCACCCAATGTCTCTTTCCTTGTTCTATCTTGCCAAGAAAATATTCCAGGCAAAAGTCTACTCCCGACGACCCACGGGTCTATGGACCGGCTCAAAGGTCCTAGTCCCCTCTCAAACCCGCCTACGGCTCGTGCCATTCTCCAAACTAATTGTCGGAGCAATAAGAGACAGATGTCGACAAGAGGATGCAACGATCACCGCACTTCTGCAGACAATCGTCGCCCGCTCCATCTTCGCACATATCCCGCCTGAGTTCACACGGCTCGCCTGCACCGGCGCACTCTCAAGCCGGGGCTGGCTGCCAGATATTATCACTGATGAGTCAATGGGCGTCTGGGTCCAGGACTACGAAGAGACATATTCCCGGGAGACAGTCGCTCCGTCCGACGGCTCCTTCCCGTGGGCAGAGGCTAGACGATCTCGTAAGACGATTCAGTCTGTCTTGAAAATGAAAGGGAAGAATGCTAGCACGAGTCTGCTGCAATTTGTTGATGATTTCCAGGAGGAACTGTGTTTGTCTAAAGTTGGCAAAGACCGCGATAAGAGCTTCGAGGTGTCAAATGTTGGTGTTTTGGACCCGCAAACACATCCCGAGCTGCCATCCATTAAAGGGATGGTCTTTTCGCAGTGTGCCAGTGTGATGGGTAATGCAATTGAGGTGTCAGCTATCACTGGGGGAGATGGGTGTTTGGTGCTGGCAGTCTCTTGGCAACAAGGGGTTGTGGGGGCTGATCTCGTCAATGAGGCCATTGAGTCGATTAAGCAAGAGTTATACTCTATTGAAGTGGTATAATCACTGGGTGTCATTAGCACAGCACTTAACTGAAGCCTTTATAATGTTTAATAATGTATCCCGAGTTCCATAGAATGGATGAGCTCATCTTCAGATGTTGTTATCTAATGGGCGGTGAGAGGGCGATAACGTCGGCGGCAGAAATGTGGGGAAACAACAGTTCGAGAAATCTCTCCAGTTTCCTTTCACCCAAACTTCTTTTTACATCTCATACCGTATATCGACTTTCAATATGACGCGTGGTCCGTACATTGTTCCGGCGCTCACGAAGCACACCGCTACTGTTATCATGGCCCACGGGTTGGGAGACAGGTAAGTTTATCGCCAGAAGATAAACGATAGTATCGAGTCTGATAGTGTTTGAAAACAGTGGCGCCGGATGGTATGGAAATTCCTATCAATTACAAAGATTAAGTCCATGAACATCGCTTCTGACTATACAACCCAACAGGATGTCCCTTGCCCAGACCTGGCGCCGCCGCGGCAAGTTCGACGAGGTGGCCTTCATCTTTCCTAATGCGCCCGACATCCCGATCACAGTTGTATGTGAGCCTTATATCTGTCATCGATTTGATATTGATTGACGAAATCTCGGTTAGAACTTCGGTATGAGCATGCCCGGATGGTACGACCTCACCAAGCTTGGCGGTGACGTGAGTTCATTCCCAGAATCCCCGAATAAACTCACAGCGCTAACCGTCCTCTCCTTCATCCAGTTGGACTACCAAGAAGCCCTCCGCCACCAGGATGAACGAGGAATTCTCCGCTCCCGCGACTACTTTAATACGCTCATCGAGCAAGAGATGAAAAAGAACATCAAGGCCTCACGTATCATCCTGGGCGGATTCTCCCAGGGCGGTGCGATTTCCCTGTTCGCCGGTGTGACTAACAAGGAAAAGCTCGGCGGTGTCTTTGGTATGTCGTCCTACCTGCCATTGAGCGACCGGATTAAGAACTACATGCCCGAAGAGTGGGCCAACAAGAAGACGCCGTTCTTCCTTGCCCACGGTGTCGAGGATAATGTTATTCCATTCGCTTTTGGGAAGATCTCAGCGGCTAAGCTTAAGGAGCTTGGCCAAGAGAACGTTTCCTTCAACCAATACGAGTATGTTTTTGGTTGCTGTTGTTCCGGTGTGTGATGATTTACTAACTTGACTTCCCATATAGAAATCTCGGTCACTCCGCGACCCCCGAGGAAATTGATGACTTAGAGAACTTCATTGAGAAGGCCCTCACCGCTGGAGGAGAGGGCAATGTTTCTGCTGGTCTATGACTTGATGACCAGAGTGAGAACATTGAAAATAGCCTTTGGGGATATACCTTGATCATGGGTTTCGTGGTGCTGCTTGGTGCTGTTATCTGGTCTAGATATCAGTTGTCAAAACAGAAACAATCCACAGAAAAGCAGCATTAACAACTCTAACCCGAGTCCACTTTTGGGGTACATAATAATGCAATTCGAAGACCCCTGTCTGGCATGTCCTAAAAGCCAACAATACTGCGTAGTTTGGCAGGATGGGTTCCTCTTATATCGCTCAATTGCAAAGCTAATAATCATAGGGGATGGGATAGGTTCGGTCATATAGATGAAGTTATCGCTAGGATGCGGTGGTCAATGCTGCCATTTCGTTGGCTGGCGCACCTGTCTCACACAACCTCACACAAATAAATCCATTTGCCATCTATTAATCAGACAGACGAGTCGAATACCTGGAAAAGCCGAATAGAGGGGCTAATCCGGCACCGAGACCATTCTTCCCCGACAGCAGCACGGACACAATGTCCTAGCTTTGTTGATTGACTAGCAAGCCTATGTTCTATATGGTGGGTGCATGGGCGAGTACCAGTCTAGATAAATTGTGTACGAGAAGTTTCAATGCCGATATAAATGTACATAGTTCTGCCAGCTCCTAGATGTAAAACACGACCTGCGCAGCTAATAATGACAAACCCTCTAGCATATATGGGACAGCCCCATTAGCTAATTGAGCTATGTTGATAACCTCCAAGTAAGAGGGTTCGCAGTCCTCTACCCCAGGTACAGCTGCAACGGCATCCGACGAGGTAGCCAAGCAGCCGGCGTGGTCCACCCGCTGCAGATGCGCGCATTTATCCTACACCTGCCCGGTCTGGCATAGACCAAGAGAAACCCCTAACATGATAATGTGTCGACAGATGCGTGTAATTGCAGTAGGTGGAACGAGATTTGCTTTTATATTATGGTATTGAAGAAACAGACTTCGGAGGTCGGTAATTGTACATTGATATAAGCCTCCAATATTGAGGCAGTAGATGCAAAGATGAGGGAAGAGTCGCAAACGTATCGTACAGCCAATAAAAATCATGACATACACCCAAGGTTATCCAAGATTGCAGATAGTGCCGAAACTTCGGGCTCTCGAAGCCTCGGGATATAAAAGAACAATTGTGAGAGGAACGATTGAGCCAAACAGCAGGAGAGGCGGAGGAAGGCTGGAGATGTAGGTAGATCGAATTCTCTAGGCGGGCACGGCATAATCGTATATAAATGGTTGAGGGGCGATGGTTTTTAGTTGGGAGATCATTTTTCACCCAGCATCTCCTTGCGCATCTCCTCCCGTTGTGTCCGCGTTTGTTCTTTGTCCTGTGCGCGTTGTGCCTCCAACACTGCTCGCTTCTGGTCCAATTCTTCTTGGGCGGCGTACCAGACTAAAAGATTCGAGTCATGACCATTAGCCACTGATGCACTTTCAAGCCTGAGCGAACCGGATTTCGCGGAGATAATCATCTCCAGGGTAAATTGCAAGTGCGTGACATACTGGACTTATCGGACTTAGACCACTCCTTCAGCTTACCGACGTAGTCGTCGAATTCCTGCGCCTTGCGGTTCCCCTGTTCGGCACTGCGCTTCTGCAGATCCGGGTTGTATCGCTTCCTAAGCTCTTCGTCGGAGGGTCGGAGATATTCGACAAAAGCGGGGCCACCAACGACCATGAGGAGGCCACTATGGTGAGGTCCGAATGTGAGCGCGAGTCATTGGCACGGTGCAGAGGCGTGTATCACTTACCCGGCGATGGTCTTTGCCCATAATCCGGCGCGAGACATGGTGAATCCGAAGGTCGGATGTTGATTACCGATTTAAGACTTTCGGTATGACGATATGTTTCTCGGATGATTCGGGGAGATATAACTAGAGATGCTCAGGCCGATGGAGATCATCAACATCATTGCGGCTCTCATTTGCTGTTGGAGACGATGTGGCGCAGCCGATGTGGCGCAGTACGCTTTGCCTGATCGAGCATGTCTCACGTTTTCGTGTTCCAAGGTTTCTCCCCCACACTTTTTGTTTGTCTTTCGTCACTTTTTTATTGAACTTGTCGCCTTTATTCTTTATGGAACTATTCCGAGACAGAGGTGGAGTCTTGTCATGTTCCCATGTCCTATCCACCTACTTACAAAGTCCATACCTCCGAAGTACGGCATTTTTATAACTTTGGGCAGCCCTCCAGGGGTGCCCGATTGCAGTCCACGGGTCCACAGGTGGGCACAGGGTCTACTTTAGTCATCATTGTTTGACCCTTCTGAGGCCAACTTCATGGATTTGGATGGCAGAATGACCGGAATACCAGGGAAGCCCAAGTGGATGCCAGCGAAGTCCCGTCGGCGTTGAAATTTTGATTGTGATGGGCTTGCAGGACGAGAAGGTCTGCAGGACTCGGGCCCCCCTGATCGTCAGGCACCGAGTGGGATTAATTTCTACCGGGCTGTACCTTCATATACAATATTGATTGAAACACTGCATAATAACATTGAACTAGTTATACATTGTATCAAAGTATTCAAGAGTATGTATGTCTTAAAATGGAAGTATAAAAATAGGAGAATGGGTCTATGACGGCACTGAATAATTTTCCATTTAAATCCACACAGAAAATGAACCAAATGTAGTTAGTCTAATAGGCACCAAAGGAGATTGGATACCCATATTAAAAAAAAAAAAAGAGTAAAAAGAGTAAAAAGAGTATGAAAAGTATGAAAAGAATAGAAAAAAAAAAATTGAAATGTGCCTTTCTCGGTGTGGGTCAACTGTTTAATTTAAAGGTCACCTGTTACCGCCCCTAAGTCATTCTGCCCCCCGCTTGATTACTTTCAACTTCTTGAATTCACCTTAGACCGGTGTGGCTCCTGACCCCCTCAGGTGCTTGATGAGCTTGCGACAGGCTCGTTGGTCACTGTGATTTGGCATTGCGCGAGGTAAGGATCAGTGTGGAGTCCGGCCGGTTGCCTTCTCAGGATATCCATGGACCGTGAAACGAATGAGCTGACTCCCGAATTGCAGCCCTAGAGCCCTGGAGTTTACCAAATTGTCCCCTCCTTGCATGCGACTACCCATAAGATTTACACCGTGAACGATCCCCGAAGACTACTCGAATCGCCCATTGTATAGTACGCTTATCGGTTTGCGCCATGTCATACCCCCAACAACATCAAGCGCAGAGGCCACCACCTTTGCGACAATACAACAACCCCCCTCCGCGTTCTGTGACATCGCCAGGAGGATATTCGCAAGATGGCTCCCAAGGAGGATACAGCGATGGTGGCATGAGTAGCCGTAGCTACCAGCAGGCTGACCCTGGCTACGACGATGCGGCATACAGTTACCAATCTAGCTCCTCCGGGTCTCAACCATATGCTGCTACGCAATCTCAGCCACGCTCAATGCGCCCACCGGGTCCACCAGGCCCGGGAAATGGGCGACCTCCAGGCCCTGGATACGATGATCGCCGTGGCTATCCTCCTGCTCCCGGTGGAAGACCACCGCCGCAATCGCGATCAAGAACACGTATGTAAATTCAGAGAGCAACCGCAAAGCGCCTGCTAACCGACTTCAAGCTGGTGGACGACCACCCCCCGGCGGTACCTTCGACAATCCCTTTCCCTCCTTTCCAAATCGAGACCCAAGAGATCCGAGGGCCCCCAGAGATCCCCGAGACCCTAGAAGCGCTAGAGATCCTAGAGACCCCCCGAGACCCGAGGGATCGGCGCCGTCCGCCACCCCGGGGGCTAGAGCAAGATATGGCTGCAATGGACATTAATGGCAGGGCCCCGCCTAGGCCGCACACTTCTAATTCTAATGGGAGACGGCCAGACATGCGACAGCCACCTCCACGCGGACCACCACCAGGACGGGGCCGAGGTGGCTACCCAATGGGACCCATGCGAGCTGCTAGCTCAGGCAGACCAGATCGACCTGATAGAGACTATCCAGACTCCATGGCCCCGTCTATGCCTCCGCCACCAAGAAGCGCAACGATGCCGCTCGGACCAGGCGCACCGCTCTACCCAGGCCAGTCGACCTACCAAGAAACAGATTACCCAGCGAGCTCCATAGGCGAATCTCCTATGCGTCCTAATACTGCTGGAAGCATGCGACCCCCACGATCTCGTGCCCCCAACGATATAGACCCAGGCCTAATGATCCCTGCGGCTGGATTGATGATCCCCCCAGAGCCTGCCAATCGTGTTTCATATGCGCCCAAGGAATTTCTGGACAGCTATTATGACTCCAGTGGTGCTATTGCCGATGAACCCGATATGCCTAATTTCGATGCCATGCCAGACCCTCGGCATCACACCCCGATTGATGAGATGGGCCTGGAAACAACACCGGTTAAGAAACCAGTTCATGATACGAATTCTTCACCTGGAGACTACTCGTATCCTTCCAACGGAGTGGAGGTTGCGCACTCCCAATCTCAACCAGATTTCCAACAAGCAGAGGGTGCCAATCAGTTTCAAAATGCGGGATTTCAGTTTGGCATTCCTGGAGAAGCTTCCCTTCCTCCCGCTTTCGACCACTCAAACTCTGCTGGGTATGCGTCGAATGGTTACGAAGATTACGCCGGTTATTCGCATGGTCCTTCCCCGGTCCAGACCAACCAGCCAGGCTATCCCCACGACCAGGCTGAGATGTCTGATCCTCACCAGAATCCCGATGCCCTTCCTCATCACCCAGTCCCGTTCCGCCCTGGCCATGATCAAGGGTCAAAACCTGCACCGGTTCGGCAGTACAACGCTCCTGAAACCATGCCAACCCCCGCTGCTCCACAGCCAATGATGGTGTCCAGTGGAGCGGCTCGGACGCCGGTCACGATTGAAGAAATACAGCGACTGCAACAACAGGCGCGAGGCAACCCTTCCGACAAGAAGACTCAACTTCTACTCGCCAAAAAACTGGTCGAGGCATCCACGGTTCTAGTAGGGGACAACAGCAGACTCGACCCGAAAACCAAAGCCAAGGCCAAGGAGAAATATGTGATGGATGCGCATAAGATTCTCAAAAAGCTGGTTACAGCCGGGTACTCTGAAGCCCAGTTTTTCCTGGCTGACTGCCACGGTGAGGGCCTACTGGGACTGGAAGTCGACCCCAAAGAAGCCTTCTCACTATACCACTCTGCTGCGAAACAAGGTCACGCACAGTCTGCGTACCGTGTGGCTGTATGCTGCGAGATCGGCCAGGAGGAAGGTGGCGGTACCAAACGTGATCCATTTAAGGCCGTTCAATGGTACAAGCGTGCCGCTGCACTCGGTGATACACCCGCCATGTACAAAATGGGAATGATTAATCTAAAGGGACTGCTTGGTCAAGCTCGGAACCCCCGGGAGGGTGTATCCTGGCTCAAGCGGGCGGCTGACCGTGCAGACGAGGAAAATCCGCATGCTCTTCACGAGCTTGCCCTCATGTATCTGAACGCCGGCGGCAATGACATCATTGTCCGCGACGAGCAATATGCCTCCCAGCTATTCCACCAAGCTGCCGAGCTGGGCTACAAGTTCTCTCAATTCAAACTTGGTACTGCCTACGAATACGGCCTCATGGGATGTCCCATTGACAACCGTACAAGTATAATCTGGTACACTCATGCCGCAGCCCAGGGTGAACATCAGAGTGAACTCGCCCTTAGTGGCTGGTATCTCACTGGATCAGAGGGCATTCTATCGCAGAACGACACCGAGGCCTATCTGTGGGCTCGTAAGGCCGCCACCGCAGGTCTTGCCAAGGCAGAATATGCTATGGGATATTTCACCGAGGTCGGAATCGGCTCTGCGGCCAACTTAGACGACGCAAAGAGATGGTACTGGCGTGCAGCTGGTGAGTCGACTTCCCTTTGACTGGTTTTTGCTTCAACCTCAGCTAACCTTTTTACTTTTTAGCCCAAGGATTCCCCAAGGCTCGTGAGCGTCTTGAAGACCTTAAGAAGGGTGGAAGCCGAATGCAAAAGACTCGTCTCTCACGGTCGGCCGTTAACAAGCAGAGTGATGGGGACTGCGTTCTCATGTAATTTGGATATTTTCACCCTTTTTGTGATTTGCCACACTTTAGATGCGGCTTGCATGTATGCATTTCCCCTGATGATCACCGGCACTTGATGTATTCACTCCGGTCAAGAACGCTTCTCTTCTACCGATTATTTTATTTTCTTATTCTTTTCTTATCCTTTCGATTCCCTTCTTTGGTTCGAATTGCTCTTCTTTCCTACTTTTTTTCTTCTTTCCTTGCCTTTATTCTTATTCTTAATTTTTCTTTTAACGAATTGGATGTACATGACTGGAACGGATACGATTGGGCCGATATCCCTGAACTGGTTGTAGTGTCTGTATACATTAATAGATTGTTGGACGACTTTAATAGTCGCACAGTGTTATAAATATCCTTATATATCCGTAAATCCGCCTATATGGATTGTCAGCGGGGGAATTCCGCACTGACACACAGCTTATGGATACAATTTCCAATGCTCGGCCTTATAATCGGCTCTCTGCGCTTCCGAAAGCATCTAATTAATCAGCTTTAGTTCTACGGTGGTAGGTTATCGAGTTATTTTTGTCTTTACATTTGGATATAAGAAGACTGCAATTCGTTGAGTTTTGGAAAGGAGTATACTGCTACCCATATGTCTTCCGAATCAAACCGACATAACGACTCGGAAACACGAACCAATTCATTCAGCGGACATAAACTCACCATTATCTCTCTTTTGACCGTCCTCGCGGCTGTACTCATTACCCTAATTTGGGGAGAAACCGCCAATCTGTTCGGTCTCCGACGTCTTTTCGGATCTTCCGCGCGCCTAGCGGCAGAACCTCTATCAGCTTCAGCATCTGCAGTAACAGCAACATCGAAGGGACAATCAGACATGAAGACACCCATTTACTTCCTCAGCCATGGCGGGGTGAGTTATCTATATTCTGGTTCTTAGTGTCTATTATATGCTGACATGGTACCCATCAGCCAAACATTATGTACGACGTCGATCACCCAGCTTACCGCAAGCTCGGTGAAATCGGCCGCGAGATAACTACCAAGGTCAAGCCGAAGGCTGTGGTAGTATTCTCGGCGCATTGGCAAGCCGGTCGAGATACGATCCAGGTGAATACCGCCGAGAAGACTGATTTGATCTATGAGTATGTTTCATATCAAACTCCCAGCCGTCATACTGCAAATTTCTTACTAATTGTACGTAGCTTCGGTGGCTTCCCAGGCCATTACTATAAAGAGAAGTACCCGCACGTGGGTAGCAAGGAGGTAGCGAATGAAGTGTTGAGGTTGTTGAAAGAAGCCGATATCCCGGCCGAGGGCGTGAAGCGCGGACTCGACCACGGCGTCTGGGCCAGCTTCAAGTGCGGTATGTGACAGATTTGCATTGAAACGATAATCTAATGCTGATGAGGACAATGTAGCCTTCGAGCCTGACTCAAACCCATTGAACGTTCCCATCGTGCAAGTCTCGCTCTTCCAAACCGAGGACCCAGACCAGCACTATCGTCTCGGACAGGCGGTTGCCAGTCTTCGCGAGCAGAACATTCTGATCATCGTGTCTGGGATGGCGGTGCATAACCTACGGGATCTGCGGTTTGCTTTTGGCAGCTCGACCCCGATGCCATATGCTGTTAGCTTTGACAAGGCGCTCAAGGATGCCGTTACGTCTGCGCCGGGTGAACGGCAGAAGGCCATGGCTGAGCTGTTGAAGAGACCAGATGCACGCCAGGCTCATCCTTCCTTTGAGCATCTGCTGCCTATTCATATTGGGGCTGGTGCTGCGGGCGAGGATCTGGGTAAGAGGACCTGGACTTTGCCCGAGGGGAGTATGAGCTGGGCGCAATATCGGTTTGGCGAGGTTGGCAATGCCAGTAGCACGTTATGAGACATAGCATCGAGCCATCACTGGAAGTAATTGAATTGGATTTGTTTTGGATATGAGGTTTCGATTTCATCTATAGGTACAGAAGATGGATGTAGAACGGTGGGATCGCGGGGGCATGAAATAGATCTGCAGGGAAAACAAGAAGAAGTTATAGCTGCTGCTTCACCAACTGTGTAATGCGCTCTTCGACCTGGGAGTCCGACAGGCCTAAAAACATCAATTAGTATTGCAACTTGATGCAAAATTATGGTTGGCGGGGAATATTTACCGGACAGGGCTTCTTGCTTCTCCTGGCCGAAAGCTATTGACAGGAACCGATCGTGTTAGCTTTACTCGCTTATCCAAAGAGCCCACACAATGGGCTTGTAGGTGTCCTGTCATACCATATCGGGCATAGACTCGAGGCTGGGTGCCCGCGGCCTCGCGCATCATGATGGGAGTCTGGGGGTTGTGCTTCTTCATAGTCGGGTAGGCGCGGTTCAGGAAAGATCTATAGGCACAGAAGAAGGTAAATCAGTGGGCTGAAACCCAATTTGCCCTGGGTAAGGGTGTACGCACCTTGTGGCCGCGCTCGCTTCGGAGGTCTGGCAGAAGAGGAAGCGGAGCTCCTTCAGGCCTTGAGTGAAAACGTACTTGCCAGACATGGTGGCAGGATGGTCAAGCAGATGTAAGGATTAGGGAGATAGAGGTCTCGGATGAGCCACGGGAGGATGAGCGTGGGAACAGTGGAATTGACTTGCTAGACAGTCTGCGATGCAGTGCATTATTCACGACGGCGTTGATTCGCTGCGCAGAGCCATAATCCCGCTAGTCCCGATATCAACTAGCGCACTTTGCTTACATCAGCTTCAACATCTGAAGCGTCATAGGTAGCGACAGCGCAAGAGAGACAGTAAGTGAGGGATAATTAATTGGAGTAGACTATACTCATTACTTGATAGTAGCCCTTTTATCTTCTACCGACTATATTTTTATCTGCCTCGGTTGTGGTGGTCAATTGCCCTATCTTGTCTCCCCAACGGAAAACTCCCCCTTCCACCGATCACCGGACAACCATCCATCTTCCCTCTCAATATAATCACCATCCCAGCTATCACAATGTCGTCTCGTGTGGGTTTCCGCTTCGTGAACAACGCTCGCTTTGCATTCCGCAATGCCTCCGCGCCATTCCGCCGGCCGGGTGCCCAGGGTTTCCGCTGGCAGAGCTCCGAAGCCGGTGCTGGTGAGCAACAGAATGCCTTCCAACGCCTATGGAACAGCCCTGTTGGTGCGAAGACTGTCCACTTCTGGTAAGGATCCTTAAGCATGCTGCATATCATGTCTCTTTTGCTACTACGAATTGATGCTGACTTCTGTTTTGCAGGGCCCCGGTTATGAAGGTACGATAACTCGATTTCCTCGTCTGATATGCCATCTATACCCCGGACCACCCTTCCAAATACAATATCTCTATCAAACGCCGCCGTATCTTGCGAACATTGTCTATGTTCTTGCTGAGCACCATGGCTAACATATATCCCTATAACAGTGGTGTCTGGTCATCGCCGGTATCTCCGACTTCGCCCGTCCCGCCGAGAAGCTCTCCCTCACCCAGAACGCGGCTCTGATGGGTACTGGTGCCATCTGGACTCGCTGGTGCATGATCATCAAGCCCCGTAACGTCCTGTATGTGGAACCCGATAGCAGATCCGTTGGACATCAATGCTAACACGATATAACTCTAGGCTCGCCGCTGTGAACTTCTTCCTCGGATGTGTGGGTGCCGTCCAGGTGACTCGTATCTTCCTGTGGCAGCGCAGCCAGTCTGATTCTACTCTCGAAGCCGCCAAGGAGATCGAGCATGAGGCTGTTGACTCTGTCAAGGCCACCGCCGGGGCGACCGAGGGCGTTGTGAAGAAGGTTGTTGAGAAGTCGACTTAGATGTGAGATGGATTCTGTGTTGGCGCTAGGGGAGCTTGAAAGAGTCTTCCTAAATACATCTAGATCGGTATCTATAGGGACCCCTTACCTGCGCTGAGGTGAGGTCTTCAGGAGGATTTGGGGTTGAGTGAGCTCGCTCGGTTGAGATGATCGTTGTTTCATCTCCTCTGGGCTGAGAACCTGCTCCTTTTATTTGGCAGCTGTTGTACATATAAAGAATGTTTCAAAGTGATTGGTTACTATTCCTTCTGAGAATTCCGAATAATTTCTAGTCGCATTTTGCTTGTAAACCTAAGTATCCTCTGATTAGTCGTTGCTATTCAGAAAGCTATAGCGCAGACAATATCTATATTCATTTGAGATTTGAAATACATTGGATTTAGGGACACTCTCCTCGCTCTATGTGTTCAATTTATCCGGGATTTTCCTCCCAATCGGGGAAATCACGCCAGATATTCCTCCTATCAGACTTGCTTGGGGACCACCCTCACGCTAACTCATCCCCGGTCCGCTTTTCAACGAGACGGAAACTCACCATACAAGTCATGGCCATGCCCCGGTTTCTCCACACATTGCGGAGTCGTTAGCTCGTTTCCCCGGAGCAAATTGAACGAGATGGGGTTACGCTGCCTAGCGTAAATTGTCAATGGCGAGACTATATATAAGCTGTCTTGGAAGTTCCTGAACGCCATCTTTAGTTAGGATTGTGAATCCAACGAACAGCCCCTAGATTCTCTTAAACACCAACGATGAAGATTTCAAATACTTTGACCCAGGCCTTGGGGTTCTTGTTATCAATCAGCACCACAGCTGAGGCTAAGGAATACTCTCGAAGCGAGGCGTGTCACCCAAACCATTCATTCAAGCCCCTTCCGGCCAGTCACGCCAGGACTCGCACCTGTCATGTAGCCAACCACGGCCATGGACGCGACGATTCAAACAATGTTCTTACGGCATTGAAGAAATGCAACAACGGAGGAAAGGTCGTTTTTGATGCGGACAAGACGTATACGATTGGAAAGGCACTTGACATGACTTTCCTAAAGCATGTGGATCTCGGTATGTAATGCGGCGTTGTAGTTCGATACCAGAGCGGGGGAGTACTTACGCAAGCTGTAATAGAAATCCAGGGCCATGTTCAATTTAGCAATGACACGGATTACTGGCAAGCAAATGCTTTCAAGCAGGTCTTCCAAAATGCCACAACGTTCTTCCAGCTCGGTGGTGAGGATGTCAACGTCTACGGCGAGGGCACTCTGGACGGTAACGGTCAGGTCTGGTATGACTTATATGCAGAGGATGCCCTCATCCTGCGGCCAATTCTAATGGGTATAATTGGGCTAAATGGAGGTACCATTGGACCTCTTAACCTTCGTTACTCGCCTCAGTGGTATCAATTGGTGGCAAACTCATCCAACATTCTCTTTGACGGAATTGATATTAGTGGGTTCAGCAGTAGTGAGCATGAGGCTAAGAACACTGATGGATGGTAAGTCCATCTGTTTTAAAAGAGGAACTGACTGCAGTTAACTAACACCTTCAATAGGGACCTCTACCGTTCGAAGAATATTGTTATCCAGAACTCTGTGATCAACAATGGAGATGGTATGGTTCCCTTAAAAAATTTGACCAGGTCTTCTTTTGCTAACTATGTCAAAGATTGCGTCTCCTTCAAGCCCAACGTCAGCGACATTTTGGTTCAGAACCTTCATTGCAACGGTTCCCACGGTATCTCCGTTGGCTCTCTCGGCCAATACCCAGGCGAGGTTGATATTGTGCAGAATGTGCTCGTGTACAATATCTCTATGTTCAACGCATCGGTAAGTCTGGTACCGCGGGCGAGATAATTACGTTTCTAACAATATTATAAAGGATGGTGCGCGTATCAAAGTTTGGCCTGGGTCTTCCGCTGCACTCTCTACCGATCTCCAGGGTGGCGGTGGATCGGGCCTGGTGAAGAACGTTACCTACGATGGCATGACCATTGACAATGTCGACTACGCGATCGAAGTGACCCAGTGCTATGGCCAGAAGAATTTAACTCTCTGCAACGAGTTCCCCGTACGTGTCATTCATCACTTTCGATCCCTATTTGCTTTTCATTCCACCTTGATAGCGTCACTATCACTTGTTTTGCTTGCCAAAGGCTAACTAACACATACGCCATACAGAGCAAACTTGCCATCGAAGATATTGTCTTCAAAAATTTCAAGGGTGTCACCTCTGGTAAACGTGACCCTGAAGTGGGAATGATTGTCTGCTCAAGTCCCGATGTAAGTGCTCAAAAGCTACAGGATATATAACTCACCGACTGACTTGCACAGGTTTGCTCAAATATCAAGGCCAGTAACATTGATGTTATTAGCCCCGATGGGGACGATCAGTTCACTTGCACAAATGTGGGTTTATCTTGAAGATTGATGCAACGTCGAACACAAATTTACTGACTTATTTACTCTACTTCTAGGTTGATAACAGTTTGCTGGATGTGAAATGTGCTTCCTCCAGCTAGAGAAGTCAGCCCAAAATATATATATTCAAGTAGAACACTATTGGCACAGCAAAAAGTCTACTGGCACAGTCCACTAAGCCCCTTTAGCCCTAGCCTTCTAGAAGAATCTGCATTACTTATGAATCTACCAAGAATTGGCATTTTTGTATTGTTTGAGGCCCATTGGGCCCCCATAAAAGCCCAGTGGGCGTTTATCCTAGGCCCAAGGCCCATCGATGGGCCTAAGGACTGGCCCAAAGACCAGCCCATTTGCGGGTTGGTCCGGGTTGGGCTATGGGCTTTATGAGCCGGTGCGGAGGTCTACACCTGCGTAGTACGATGGAGCCTCCCTTGTAGGTATTCGAGGTATTCCGGCGTGTAGGTAGTAAGTGTCAGATAGATCTCATCGTAGTCCTGTGAGGTCATCAGGCGTCTATGTGTGTTCGTCAGCATCGAAACATTTAATGCCATATTATGATATGGCTTACTAGTCAAGAGGACACTATCGGGAGTTCGTATCAGTCAGGATCCACGCCACCATTTCTGCCGCTTCTTGCCATAGGACATTGGGACGTGCTTCACGGTCTCGTTGCACCACCTTCGCCTTAACAATTGCATATATTTCAGGGATATATTGTCCTTCAAGATAACCGTCTATATAGGCGGTCATTTGGTTCTAACCGAAGGACATGGTACCAAATGGTCTCCGGGCAGAAGTCCATCGACACGCCACACCCGGGATGTTGATCGTAAGAGTCTTAAGGAGGTTCATCAGGGCCTCATTAGTGACTTGTTCATCTGTCGTTCGGCATTGTATGATCCATTCAGCATCTGCCGCTGCTATGTGGATTGTGGGCAGGCTTGTTGGTCCGGAATCAGTGCTACGCGCTGAGCTCTGAGCGGGCACAGAGCTGCCAGACCGAGAATTAGGACCCTGCGCGGGCCAAGAGATCTGCTAATTTTCCTCAGATTCACTTCAGATTCAGTTCAATTCACTTCACTTCACTTCACCTCACTTCACTTCACTTCACTTTACTTCACTTTAGTTCACTTCACTTCACTTTACTTTACTTTACTTCTACTTCACTTCTACTTTACTTCACTTCTACTTTACTTTACTTCACTTTACTTCACTTCACTTCACTTCACTTCAATTTAATTCAGTTCAATTGAATTCTAATATAGAATCCAATGATACTTATAGAGAAACAATACAGTTGGATTCATAATAATTAAGATAGACAGAGAGAGAGAAGAGAGAAGGAGAGGAGAGAAACTATCTACTATAGATATAGATCTGTCCTATATAGGTCCTAGGCCTCAGGCTAGACCTCAGGATAGCCCACAGACCCCATAGCCTAGACCAACCTAACCCACAAAATGGCCTGGTTTTTGGGCCTATGCCTCGGCCCATCGGTGGGTTATGGGCCCGGAGCATAGGCCTATAGAAATAATGGGGGCCTATGATAGGGGCCCATTATAAACCAAACAATATAAACATGCCAATTTACCGTAGCTATATAATGCATTTTTCCCTAGCTTTTTTAGGTATTTAAATTACCGCCTGAACTATTTATGAAGCTATATAGAAATCTCTCTCTAGAGAGAAAGGTAGATTGGGAGATATAAACAAGAATCAAATTTGATTTTTATAAAACTTTTAATTTTTATAAGAGGTACTTATTTTTGTTAGGGGTTTATATAGTAAATAGAGGTACTAAAAGTATTACTATAGAGAAAGCGATAATTATATTAATCCCCTCTAGATAGCCGTGCCAGGCGCCCAACAACCGGAACGGTTGTTGGGCGCATATTGTAAATGAAGCTCCATTGCCCATTGCCTATTTCTAGCTGATGAAGCCCCCTCCGACCGGGCATATCGCCTTGTCTTACGATTGTGAAGCTATTTATAATCGAGGGGAGCTTCGAACCGTGGCTAGATCAAGCGTGCAAGATTGGGTAGTGGATGGGATTTGTATGGGTGTGAATAACGTCACATTTGATGCCCATTCTTTAAGGTGTTGATCTTATCAACCTGAGGAATTGAGTACTTTGCTTACTAAGGGATGTGTTATCCATGGATGGTAATTCAGGTATTTTTATTTTACATGTATGCCAGGTTTAATTTACCGAAGCTTTCAGGCACCAATAATATATCGAAGGTCCAGCGCAGAGAACCAACACTGTCGGCACGAATAAAGCGTTTCTGCCTCTTCACTTCGTGTGACGCACGTTGCAAAACAGCAACATGAGCTCTGCACATGCTCAACGTTGATCGTCGGAGAGTCGAGGCCTGAGGGGATACTTCCAACCCACTAGACTCGTCAAATGACCGGGAGGAGGAAGCTCGTCCTCAGAATAAAGAGCTTGGGGGAGGCGCTTTTTTCGCTGGCACATGCCGCAGCGAAGTCCTAACGTGGTGCCGCAAATCTGGAACTCTCCTGGTAGTTTCTGACGAATAGCCCCTGTATCCGTGAGTTTGTTAACAATGCCCAGCCTTTTCGTGTCTTCCGGAGTCCCGATAGGCGGCCATGGAGGCATCGTCTTTGCGCAGTTCGGAGTACCACAGTGGAATGTGACTCCGTTCATGCTCTCAAGTTGTAGCTTGAAAGCGACGCGTGACACTTTGTGTGCGGTAGATTCACCTTCTCTGCCTTTCGAAGCTTTGTCGTAACAAGCACGACACATATGTCCTCCGTTGCATTTATGGAATCTAGGCTGTTTCCCGTTGACTAGATATCCATGCGCACCGATACGGCAATAGTCAACTTGGCAAACCAGCCCATTCCCTTCTGGCCTTTGCGGCGCGGGCTAACTTTGCAGCCTCCGATATTCTCGAACGGGCTTCTTGGCTCTTTCGCGCCCAACGATCAACCGCCGATAGAGCAGTTTGGTGCTTTGGACAGTAGATCTGACCATGCCAAATCCGAAAACGGTAGTCTCTTCCCACAGCGTTGTTTTCTTCAATTGCTTTACAACCTTCTTTCGAACATTCAATGACTGTGTCTGGCATGAGACCCCCTCGGACTCTATTCGTCCACCCGCGTATTTTGGAGACTTCCATAAGACCTTTAAGGGTTTGGGCCGTAGGAAGTTGCCCGTCGTGAGTTCGACGGAACTCATGACAAACACCACAAACGTATCCGGAGAATGGATCCCAGGGGACTCGATAGTGGCGCTTTTCTGGCGATTTGGGTGAGTACCCTAGTCGGGTAATATTCTCGCAAGGTGGGTTGCTACAGGGAGCAAATTCTGGAGACTCCGGGAAAACAATAGGCATGGCTAGCGGCCAGCTGCCATTTAGCAAATCGCCGGCATTCACGCGCCATGGGAGATCAACTTTGCACACCATCCTGCTATATAGCTGCCAGGTCGAGATCTTTTTTACCGAAATGCTCGATCTTGGCTGCCTGAAGTGTGCGAAGAAAGAACATGAAAATTCCCTCAATGAAGTCTCATCATCGAGGACTTGGTTTGGCTCTGAAGGAGGGCTTGAGATGGACTTGAGTTGCCAATGATTAAACAGAGTGTTAGTCTGCTTAGGCAAAACCGGTTTCTTGGGACGAGGCATTGCCTCAATGTATATATCTCAATCACTATAACAACAATATTCCGATGAATATGTTGGTGTCAAACGAAGTGATGAGTCTTGAGAAGAGAAAGGGAGAAGACAGCATGAGGAAGGTACGGGCGACTAGTTAAATATGCCACCCGACACATAACTCTCTCATTGGTTCATATTGCTAGCAGTGATTTAGATCCACTAATGTTATAGATGCTTAAAGATGTCTGAATAATTAATACCTTCTAAAACAGGTATGTGGTCTTCTAAAGTAAATTAAGTCTGAAGTGAGTCTGAAGTGAATTGAAGTGAATTGGAGTGAATTGAAGTAAAGTGAAGTGAAGTGAAGTGAATTGAAGTGAAGTGAAGTGAAGTAAATTAAACTGAATTAAAGTAAAGTGAAGTGAAGTGAAGTGAATTAAAGTGAAGTGAAGTGAATTGAAGTGAAGTGAAGTAAATTAAACTGAATTAAAGTAAAGTGAAGTGAAGTGAAGTGAATTAAAGTGAAGTGAAGTGAATTAAAGTGAAGTGAAGTAAATTAAACTGAATTAAAGTAAAGTGAAGTGAAGTGAAGTGAATTAAAGTGAAGTGAAGTAAATTAAACTGAATTAAAGTAAAGTGAAGTGAAGTGAAGTGAATTAAAGTGAAGTAAAGTGAACTAAGTGAAGTGAAGTAAACTGAACTAAATTTGTTGGGTGCCTAGGTGCCTGAGGTAGACCTCTGGATAGCCCATCAATGGGCCCAAGCCCCCAGCCCATAGACCAACCCGCAGTGGGCTATGGGTTGTGGCTTCGAAGCCCGACCAACCCCCAGCCCATTGATAGGGGCCTTATAGGCCCCTATCAATGCCCATTTCTGTGCACAAATATAGTTTTGGCACGTATAAAGTAGCTGATTAATGGCTATATTTTACGTATATACCAACCTATATATTCAGTATTATTATATTATCATAGTAAGAAGTGGGAATTAAGTAGATATTATACTGGTTTTAGCATCATGATACTAGATTTCATACAAAATCTCATATAAAATCACTCCAAAAAGATCCAATTTGACCCGTGGACCACGAATTCGTACCGAGGAGGATTACTAAATCCGTATAAAGAGAAATATATACAGTCAGTGGACATAAGTTTTTACACCCCCTATGGCCCCACTTAGCTCACCGCCACTATATTATTATACCGCCTACCTAAAACGCGTAGTTCAAAATCACGCTAAATTAGTACGCGAATTTGTATGTTGGTCTAAAATGTAGGATATCTCTCTTTATATAGGTCTCAAATCATTATTTATTACTATACCTTCTATACTACCTTCTTAATTACTATAGCGCGGTCTAAAGAGCTTACCCCTACTATACGTGAGCGTATATGCGAGCTTTATGCTATTAGATAGGGGTATAAGCGGATTTATACGCGTTACCCCTATATTCCCCTCCCTATAATTCGGTATACTATTAAAAAAGAGAGCGAGCGACGTGAAGGCGTATTAAAGTCGAGATCTAGTAGGCTAAAGAAGCTTACTAAAGCCGATAAAGATCGAATTCTAAACGCTATCTACGGAGATCTAAAGATTGTGGCCGAAGATCTACTTACTAAGGTTAATTATAAGGTTAAATACCGCTCTATATAACGCCTTTTAAACGCCGAAAACCTACGTAAATAGCGATATAGCTAGCGGCCCTTTCTTAAGGAAGAATATATACTTAAACGCCTCTAATAGGCCTTTTGTTACCGCTACTTTATACCTAAGGATTGGGCCCGTATTTTTTGGTCTAATGAATATATAGTTAAACGTAGGATTAGTATTCGTCGAGAGTAGACCTTTGTTCGTTTAAAGGACTAGCCGAGAGAGGGATAATATTAAGGCCTACCTATATAAGAGAAGTAAGTAAAGTAGATATTTTAGGCTATATTTTCTAGCGCTACCCGGCGTATAGGCCTTATCCTACTCTTTAGGGATCCTAAGACTAAGCGTATAGGTATTATAGGCCTTATTATTAAGGATTTATACCGCCGAATCCTACCTACCTTAATTATAAATTAAGATAGCATTTTCTAGTATAACAATACTCTAATATATACCGTGTATGTTATACGGGATGTATTAGCTAAGATGTAGATTGAGGTTATAGAATGGCCTTCTTATTCTCCTGATTTAAATCCTATTGAGAATCTCTAGGCTTTGTTAAAAGCTAAGATCTATGAGCTTCGGCCTAATCTACTGTATATACGTAATAATGACACTACAAAAGAGATTTTAGTGGCTACTACGTAGTAGGTATGGGATGAATTAGAGCTACGGCATATGGAGCATCTCTCTGAGACGATGCCGTACCGGGTGGAGGCCATCATTGAGAGCCAGGGGTGGTATACGCCGTACTAGATAGTTTTAATTCATGGAGTTTTATACCGGCAGTATATTATATAATCATAGGGGTGTGGGGCCAGGGGTGTAAAAACTTATGTCCAGTCACTATATATTAGCCGTGCCAAGCGCCCAACACCAGGTCCCCTGGTGTTGGTGCGCCCCACCAGATACCAGATTTTCAATTTTATGTAACTTTTGTACGACTTACCCATACAAAAGGTACTTAGACATCCCGTAAACATAACATACATTTTCTCAGCACTCGAACTAGCTAAAGTAATAGAAAGTGTACGGATATATATTAAAAGCCTAGCTTAATTAGTTTAATGGTAGTATAAATTCTTAGTATCTAATATAAAAGAAGAAGAATAATTTTAAAATGACACTATATAACGGCTATACGGTAGATATAACTGGGTACTTTCTTTATTTTAGTATACTTAATATTGCTTACTAAAATTTGGTTAAATAATATAGACTTCCTTTGCACTATATATATCTTCTTATATTTGCCCTAACCGCTTCGAGGGTCGAGAAAAAGAGTGTTATACTAACGGGGTACCTAAGTACCTTTTGTATAGGTAAGTCATACAAAAGATACATAAAATTGCAAATCTGGTATCTGGTGGGGCGCACCAACAACCCGAACGGTCGTTGGGCGCCTGGCACGGCTATTATATAGAGCGGTATAAAAAAGCGGTAAGAAATCAGGCATATTCAGGCACCAATACCATTACAAACCTCATCCGACCCCTGGCCGCCATACACCTGAGTATTCTATCAGTTATATATCATTTTAGATTGGGGATAACGAGCTTGGATGAATATAATAAGATCAGAGGTAGAAAGTAGTCCATTAATTATTATCATCAGGAATAGCCTAACAGCTAACTGACTATCTAAACCGTATACCTTTAATTAAAGGAACGCATTACTTCTGAGCACGCTTCCATGCATCATCCAGGTTGGTGCCAATTGCACGAATAGCCTCCTTCTCGAGGTCACGGTGAGAGAGTCCGGTGCGCTTCGAGACCTTGGATTTCGACTCCTCACGAGACAGTTCCACTGTAATCAAACTGTCAGTCATCTATCTAGTATTAACAAATGGAAGGGAGCATACCGTGTAGATAGACAGCGGCTTTCTTGCCAGAGAACATCGCATGTGGCACATTAGTACTTCCGTCGGAATTCGCATCACCAACGGCAAAGACACCGGTCTCACTGGTCCGCATTCCGCTGGTAACATTGATCTTATCACCAACGATGCTCAGGTTCATCTTGGCGGGGAGTGTCGTGGTCTGAACAGTTGGGACGTTGACAATAATAGCATTCCGGTCAACAGGCTCGCCGGTAGCGAAGTGAATGCGGAACTTGTCAAACTGCTGGTCACCGTTTTCGCCTCTGTTGTCACCGCCATCCTCGAGGCGCTGAATGGAAGAGATTGTGCGGTTGTCAATGGTAGTGTTCCAAGCGGCGAGTTGTTCCTTCCAGTCTTCCACCTTGGCCGTTGCCTGAGCCTCGCCATCTGCAGTTTGCGAACCGTTCACGAATGCAATGATATCCGTGTACAGAGTGTGAGTCTCCAACACGTTGCTCAGCATATCGGTGATATCACCGATCATTCCAAATGGCTGGTCTCTGTGTTCGTAGCCATCGCACCACGGGCACCAGAAGATGCCGTGGCCCCATCCCTCCCGAAGGCCAGGAGTCGCGGGTAGAACGTCACGGACACCGGTACCGAGCACAATCTTACGGGAAGTGTAGTTCTTGCCCTGGCTGTCGGTCACAGTGAAGGCAGAGAATTCTCCCTGTCCGAACGGAACGATTGATTCGACAGTCTCGTTGGTGAAGTGGGCAGTTGGATACTTCGCGATCTGCTGGCGAGCCAGACCTCTGAACGTAGCCGGTGGGGTACCTGATGAGGATGAAATATTAGATAAGAAACTTTTTGTGTTGGGATAGAGTTAGGATCCAATCTCACCATCGTTTCCAATGACGTCGTGCATCTCCCGGGTCGGAGCATTGCGGTACTCCTGGCTATCAATCAAGAGAGCCGTTCGGCGGACACGAGAGACACCACTGAGTGCACTGAGACCCGCGGGACCACCGCCGACCACGATGACGTCGTAATCGGTCTTGGGCACTTCCACAGCGCTGGCACATGCCAGGAGGGAGACAAAAGCGGACGCAAGTGTTGCCTTGATGAAGACCATAGTGAAGGATATACGCGGATACTCAAGTACGTATCACGAAGCCGCCCAGCAGCGTCGGACAAGGCCATTTATAGTTCGCAATGTTAGCCATGTCTTACAGAGTACTCCGTAGAAAAAATAAAATAGCTCAAACAGGAGCATGTGTGTGGGGACACTAGTGGAGTTCGTGCATCTCAGCTGTGGTGGCTGAAGAGATCGTCGGGATGAACAAGATCGTCATGGAATATCAAGCATCGGGATCTCTCATTTAAAGCTGGAACTTCATAGAGTAATTCCTCGGATGCGGAGAACACTTTAACTGACAATTCATCTTAGGAAGCCATAGAAGTGAACATTGAAAGGAATTATCTAGAACTTTATATATGCCCTTTAACAATCACGCCTTCAGCAGTAATCCTTTGAACGCCAAGTGTCTCATTTGGGAACATCCTTGGCTTTGTGGGGGGGCACTAGTGTTTCTATGCAGAATAGTACTCGCTGGCATCTGTAGACTGTCATCCCTTGATTTCTGTCTTTCATCCGACTCCCGTGTCGATCTTTCGGATATTGAGAGCGCCTTATGGTTAAGGTACTCCGCAGATCTCAATACAACATGGTTATCACATTCACTCTTCATTCACTTCGCATTGTAGATAAGTTTGATTGGCTATATAGTCTGGTATGAGAGAAGATATGTCTGTCTTACATCACTTTGAGTGGAATGGACCTGTGAGAAATCAGTTCTTGTGTTAGGTATGTAGTGTTGTAACATCAACATCGGGTATCACCGAACTACAAGTGCGTATAGTAAATATAATATAGACGAATAGACATCAATTGATATTAATTGACCTAACCAAGCCTTCAAATGTTATCAATTCATGCAAAATTTCACCAAATCCACAACACCCTGGGCCTATAAATGTAACGAAATAATAAACTATTATTTCTCACGTACAATCTCATCTTTCTCCGCTAGAATCCACGAAAAATTGAGATGAGCGTCCAAAAAAAAAAAATAGAAGAGAAATGAAAAAACAAACAAACAAAGCGATATCACAAATTAATTGGTCTGGAGTTGCATAACTATGGAGTACCCCGTACTCCGTACTTCGTATCGATCGATGTGATGTGTCGAAGCTGTTTCAGCTCCACATCTTCGAAGGATCTTACAACATCCGTAACTATGTACAGTTCCTGCAGCCAGCTGTTGATTGGCCCTTGCATTTCTTCGTGCATACAGAAACAGCAGAAAGTACAACATAGGCGTGAAAAGCAAGCTCAAACTGCCCTAATGTGTCATAAATAGGGGGCAAATCGATGAGCACCTGACTGTGAGCTGCCAAGGTCGCTCCCTTCAAATAAGACCAGATTGATGACAACTGTTAATGCAAGTAACTATTTAGGGGTCAAGGGAGAGAAAATGCCCCGGTTGCAATTTTTTTACAACATAGTTCTCAAGTTGGGGTACTCCTGAGCTCATAAAATACCAAGATATGTGAACATAATGGTGATGGGCATCATTATTACCGAGGATTCACCATGTAGGATGAACAGTACAATATGCAAAATGTCGAAAAAGACTCCTAGACTATACAGGCCAAGCTATCGCAGTCCGACTTGTAAATGCAAGTATAAGTCCCAAACGTCCAAGCCCATCTAACAGTCTACTTGCTTTACAAACATCTTCAGTTCCATCATGGTAACTATGCATCTTCCTGGTCGTCAAGAAGCAACACCTTGAGCTTCTCCAATTTATCCTCGCAGTGCACTTCCATCTGCATCACCACATCAACGGCGTCCTTTCTGGTGATAAGCAGTTGCGATACCAGCCAAAAGTTATACCCATTCTTATAGAACCCCATGGACGCCCATTCGTCACTTGTTACTCTATTGCGCAGTGAGACCCAGTAGTCACGCCAGCGGGACAGGGCAGTCCGGATGGCAATGAGGACAGAATCTTCAGGAATCGTGGTGTCTTGTGTGTTAACCCCGGCACTTTCCCTAGCATTCTTGATATAATCCATGCGTATAGAACAACCGAGAAGTTTCATATAGGTGTTGATAAATGAGAATAAAACTAAACATAAGAGTCAGCTGGCGCAAAATACAAAAGAAAGCTTTTGGCGAAAGACATACTATGAATCAAGATAAACATGTCTAAAGCACTGAGGTCCATCGGATTCGACTCGGGCGTTTCGTCGAACAAATTTTTGAAGGCCTCTGAAATCCTAAGGCCACGTGAAAAGCGAAAGTTTGGCTCCGCGAAGGGATGCTCGGAGAAGAAAAGCGATTCATCGGAGGGCAGATCGCATTCCATTTCAGTGTGCGTTAGGCGACACGGAAAGTTTTGAAAGAAGAAGAATGCGCCATCCAGCAGCGAAATTATACAAATAGTTCTGTCAACGTTAGCTAAGGGAGACTGAAGAACCTTCCAGGGTTGGAATGAAGGAAGATAAGTACCTGATCCGACTCTCCTTTTGTAACCACAAGTGCTCTAGGACCTGGTCATCCGGAAGGTGGCGGACTTTGACAAGCTCAATCTGTCGAGCAACCCTCACAACCTCAGCGAATCGATTTTCCATCGCGCGGTTTCGAGACAAACGGTTTCCTGACCAGTATTGGACAATGGTGATGATAAGCCCGGCCTGAAATTTATTGAACCAATGCCAATCACTGTCTTTCTTGTCGAAACACCGACTACCTGAGAACATGGCGCTGATTTCACTCTCCGCCGAGAAAACATCACTCGCAAAGATAAACAGCTCTGCAAAATCTAGCACTCTTTTCGCGATGTATACTTCCCTCTTGTCGCTACTGTACATTGCGCCCATAAAGACCACCGCAGCTAAGAGCGGCGGGGGAACTGTCTCCGGATCAAAGCATACAGGAAGCATGGCACAGCTAGGTTGCCAGTATTTGAAATAGAGCGCAACGTATTTTCGTATGCGCGCAGTGGTCAATAGAAAGTTGAGATTCGCAGATATCTCCTCCTGCGCTTCAGAGCCAAGCGGGACCTGCCACGCTTGTGTTAATATTAAATGAATTAATGTCGTCGCGAACGGTCGCTCCGGTTCAAATATCGGTGGATCTCCGGGCAATGTAGTAAGATGCTGCCCTGGAGGGATGACGGACTGGTAGCTCAATTCATCAGGATGATAAGGATTCTCCGCGGGCTTATGTGCATCACCAAAAGGTCCGTGGAAAAAGTCCAGGAATGTATCTTGGAAGAATTGCGGCGCAGTAGAGTTGGAGTCAATGAAGCCAGAGCCGTATTCCGACTGAGAGGTATCGATACCGTATGGAAACCCTGTGCCTTGCGGTTCCTCGAAGTCATTTGTATTATGATAGTTGAGACTGCGCGCACGATCGCTGTGTGGGGGAAGTCGAAAGTTTTCCGTGAAGCTATCGGTGCCACCATTAAGTAGGAACTTGATCGATCCTCGGTCGGATGATGGCTCTTCACAGGTTTCGGATTTCCTCGATACCTCTATATGACTTGTATGAGCCTTCCATTGCAAACAAGTTGACTTGAAGCTTGTCGTACCTTCTTCGACCACGAGGTGGATCGCACCTGCCGTCCGCTCGTTGTTGCACATCAAGTTTCTCTTCTGACATGATCCGCAAGGGCTTGCTCCATCGCACCGTAGTTTCATCGAGGTACACTATTCGATCAAACAAAAGTCAGTTCATATGGGGAAGTTCCATATGATCTAGTCGCGGACTAACCGATTGACAGGCATGTCGCCGCCTACCCCTCTGACCCGTCTCCGGAATTTCGCGACCTTCGCGCCTGGCGCAGTCGGTATAATGGACGCGCAGATTGTCACTAAATTTCAAGTGTCAGATTTCGGAGACAGTATTAATAGATTGTCTTGGCTTATCTAACCAGCGCGCGAACGAGGTATTGCAGAATACACAGGCATATGGTTTCTGGCCCGAATCTGTTGAGGTTCAGTATGTGGCAGGGGTAGCTGCAGGGGCGGGGCATACGTCGCAAATGGTGGCGTTTGAGGTGATCAATGCGCGTGAACGTACGCTGACAGACATCACAGCGGAAATTCTTGTCCGTCGGCTTCATGGTGGGTCGGGGAGGAGGGGGATATCCGGGGTAAAGGAGAAACCTCCAGGGCTGAGACCTTCGGGAGGGAACGAAATTGGAGTCCGTGGGGGAAATGGGAGGTATTGGTATTTCAATGGGGACCATAAAGAGAAGGTAACTTTTGGGTTTTATTAGCGCCAATAGATACTTGGTAATATTACCAGTTGAGTATGGTATGGTCAGTTCCTGACATCACCCTGTATCGATCATGGAAGATGGGAGTAGCAGTCATATGCTTCATCGTATGCTCTTTGAAATACGCACTAAGACATCTCAACCAACGTCAGATGGAGAGAAAATGGATTTTTCAACTAAGTCAATAGCAGCTGCAAGATAATGAATAGAATACTAAGAGTACATACGGTAAAATCCTGATAAGCCACTAGACCCTTCTTCCATCACGTCTTCACTGCTGACCTCAAGTAAACAATCACCGTGTGGTTTCCTCCCAAGTAAACTTCTTCGTTGAGATTTCAGAGCGAAGTGATCACCTTACGGTTAAGAATAGCGTCGTTCAGTCGTCGATGGACTCTCTGGACGTCCCCGAACCGGATGTATCCGCACGACTCACTCTCCAAGTGATTAAACAAAGCACCCAAAGAGATAAACTCTTGGTTGCAACCACCACGCGTGTTGAGGCAATGGTAGATCTTCTCCTCGTGGAATGGCGAGTTGAGATGCGAGTTTAGACTGGCCATCGAGTTGAAACCCCTTTGGCACAGGTAGCACACCCAGCTTGTACCATCAAAGGCGCGGTTTGTGGCATAGTAGCGTACGTTCTGGTCATTGTGCCATCCGATCTGCTTGTTTGTGACAAGCCCGTTAGGGTCGACGCGTTGCATCATGTGGTGGATTGTCTCTCGGTTCCACTTGGCAGCGTTCGGGCAGGTACCATATTCGACATGGTGGGTGACGCCACTCGCAGTGACAAAGTGAGCGTTGCAAAATGGGCACACGACGCCAGTGCCTTGGTGGATCTTCGACTTCAGGTGCTATTCATGGATAAGACGGGCACAGATTAGTCAAAATCCCACGACCAACCAGAGGGAATATCCCTGGGATTGACTTGGTTCTCTTACATGGCGAAGGCAGTTCTCATTCGGGAAACACCGATCGCACTCGGCGCAGTAGTTCTTGTAGTGTCCTTTGGCCTCCATATGCTGGTCGGCAGCTTCATGGGTGTGGAACATTTGAGAACACGTCTCGCAGGGAATTGTTGGCTTCCAATGGTTCTTGGAATTCATATGCTGATTTGCAGAAGCCTGCGAAGAGAAGGCACGGGGGCAGGTTTCACATTCAAAGACTGGTGCCCAGTGACCAAGCGCATCCATGTGCTGCTCGCAGCTACGCTTGGTCTGAAATGCTCGAGGGCAGGTCTCACATTCCACCCAATGGTCGTGTTCGTCCACACGAGCATCGTAGTCCTCGCGGTAGCGGTACCCGAAGTCACGGGTGCCATATCCGTACATCTTGACCTGGGGACATAGGACTGGATGAGGAGATGTGAATAATAAAGACTGTGTGATGATTCGATTGGTAAGAAGCAGGGTGATACGAAAGGACTGAGATATTCTGCAGAGAGGAGGGGAGGTGTAAGATGGAAAGAGAATGAGGGATGTGGGCAGACAAGTTTTGTTTGTTGCATAGCAAACGCCCCGTCAAAACGTGTACGCGCGGTATCAGCCCCAGTCTCGAGGGATTGTTATTTTCATTCTCATATCTTTCTTGGTTCACTTTACGTTACCTTGTTTGATGTACCTTTCTCACACTCTAAGAGCAGAGATAATTAAATCAGGGCAAGAAGAATACACACCGAATTCCACAATTTGCATCCGCATTGTCGTGATGCTCATAGAAAGCCTGTGCTCTGGCAGATAGCAATCGAATAGCTTGTGTTTTAGGGGGTAATTCTATTTTGGTATATGGCTGTCATCCTCGATGGCACTCTTGTTTTGATCCGTCCATAAACGGATCGTATCTCGAACGCTGGTGGCTACATAAGCTTTTATGCAATTGTGCTGTATCGAGATTCGTAGCAGAAGTCGATAGACCTCATCTGAATGTTCGGTCGTGACATCCAACTCTTTCTGATATACGGAGCATGACTTCTCACTGATAAGGCTTTGCTGTCGGAGCTGAGCTATAAACCTTGGATGACGGAAGTTTACCACTTGGGAAACCCCGGAAATTGAGGCAACTTTATAGAGCTTAGCTGAATGACAGAAAATACTGGCAAAGGGATTTCATACCCCGAGAGATAGTCTATGTGTATGAGGAAATACGAAGCCGCAAGCCATCTGTCCGTCATGATACGTACTCTGTATAGCCTAGCTTATTATAAGATCAGTTGATGTTTCAGAGAATCTACCTAGGTAGTATCTATGTATTAAATTAGATCTCATATACTAAGAACATGTAAATATAGAACAAGAAGTACAGTGCAAATTCACCTATCATTGCCGCTGTTTCGGCACATCCACCAACTCCACATCACTATTCGCTGGCGACCGAGTCTCATAATTCACCGAGTAGGTAACAGACTTGTTGATATTACTGTTCGCCGTGGGCATTTTGTTATAGTACTCAGCCATGTTGGATGGATTCGTTCGGTTCGATGATCCCCCAAGCAATCGGGGGAACCATCGGCCGATGAGAGCTCTGAATGCAGGCAGACAAGCACACATAACAGAGATCTGAGATTCGATGACGGACCAGTGCATGAGGGGGTATAGACCGAGAGTCTCGTTGGCACCCCAACGGTTAGTCCAGAAGACGACGACTCGGATTATCGCGATGATTGTTAGACTGTGAGAATAGTTAGTGACAAGTAAATGAAAACAAAGCCAAGCTAGCGAGTGCATACACAGATCCCACGATAAACATCGATGCCACAGCTAGCTTCTGTCGCAGAGGTAACTGCAACTTGGTCACCTCATACACCGGCATGACGATCAAGATGAAGTCGACAAAGATGTTCACCAGACAGTTAACAAGAACCGCGACGATAAAATTCATGCAATGTCCAGGTTCCTCGTTCATCCAGCCGACCCATGTTAGGCGCGTTGGCAAACAACGGAAGGCATCCACTGAGGCCCAGGTGATACCGATCGCGGCGTTGGTAAAGATGAGTGCATATGCCAAATAGCGGAATGTGCGTGCTTGGAAGATGCGGAGTAGGAAGAGGCACACGGAGATCTTTGCGAGGGAGATTTGGACCTTATACATAACGGCCATAGCTTGGAAATACTGCTCTTGTTAGATTAGAACTGAGCCTTGGAGGTGGGGGGGGACCGAACCTGGTAGAACCTGGTGACCGAAGGAAAAGGGACATCCCAGATGTTTCGTCCGAAACCATTTCGGATCACTGATTTGTTAGTTCTTCTGTCTTGTGGAATCTGGTGAAATCGATGACCGAGAGTGCCGGCTTACTGTAGATATCCAGAACATATATGGCAGCTCCTATGACCTACAAGGCCGTTAATACTGAGTGGGAGAACTTCAGGAAGTGACACTGACATATGAGACAATTATTGTATAGTCATCCCATCCCCATCCGCCAGCGAGGCCGCTGCTCTTGGCGATCATTCTCATGACGAAGAAAAACGACGCAAGAATAAAAGGGATTAGAGTCGAGGCGTTGACCACCGCGGGGCCTTTGCGTGGTGTTATATCGCATTCTTTTTCATAGAGACGTTTTGTGGCTAGCAGAGTTAGACTAGACTGGGTATATCAATCATGATAGAGACGCACTGAAGAATTCCTTTGATGTGCAGTTACTTTCAGCACAATCTAACAGGGCTGTGGGACGAGAGCGACTGGCACAGAAGCATGATGTGTTGTTGCTCAGTGAGCAATCAGAGAATAACTGGTTATCACAAGTGACCTAGCACATGTCCATTAGCAATAAATACAATTGCGTTGGGAGATGTATGTACCGTGCAAGATGGGAAGACAGTTGTATCCCACTCTGCTGCATGAATCCCTACTATAAGCAGAGCTAGAAGGGCGAAAAAGAACAGATGACCCCTCATGATAGTGACAGACGTGTTCAAAAACGACGTTGAAAGTAAATAAGAGGGGGAAATTTTTCCCCCTGAGCAATAACGGGTTTTATTCTAACTTCAATGTGAATGGTCCCGAGTCAGTAGCGTGGACACTCCTGGGACGTTAAGCTTATCTACTTCGCACGATGGCGTCGGGAATATTTCCCACATGGTAGGTACAGATCTTGATTTGCAAATATAAACAGACAATCATGGTTGCAAAACAAGGAAATGATCCGCTCTCAAAGCTGGTTCAAGTGAAACGAGCCTCCAGGGCTGACCCCGGTGAGTGCCGAAGCGGATACCTTTTTTTTTTCCAGAATATTCCTACAATGGGTTCTGGGATAGGAGACTATGCGACAGCAACCATATAATTACCAAAACAAACTGATTGTACCCACCTAGAACCGTGGTTGGGAAGTTCTTCGGTAGTGTCTGTACAGTTGGATGTGAAGGGACAGATCCGATGCCGATTTTTTCATCGCCAAGAACACAGACAGGCTCCAGTCACTCCACACCTCGATGGGTTGGCGCCAGTCTGCGCCCCAATGCGGCTCGGACAAATGGAATACTAGAATGAAGATCAACAAAAATGAAACTACCGGGTTTAATAGTCAAACCCTATATTTAACTAGTAGTAACAATGTGTCAATGTATATTTATGGCGAAGACAACAATGGCAATATTCGTACCGAGTACTTGGTACAGAGTACTCCGTACATTGTACATCGATATACCAACACCAGTGGTATTGGATGGTTTAGTACAACAGTTGTATAACTAGGTAGTGTTAGACTCTGGCTAGGGATGGACACTACTTAAGGAATGCACTAGATCAAATGGAGATATTAGTATCAAGCCCTAGAAATGCTCCACTAGTCCATATTCAGGATCAATAAGGCGATTTTTTATAGCATGTGTCTCATATTCCATACGAGAAGCATGTGCTGTACAACATAATTGATCATTATTGTATGGCTTGGAAGGGGAGAGCTGAAGTTGCGGAAAACATACCATATTTGAAACACGCTTGTTGAACAAGTATTGGACCACAACCGAAGGCACGGTCACAGATCTTATTCTTACTTTATGTTGTACTTTGTAGCCGTGCCAAGCGCCAGGTCCCCTGGTGTTGGTGCGCCCCGGCAAACGCAAAATTCCCACCGAACGCAAAACCTAGAAAATTAAGTATCTTTTGTATGGCTTTCTAATACAAAAGGTACTTAATTTCTAGCCTTATTTAACATGCTTTCTCTCAGCACTCGAACTAGCTAAAGTAATAGAAAGTATACGAATATATAGTATGAGTCTAGCTTAATTAATTTAATAGTATTATTAATTGTTAACATTTAATACGGAGGAAGAATAATTCTTTAGAAATTGCATTATAACTATAGAGTGTATAATGGTTAGATACCTAGATAATTTCTTTATTTTAGCATACTTAATATTCCTTATCGAAGTTTGGTTAACTAATATAGACCTCCTTTACACTGTCTATATCTCCTTATATTTGCCCTAACTGGTTCGAGGGCCGAGAAAAAGTATGTTATGCTAACGGGGATACCTAAGTACCTTTTGTATTGGTAAGTCATATAAAAGATACTTATTTTCTAGATTTTGCGCGCACCAACACCAGGGGACCTGGTATTGGGCGCTTGGCACGGCTACTCCGTACATCTTGAGCCGGTTATAAAAAAGGAGACTGTGGGATTTCGTGCCCGAAATTCGACTGTGTACGGACGCCACGGGACTTGGAGCGCATTACAATACCTAAATAAGACAAGATCTCCGATGCTAAGCCTTCTAGTTCATTCTATGTCTTGGAGCCTAGACCTCCGATCGTTGAGCCTCAAAGTTTCAATGGCTTTGCTTAAATAAGACCATGGCCACTTCTGAAGTTACCTGGGTAGATTATTCACACCCAGAGATCAATTATTCAGCACTTATACCAAACGCCAGCCTACAACATATGTTGTATGCTGTACTTGAATATGCGCCAAATTTTCGATCGTCGTTCTAGCCTTGGTATGACACACCGGCGGCGCTTAGCGCCAAGGGCCACCACCCCCTTTACCGGCCGTACGGCATTCCACAAAAGTCCAGGGGCGAGGAAGCACATATGGCATAAAACAATCCTGGCCTTCATACTCTAAAAGAAGATTCTTCAGTGAATATTTTATGTGCGACTTTACTGTCACCAACTGTCGTGTAGGACTGGTGTAGCTAATCGTAGGATTCTTCAATATCACCCGTCCACCTCTCAATAGCCCACAAAATGGGCCCAAGCCCCCGGCCTACAGCCCAGCCCGCAATGGGCCTGGGCCCAGTCTTTAAGGCCCATTTCTGTGCACAAATACAGTCTTGGCACCTATAAAGTAGCTGATTAATTGTTGTTTTTTACGCATATACCAACCTGTATATTCAGTATCATCATACTATCATCATGGTAAGAATTAGGAATTTAGTAGTTATTATACTGATTTAGATTTCATACAAAATCGCCCCAAAAAGATCCAACTTGACCACGTATTCGCACCTAGGAGGATTACTGAGTATCAGTAGTTATAGAAGAGATATATAGTTAACTATTGGGTCTATATCTAGGTGATAATTGCAGTAGCACTAATGGTACCTCTACTTACCATGAATGTTTGAGTATTCTTAGTGTAACTATTTGGTATCTTATCAATCAAATCAATCAGTCTTTGTGAGTTAATTTGTAAGCATATAAGAAGAACCTTAGAAAGTTTCTGTATGGCTTCATATATCGCTCTGATGGTAGTCCGAATACCACAAAAAAAAAAAAAAAAACCAGAAAAAAATGCATTAATCGCAGCTACGATATATTGGCATGTTCGTATTGTTTGGGGCTCATTATGGGGCCTGAATCTTCAGAAGGCCCACAGTGCCCATTTGGGCCCACGGCCCACCAATAGGCCCGAAGAAAGCTCCACCTGCTAGCAAACATCCATACATGAGAATGCTCCATGGGGATCCCAACACAAGGTCTCGAAGAACATGGGTAACATCGCAGGAAGCGCATCGTTTCGGTGGCTGGTGAATAATGATACCTGCCTAATAACTTCTTGTTCTAATAGAACTCTGATTACTAGTATATTGTATAGAGACTACATCATTGTGGTCTTTCTTAAGCCCATTATATTAAGATCATTAATAGTAGGCTAGACTTTGTGAGATTTAGCTTCGCCAATGCAATTATCCGATACTTCTAGTATAAAATTTTAAAGAAACAATGACCACCTTTTTGATTATAGCAATCTTGCCCGAGGCCGTTCTCATTCCTATATATAGCTGTAGTTTTTAAAGTCAAAGTACTCGTGTTGTTTAGATCGACACGATTTGTGCTTATATTTGAAAAAAAAGCGACCGTTCCCCGATAAGCTTGTTATTGGAGTGGAAGGGTGAAGAGTGACTACCTGCTTGTATACAGTGCATTCATTTAGGAACTCTCAAATCCCATCACTAGCATTTAATTGTCTGATGGTAGATTTTTCATAATAGAATTTTCTTGAACAACCTGCCACTTCGTTCCTCGGCATAAGGATAATAGTAGTTAGCATGTAAGATTTCGTCAGAATTTGAAAGATCGACGATGAAAGAAAATTAGCGAGAGGAACAAAGAAGGCTGAATAGTCAAGCGCGGCTAATAGAACAGGCACTTTTCCGTGATGCGTAAACCATGGAGAAATGGAAATCTAAGCTCTTAGCCCTTGATCTTGTGAAAATATTGGATATCAAAGCTCCCTCCACTCATGATTGGCTTCTCCCGAATTTTCTAGCCTTGATGGTTTATTCTACCACTTCTACCTCAACCTGATTTCATATTCACGTTGTATTTTGCAATCAAAGGCTAGTACTGATCAAAGCAGTCCAAATTTCCATTGGGATGAAACGTATTAAAGCAATATCGTACAATAGCACGCTTATTAAAACTCACCCCTCGTTTTCGAAAAGCATCGTTAAATGTGGGGGTGGAGACGCGGTTATTGACCTGACACTCGGGCAATCCAAACTTCTATACGGAGTAGACTAAATAACAAAGGAAGCTGAAACTGGCATTGAATGCTGAGACAAAGGTGTCATGGGAAGTGAAGAGATTGAAAAGAAATCCTTGGCAACAGCATTGACCTTATAAGCCCTCGATCAGAGTCTTGGCATTGATTATCGATCAGATCGTGGCAGTTTCTCAGCCTCACAATGCAACGTGGGCTAGCCCTATACAGACAAGGCCTAAACTATTTCGAGCAAGGGCTGCCGATACGATGCTAGTGGTATCAGGGATGTTATAATAATGGGGCAAAGTATAGGAAATTGTACAGAGAGGTCCGGATTCTCTGTACTCCATGTGACACGAAGATTCTCGAGTCATGTAGATGTGATATCAATTTTTCTTGCAACCACACTGGGAATTATGTTTGAGCACCGTTTCAAATTCTTTGATGGGCCAAAGTCAAGATTTAAAATAAATCTGTTAAACTCAAGTCTTTGAGGGGAAGAACGTCTTCAAATTGAACAAAGAGGCCCGAGGGGAAGAAGTGGTGGGGTGGCGGCCTGAGTGATGCGTGGGTAGGATTCATTCATGCAAGCGTTGGCTTTGCTGACCGTAGCAAATCCCGTATCACCTATTAGCGTGGTTAGCGTTCCATTAATCCGAGCTGAAGAAAGCAGCGATTGATGTTTCTACATAGCTCTTGGAGTGAGGTTCGGGAGTCTTTGGGGAGACGGAAAGGTTTGCATTTGGTAGAGAAATACTGCACCTTCAACAGTAAATGTACCTTTTGCATACGCGGTATGCGCTAGGCAAATACCCAATTATTAAGTTGATCTACTAAACAAGGTCACTCTTCCTATCAGAAGAAGCCTGAAAGGTCCATTGTGCAGTTGTGCTCAGCCCCAAAGTATTCCCAATACTAATCATCCTTGTCCAAGACCTGACTTTGGAATCTGAATTCTTTGTCTTCTAA